TCCTCTCTCCTCTCTCCTTACTCCCTTACTCCCTTACTCCCTTACTCCCTTACTCTCGCCCTCTCTCGACGCCGACCCTGACGCTCTCACGCGCCCTACCGCACCCGCAGGTCTCTGGGAGTCGGCGACGCAGACGTCGCACTCGCTCCTGTCGCGCCTCGCCATCGTCGCGCTCGTGCACGAGGCGCGCGGCCTCGACACGAACCCGACCCAGATCCGCCGGTGTCGTGCCGCAGGGGACGAGGAGACGGCGAGGGTGCTCGAGATCGTGCACGCCGACGAGATCTGCGTGAGTGACCCTCTCTCTCTCCGTCTCTGTCTTTCGGCCTCTCCTCTCTCTCGACCGACCGCCTGACACTCTGCAACCCCACGCGCAGCACGTCGCCTTCGGCCACCGCCACTTCACCGCCCTCTGCGCCTCGCAGCTCCCCGTCCCGCTCGACCCCGTCACCCAGTTCCGCGCCGAGGTGCGGGCCCACTTTTTCGGCGCTGTGCGCGGACCGTTCAACGAGGCGGATCGGGCGAGGGCTGGACTGGGCGGGGAGTGGTACGAGGGACTGAGTGGGAGGGGGAGCGCGGCGGCGCGCAAGGGCGAGGAGAAGGAGGCGGCGGCGCGGGGGGGAGGGAAGGAGGCCTGAGCGGCGGGATCTCTCGCGGCGCGTTGTTGTTGTACTCTCGCAGCGCAAGCACACACTCTCTCTCTCTTCCTTGCTCGCCGTGAGACAGGAAGCTCGACTATGAACAGAACTGCATCGCCTCGTCGAGCGGGTCCGCTACTCACCGCCCGACAAAACCGACCCCTCGCACCGCTCCTCCCGCTCGGTCCCAGCCCCTGCTTTCGCACGCAGTCGCCCTCAGTCATCGTCAAACGGCGACCGCGTGTACTCGAGGTCGTCGTCCGACTCGTCGACGTCGTCGTCGTCGCCGAGCGCGTGGTTCGGCGCCGACAGCGGCGAGGCCATCGGGGCGCCACCGCCGCCGCTCGCTCCGAGTCCCGCACCGGCGCCGGCGCCGGCGTCTGCAGCGAGGCCGGTGGCGGCGGGCGTCGCGCCCGACCCTGCGACGCCTGAGGCCGAGGTCGAGGTCGAGGTGGGCGCGCCCTTGTCCTCGGCCGAGGGCGACCTGGGCCCGGCTTTGGCGTCGAGGAGCGAGAACGACTGGCGGGGGAGGAGGCCCGGGATCTTGGACGCTGTTGATGCCGAGACGGCGAGAAAGAGGGAGAGAGAGAGGCGGGGAGGAGGTCGAGAAGGTCAGGACCGGCTCTGCGAGAAAAGAGCGCCTCGAGGCAGCGAGAGAACGAGGCCCGACGCACTGAAATCCTTCTTGGGCGAGTCGGTCGACGACGACGACGACGCGCCGGGTGGCGCGAGACCACCTGCGCCTGCCGCCGCTGGTGGCGCTGCGGTCGCAGCCGGCTCGTCCTTCTTGTCCTCGCCGCCTGCCAAGCCCGTGTGGTCGACCATGACGACTGGCGGCGGCCCCTCGGACGAGAGGTTGCGCGGCGGAGGAGGGCGCGGGAGCGGCGAGGGGGCGGTCCAGGAGGTGGTGGTGGTCGTGGTGGCGGACGAGGTAGACGAGGTGCGCACGGGCTTGGGTGGCGGTGCGGGCGCGGTGGTGCTCGAGCTCGGGCCGCTCGTTGGGGGCGGTGAGCTGTGCGACAGAGTGCGGCAGGGTCAGGAACGGCCTGCGGAGAGGGGACGGGGAGAGGAGCAGGGACGTACGCCGAGCGGACAATCGCGTCGTCGAGGCGGTTCATCTGCTCCTTGGCCTTGCTGAGGAAGCTGCCAAACATGCGCTTGCCCGTGTCGGCGACCTTGTTGCTGCGAGTGTGAGGGCGGGAGGTCAGGGCCGATGCGGACGCCGAGGAGAGAGGAGAGGAGAAAGTGACGACGCACAACTGCTCGGTGAGCTCCTGCAGCTCGTCCCTCTGCTGCCCCTGGCCGTGCTGCGCCTCGCTCGGCGCCCTCGCCTGCTCGGCCGGCGGCTCCCAGCTCGACAAGCTCGGCGACGCAGGCCCGCCGCCGCCGCCGCCGCCGCCCGTGCCACGGCGCGACTTGGGGACGTAAGGCTGGTACGCGAGCGGGCGAGGCTCGGACGGCGCTTGCTGCTGTGCGGCCGACGAGCGGGCCGAGCGCTGCGGAGCGGCGATGCGGCGCTGCGCCTGCTCGAGTTCGTCCTCGCGCGCGAGTTGGCGGGCGAGCTCCTCGTCGGCTTCGAGTTGCGACAGCTGGGCGCGGGGAGAGTCAGTGTCGGCTCTGCGGTTGTAAAGAGAAGGGGGGCGCACCTGGGTCGTGTCGGTCTTGAAGTCAGGGTCGCTCATCATGAGCAGCTGCTCGGTGGCCTCGTCGAGCGAGCCGGCGGTGCCGTCGAGGACGGCCTCGAGCACGCTGTCCTCGAGGTCGGGGAAGAGGGCCTTGAGCTGGGCGACCTTGGGATCGCGAGGGCGCGGCTGCGGAGCCGGTGAGGGTTCGGTGACGACGGGCTCAGAGTTGGTGGTGATGGTGGTGGGGGAGGACGGGGCGGGGGCGGGCGCAGCGGGGGTTGGTTGCACGGCTGGCGCGGGTGCGTCGGGCTGGGCTGGGCTGCTCATGGCGGTGGATGAGCGAGGTGACAGCGGGTTGCGTCCGGGTGTGAGGTCGGACGACGTCGACGGGCGAGAGCGAGACAACCTTCAAGTTGTCCAGCGCTCTCGCTGCGGGAATGGGTACAGTGCCAGCCGTGCAGTGTTACACTCCGTCAACACCCCTGGTACTCTCACAAAGCTCTGCACGCTCGAGAGCAAAGTGCGACAACGTCGAGCCGGCTGAGCCGGATCGCACGTTCGTGCTCTGGACTCGCTCTCCCTCACACGACGAGCTCGTTCCCGTCCGGTCCAGCCCGGCCAGAGCACACCTCTGCTCGACTGCACAAGCGCGCGCGACCCACCAAGACCCGCCTCGCCGTCAGTCCAACCCCCCTCGCTCGCTCCCCACCAGCGCACGACACGGCCCTGCACCACTCGCACGACCACCCCGAGTGCATCTCTGTGCCACTTGCACGTACCCTGTACCTTTCCCGGGACTGACCCGCCTCGTCGCACACAGCCGCGACCCCGACTCGCCCCTCGTCCTCGGCCCTCGCATCCTCATCAGCTCCGGCCGTCTACCCTCCCTTCCACTAGCCAGGGTCCGCCGCCAGGTCGCACGACGGCGAGATGAAGTTCGGCAAGACGCTCCAGCAGCAGATCTTTGCCCAGAACGGGTTCCCCGGGTGGAGCAGCTTCTTCTGCGACTACAAGGGCCTCAAGAAGGTCCGCCCCTCCCCTCTCTCTCGGTCCCTTCAGCTCGCTACCCCACGTACACCCTGTACTGACACGCACGGCCCCGACGCAGATCATCAACTCGCTCGCAAAGGGCCGACCCGCCGACGCTGCGCTCCTCGCCGCTGGCGTTCGACCGCCCCGACCCGACGCCGCCGAGCAGCTGCCCGTCGAGGCGACAACGACCGAGGCGCAGCTCTTTGCGCACGCGTCGACCGCCAACGGCGGCATCGTCGGCGAGGGCCCGACGACGCTCCTCCAGGCGCACAAGGCCGCCTTCTTCTTCAAGCTCGAACGCGAGCTCGAAAAGGTGCGCCTCTCGTCCCTTCCAGTCCCTCCTCTTCGTCTCAGCCCCCTCACTGACTCGTACCCTCCCCCACGCCGCAGATCAACGACTTCTACTACCAGCGCGAGAGCGCCCTCAAGGTCCGCCTGCGCACCCTGATCGACAAGCGCAAGCTCCTCACGGCGTCGCTCTCCGAACCCAACGGCAAGGTCAAGGCGCTCAGCCGCGACAGCAGCAGCTTTGGCGCCCTGTACGAGGGCTTCCGCAACTTTGAGCGGGACCTCGGGCGGCTCCAGGTGCGTCGCCGCTCCCTCCCCGGGCTCTTGCCGCGTCCTCGTCCCTGCTCGAGCGACGCCTGACCTCGCCTGTCTCTCCTCTGCTGCAGACTTACATCGAGCTCAACGCGACGGCGTTCCGCAAGATCTGCAAGAAGTGGGACAAGGCGTGCCGGCGGCAGGCCGACCGGTTCGGCGACACGCGGCCGCAAGAGGGCCAGCCCGACGGCCAGCTGTACCTCGCGCGCCAGGTCGAGGTCCAGCCCGTGTTCAACCGCGAGTTCATCGCCCAGCTGTCGGACGTCGCGTCGGCCAACCTGCTCTCGCTCGAGAACCTCCTCGGCGGCGACGGGCAGCGCACGGGCTCGGCCGCGCTCGCCGACGGGTCGAGCATCGACGGCACGACCCACTCGGCGCCGCACCTCCCGACCCTGTTTGACCGCGCCGACCGCGCCGAGGCGCTCGAGGACCTCGAGACGGCGCTCGTGTCGGCCGTAAAGGCGCGCGACCAGGCCATCGTCGACGAGGTGCTCGGCCTCCTCCTCCCGAGCACACGCGCCGAGGGCGAGCCCAAGGGTCCTGTCGCCCGGATCCTGTGGCGCGCCGCGCTCGAGGAGGCCGACGCCGAGCCTCGGCAGCAGCCGATGCAGCAGGACGGCGTCGAGCCGCACCCCGAGCAGCAGCACCAGCAGCAGCAGCAGTCGGCGACGCCGGCCATCCCGCAGGGCCTGCTCGACTTTGCGTTCGTCGACGACATCAACGGGCGCACGACGCTGCACGAGTCGGCGAGCGCCGGGCGCCTCGCGCTCGTCGTCGCGTGCCTCGAGCACGGCCTCTCGGTCGCGCAGGCCGACGTGTACGGCCGCCAGCCGCTCCACTACGCGGCCATGAACGGGCACGCCGCCGTGTGCCGCACGCTGCTCGACGCGGGCGCGAGTCCGTCGACGGCCGACCTCGACGGCTACTCGCCCATCATCTACTCGATCACCAACGGGTGGACGAGCGTCGTCGAGACGTTCCTCGCCGCTGGCGTCAGCTTTGACGAGCCTGCCGAGGCGCCGGGCTCGTCGTCGTCGTCGTCGTCGTCGGCCGACCAGCTCAACGCGCTGTCGCTCGCGAGCCAGTACGGCCACGAGGCGATTGCCCGCCTCCTCCTCGAGCGCGGCGCCAAGGTCCTCCCCAACCCGGCCGGCTACTGGCCCCAGCACCTCGCCGCGCGCGAGGGCCACGCCGGCGTGCTCGGCCTCCTCGTCGAGGCGATCCAGGCCGAGGCGGCAGCGTCGGCAGCGGCCGCGGTCGAGGGCGGCATCGACGCGCCGGACAAGTACTCGCAGGCGACGCCGCTGTGCCACGCTGCGAGCGAGGGCCACGCCGAGTCGGTGCGCGTCTTGCTCGCGGCCGGCGCCGACGTGCACGCCGTCGACGAGTTCAAGCGCACGCCGGTGCACTACGCGGCGTGGCAGGGCCACATCGAGTGCGTCAACCTCCTCATCGATGCCGGGGCGACGATCCCGCCCCAGCCGGCGGCGGCGGCGGCGGCGGCCGACGAGGCGGCGCACGCGACGGCGTCCGGCTCGACGACCGACATGGCGCCGCCCGACCTCGACGACCTCGACGTCGACGCCATCCCCGACCTGTCGCTCCCGCCGCCCATCATCCCGTTCCGCGTGTACGGCCACTCGTACATCGACGAGAAGCGGCTCGTCCAGATCACGCTCGGGCACCCAAACACGGCCCGGGCGCCGTTCCCGCCGCCGATCCGCCTGTACGACCAGCCGAACCACGGTCACGCGCCGTCGCTCAAGCTCGTCATCACGCCCAAGCCCGACTCGAGCGGGACGTCGATCCCGCACTCGGTCATTCTCCCGCTCGCCGACGAGCGCGAGGTCTTTTCGTTCCAGGTCGACACGCTCGCCGACATCTCGCTCGAGTTTGACCTGTTCCCGACGTTTGGCAGCAAGATGATCGGCAAGGCGGTCGCCGTCCCGTCGACCTTTGCCGACCTCAAGAGCCAAGGGTCGTACGTCGTCCCCATCGTCGACCCGCACCTCAAGGTCATTGGCGACATCCCGTTCGAGATCAACGTCGTCAAGCCGTTCGGCCGGGCCCAGCTCCAGATCGGCGGCCAGTTCGAGACGTACTGGAAGTCGACGGCGACGCTCCAGACGAGCGCCGCGCAGGGCGACCACAACGGCGGCGGCGGCGGCGGCGGCGGCGGGGGGTCGAACAACCCGGCCACGTCAAGCGTCGTCACGGCGTCGTCCCTCTCGGGCGAGCACGTGCGCATCGTCGTCCAGGTGACGGCCGACGGGCACCCGGTCGCGTACCCGCTGTGGCGCCTGCCCGTCGACGGCTTCGACGTCAGCGTCGGCGACGTCCGGCTCGACCAGTTCTCGGCGCTCGCAAAACGGCTCGGCAAGTCGGTCGACCCGGCCCAGGTCGGCGACAGGGAGGACCCGTCGGCGTGGTACCAGGCCATCGCCGACGCGCTCGTTCCGCTCGAGGAGTTGCTCTCGGTGCGTCCCTCTCGTTCCCCTATCCCTCTCTCTCTCCTGAATGCCTCACTGACGCTCTCGAACGCCCACAGATCCTGCCGGCGTCGCTCGGCGTCAACCTCGAGCTGCGGTACCCGACGCGGTCGGACGTGCGCCGCCTCTCGCTCAGCCGCACGCTCGAGGTCAACGACTTTGTCGACTGCGTCCTCTCGACCGTGTACAAGTCGATCAAGTCGTCCCATCCCTCGTCGCCTTCGTCGCCGACCGGCAACGGGCCCGACTCGACGCCCGCACACCGCCGCATCGTCCTGTCTTCGTTCAACCCGGTCGTGTGCACGGCCCTCAACTGGAAGCAGCCCAACTTCAGCGTCTTCTTTGCGTCGTACTGCGGCCTGTCTCGGTCGGCCGGCGGCATGGGCGACACGATACCGGTCGAGGGTCAGCCGAGCAAGCTCGTGCCGGCGAACCGGGTCGAGGATGACCGGCGCTGCACGAGCATCCGCGAGGCCGTCAAGTTTGCCAAGGCCAACAACCTCCTCGGCATCATGCTCGAGGCGACCATGCTCGTGCGTCGCCTCTCTCTCTCTCTCTCTCTCTCTTTGTCTGTCTCGCCTCGCCGCCGCCGCCGGAGCTCACTCGGCCCCTTTCGCTCTCGCAGGTCCAGATCCCGAGCCTCATCCAGTCGGCGCGAGAACACGGCCTCCTCATCACGACGTTTGGCACGGCGAGTCGAGTCGTGCTCGCCGACGCGCACATGACGGACGGCGTCCTCTCGTACGCGACGAGCGACTTTCTCGCCCAGACGGCCGCGAGCTGAGGAGGGACGACGAGGCGGGCGAGGGAAACTATAGAGACTCGTTGCAACGTGCAGTACACTATCGTTCCGCCTCGTCAGATGTCCAAGTCGAGGTCCGAGAGCGAGCCCGAGTCCGTGTCGGTGTGCGTCGGCGAGGGCATGCTGGACGAGGCTGCCGGTGGCTCGACGAGCACGAGCTGCGGCGCCCACGACCGGTCCTTCAACTGGCCCTGTTGGCCGACGAGAGCGTCAGTGCGAGCTCGCCGTCCTGTCGCAGAGTGAAGGAGAGAGAGCGCAGTACGGACCGTGAGAACCTCGGTCGCGCCGTTCTTGTCCTCGTCGCCTGGACGTACCGCAGCTCGGACGCCTCGGCGTTCTCGAACTTCTGCGCGCGCGTCACCTTGCCCGTCCGGATGAACTGCGAGGTCGGCGAGGGGCGAGGTGTGAGCGAGAGTTGCCGAGGGAAGAGGCTCGAGCGGGAGAGGACGCACGGACGAGTTCATGGCGCGCGAGCCGGCGTAGATCTGCGACAGAGCGTCGCCGTTCTGCGCGCATGACTGAGCGTCAGTGCCGCGATCGAAAGGACGGGCTCGAGAGCCAGAGAGAGAGAGGGAGGGCGACGCACGGCCGAGAAGAGCTCACGGTGAGCCTTCTCAAGTTGGCTGCCTTCGAGCGGCGGTAGCCCGAGCTTGGCGAGCTGCTTGTCGAGCATGGAGGCCGAGATGCTGAACTCGCCGAGGTTCGAGCGGTCGAGGCAGCTGTGGGCGCGCAGGGTCAGGCTCGTGGGTCCGACTGCGGGCTTGAGAGAGGGAAAGGGAGAAAGACAGAGGGAGACGCACTCGCGGCAGTTGACCCTGAAGACGCCCTGCTGCTCTGTCTCGACAACGAAGTGGCCCGACGTCTCGTCGAAACTGGCCGTCGTCGCGCCGTACTCGTCGAGAAGCTCGTCGACGTCTCGACCAATCTCGTGCGGCATGTTCTCGACGCCGCTCGACAGCACCTGGGCTTTGTGGATCGAGTACTTTTCGAACACGAGCCCATCGCGCAGGCGCTTGCTCTGCGCCTGGCCGAGCGCGCACAGCTGCTCGTAGGCCGAGCCGAGCGCGGCTTCGGCGGCGAGCGATTCGTTCGGGTTGTCCGACAGGAACGAGAGGGCGTGCACGCGGCCGTAGGTCTTGACGGCCCACCGCATGTGGCGGAGGAAGGGCGGGAGCGAGAGGTCGGCGAGCGGCTGCGAGATGTCAAGCTTGACGGCGCCGACGAGGCGAGGCCGCTCTTGCCAGTACACTGCGACGGCTCGACGTCAGTGCGGGTATATGAGGGGCATGAGAATCGACGGGTGGGCGACAAGGGGGCGGACGGCGAGGGCGGAAGGCGAGAGAGGGTCCGAGCGAGAGGAAGGCGGACGCACAAGGGACGCTTCCGCGAAGCTGGACGAACGAGACGATGTGCGAGGACGTCTCGAGGATCGTCTCGGTCTGCAGAAAAGACGATAGAGTCAGTCACGACGAGGTGCAAGGAAATGAGAAAGGGAGGGAGCGCACCTCGGCAAAGTTGCCCACGGACCCATCGCCATCGATCCCGCGCTTCTTGAACCTCGTCCCGGCCCTGCCCCACCCTCGCCGGCTGATGACGCTGAGCGTGACCTTCTCGGCGCCGACGTGGACGTCTCGCGCGCCGTAGTAGCCCTGCACGACCGACAGCATGAAAGAGCGCGAGTCGAACGCGGCTTTGGCGGTCGGGCCGAGCGACAGTCGGAGGAGGTGGAGCGGCTCGAGGAGGTAGGCGTTCCACGTGTAATCGAGAGTGCCGCGCTCGTGTCGGGGGACGGTGGTCGGCGTCTGGTCGTCGCGCCTCGAGGACGGCGCGCACGCGTCGGCTCGCTGTTGCTGGACGTGAATGCGGGTCTGCAGCCGGCTCGTGAGGTCGGTCGTCTTCGAGTAGGCAAACGAGCCGTCGACGAGGACCTGGCGAAGGTGGTGGCACGGGTGCGACGGGTGGTCGGCCGTCGCCCTCTCGCGCAGGTCGTCGATGCAGTAAAACAGGACCTCGTCGACGCGCTCGACGTTCATGCCCGGCTCGTTCGGGGTGGCGAGCTCGACAGGAGGCACGAGGACGAGAAGATAGCTCTCTGCGCGACGAACGAGGGCCGGTCAGCTGGGCGCGCAGGAGACGAAAGAGGACGAAGGAGGACTGGGACGCACTGCCGTCGAGGTTGACCAGGCCAAGGCAGCCAAACGCCTCGATGAAGTGCTCGTCCGGGTCGAGTGAGGGCTGAGCCGTCGAGCCTGGCGGGTACGAGAGCACCTCGACGGCGCCCGGCGAGCCAGCTCGCGAGCGGAACTCGAGCGAGTACCCGACGTCCTCGAGCACGACCGAAGAGGCCGCGGTGAGGTGGACGCGCATGGCCGGTCGAGGAGAGCGAGAGCAGATGCTGAGCCGTCAAGCCGAGGCTGGCAGAGAGCGTCGCCGAGGGACGACGGCCGCCGGAAGGTCCGCGGCGACGGGGGAGCAGGAGAAGCCGGCGCGAGCGCGAATTTCGGAGTATACGAAGTGGAGCTCGCCTCAGAGAGTGGCCCGAGCACTCGTACGAGACTCGCCGAGTCGTGGACGGAGGAGAAGGTCGAGGAAACGACGAGGAGCTGATGAGAATTGGCTCGCGAAGCGGGAACACCACGCAGGGAGCAGGGTACAGCGCACAGGCCACAGAGAGCTACTGCACGGAGCAGTCGAGCTGCCCTGGACCGGCCCAGCTGCGACGAGAGCGAGCGGTGGTCGACGTCGTCGAGCGAGAGGACGGTCGGCAACCAAGCTCTCTTCTCCCACACCTCAACCTCTACCAGTGCCGCCATGGTTGCCATCCCTGCAGAGCTCCTCAGCGGACTCGCACCGCCACGCCCCTCGCAGACCGTCTACCGCGAGGGTGAGCTCCCCTTCCTCGTCGTCCTCCCCCCCACTCCGAGCCCGCTCGGCTCCTCGCCACGCCCACCGTGCATGCAGCTGACTAGCGCATCACACAGAGTGTACCCAGTGCTTCGACACGCACGACCTCCCCGCCGGCATCGACGTCTGCCTCACCTGCTTCAACGGCGCCTGCTCGCCCCTCGGCAGCGTCAACGGCCACGGCCGCGCCCACTTCGACAAGTCGGGCCACCGCGTCGTCGTCAACATCCAACGCTGCAAGAAGCCTGCGAGTGAGAGGAGGCGCAGCAAGCGGGTGCGTCGGCTCGCTCTCTCCCTCACTCGCGCGCTGTGGCGGTGCCGACCGACTCGGCCACTGCACGCCGGCGCTGCGCAGGGAGGGAAGCTAACTGACTTTTGCACGTTCTACTCGATTCCAGGACTCGAACGAGCCGCCCGTCAAGAAGCTCGCGATCCGCGAGGAGGAGCCCGAGGAGGACAAGTTCGACTTCCTCACCGAGGTCCGCATGTACCAGGGCGAGCGCGCATCGGCCGAGTACCTCGTTGTCGACGAGGTGGACGACAAGGTGCGCCCCTCTTTCCCCTCTCTCGGTCCCACCAGTAGCGCAAGCTGACCCATTCGTCATGTCGCGCAGCTCAACGGCATCGTCGCGGCGGTCCTCAGCTCGATGTCGTCGGCGCAGAAGAGCGAGGTCAAGGCGTGGGAGGAGGAGATCGTGCCCTGTCAGCACACGCGCGACCTCGTCCAGCCCAAGTCCAAGAAGCTCGAGCCGTCTGGTGCGTCTCGCACGCTCCCTCTCCTCCTCGTCCTCTCGCCTGGTACAGCGGCTCACACGCCTCCCTTTCGCAGGTCTCGCCTCCTGTGCCGTCGAGGGCTGCGGCCTGACGTCCAACCTGTGGCTCTGCCTCGTGTGCGGCGCGCTCGGCTGTGGGCGGCAGCAGTTTGGCGGCGGCGGCGGCAACGGGCACGCGCTCAAGCACACGAGCGAGACGGGCCACGCGGTCGCCGTCAAGCAGGGCACGATCGAGCCTGATGGCTCTGCCGGTGCGTCACTCGCTCTCACACTCTCGTCGGGCTTCGACGACGCCGTGACGGGACCCCTGACTTGGCCTCTTCGCGCCGGGACACAGACGTCTACTGCTACGCCTGCGACGATGCTCGCGTCGACCCCGATATCGCCAAGCACCTGTCGACGTTCGGCATTGAGGTCGCGAGTCAGAAGAAGACGGAGAAGAGCATGACCGAGCTTGTGCGTCCCCTCGTCCACCCGGCCATCCTCGCTCCGCCCAGACTGACTCTTTCCTCCTCGTCCACAGCAAGTCGAGCAGAACCTGACGTTCGACTTTGCGATGACGGGCGCCGACGGCAAGGACCTCGAGCCGCTCGCCGGGCCCGGCTTGACCGGCCTCAAGAACCTCGGCAACAGGTGCGCCTGCTTCCTCTTCCCCCCATTGAGACGCCGTCCTGACGTTTCGCTCTCTCCCACAGCTGCTACATGGCGTCGTCGCTCCAGTCCCTCTTCTCGCTCCCGGCCTTCCAGGACCGGTACCTCACGTCGTTCGTCGTCCACACGGCGTCCTGCACCAACCCGTCGCCGGCCACGTGCTTCGAGTGCCAGATGTCCAAGGTCGCCGACGGCCTCCTGTCGGGTCGCTACGCCATCCCGCACGTGGCCGAGCCGTCCGACGCGCTCGCTGGCAACGACGTCGAGTCGTCGGGCCCGAGCGCCGCCAACGACGAGCGCGCGCAGTTCCAGGAGGGCATCAAGCCGTCCATGTTCAAGGCGCTCGTCGGCAAGGACCACGCTGAGTTCTCGACGATGCGTCAGCAGGACGCGGGCGAGTTTGTCGCGCACCTGCTCGAGTACATCCGGCGCGCGGCCAAGCAGCTCGGGACCGACGAGCCGACGGGCATCTTTGGCTTTGCCGTCGAGGAGCGCCTCGAGTGCCAGGAGTGCCACGGCGTGCGGTACAAGACCCAGACGCAGGAGCTCCTCCCGATCCCTGTCCCCGTCACGGTCAAGCCGCACGCCGAGTCGATGGACGTCGAGAGCGACGGCGAGACGCGCACGACGTACAAGCAGGACGACAAGCGCCAGGTCGAGTACGAGCCGGTCGAGCTCACGAGCTGCCTCGGCGACTTCACGAGCCCGGTCGAGATCGAGTACAGCTGCCCGCAGTGCGACAAGAAGGTGTCAGCCGTCAAGTGCGTCCCATTTTTCTCTCTCCTCGTCGACCGCATGTCCTGCACGAGCGGCCCCTGACCCCGCTGCGCGCCCACAGGTCGACCCGCTTCGCGACCTTCCCGGACGTCCTCCTCGTCAACGCGGCGCGGTTCCAGCTCGATGGCTGGGTCCCGCGCAAGGTCGACGTGCCGCTCATCGTGCCCGCGACGGGCCTCGACATGAGCCCGTACGTCGGCAAGGGCCTGCAAGAGGGCGAGAAGGAGCTGCCGCAGGACAAGGCCGGTGCGTCGTCTTGCTCCCTCTCTCTCCCTCTCTCCTCCTCTCTCTCCCAGTTAACACGAGCCTCTCCTGACGAGACGCACCCCGCAGATGCACCCGCCGAGTTCCAGTTCGACGCCGAGGCCATGACGCAGCTCACCGGCATGGGCTTCCCCGAGATCCGCGCCAAGCGCGCCCTCCTCGCCACCGGGCACAACGGCGCCGAGGTCGCCATGAACTGGCTCTTTGAGCACATGGAGGATGCCGGTGCGTCCCGTCCTCTCCTCTCGCGCTGCGCGTCCGGCCCCTGACTGTCGCCGCCCGTCCCTCTCCTCCTTCGCCCTCCCTCGCGCAGACATCGACGACCCGCTGCCCGCCGCTGCGCCTGCCGCCTCGAGTGGGCCCGACATCCCGGCCGACCAGATCGCCATGGTGTGCGACATGGGCTTCACGCCGGCCCAGGCGCGCAAAGCGCTCGGCGAGACGGGCGGCAGCATCGAGCGCGCCGTCGAGTGGCTCTTCTCGCACCCGGACGACGACGGCTCTGCGCCTGCCGCCGCATCGAGCGCCACGGCAGGCTCGAGCGGCACGACGCTGCCCGGGTCCAAGGACGTGCCGGCCAAGTACCGCCTCAAGGCGTTCATCTCGCACAAGGGCCCGTCGGTGCACTCGGGCCACTACGTCGCGCACGTGTGGACCGGGCAGGCGAGCGTCGGCGGCGTCGAGGGCAAGGGCGGGTGGGTCCTGTTCAACGACGAGAAGGTCGTGCGCGCCGACGAGGGCGAGCAGGCGGCCGACAAGCTCATGCCGCTCGCGTACGTCTACCTGTTTGAGCGCGTGCGGGACTAGGGCGCTCGTGTAGCCGAGACGTAGCCGAGACGGTGTGAATACGAGCATCTGTCGAGATGGATTCCCTCAAGGAGAGAGCGACTTGTGTGTCCCGCTTGAGCGCCAGCAGTTGAGGCGGCGAGGCGCACCTCGAGAGAGCGGCCACACTTTGACTCAGCTCCGGATCTCGCACCGCCGTCCAGCAGCACCAAACTCGAGCACAGTCAGCAGCCGAGCGCACCGCTACAGCCCCTCGCCGTCGTTGACGAACACCCTCCTCCTCCGCCTCCCCACCGCCAAACTCGCCGCCCCTCTCGCCCACCGGCCAGTACCAGCGCGACCATGCCACCCAAGGCCGACTTGAACAAGGCGGGCCACGAGCAGAGCGACTTTCCCTCGCTGTGCAACGTCTGCCTCGGCCCGAACCCGTGCGTCCTCCTCCTCATCAGTCGCGTGCTCCTCGAGGGCGACCTGGCTCACTGGCGGCTGTGCGCGCAGGTACATCCGCATGAGCAAGCAGCCTCTCGGCGCAGAATGCAAGGTCTGCACCCGTCCGTTCACCGTGAGCCGTCCTCTCCCCTCCTTCCCTCTCCTCGGCGCGACCCTCGAGCAACCCGCTGACCAAGCCTCGCCCCTCCCACAGGTCTTCAAGTGGCTGCCCGGCCAGGGTTCGCGGTACAAGAAGACCGAGATCTGCACCGTGTGCGCAAAGGCCAAGAACGTGTGCCAGACGTGCCTCCTCGACCTCCAGTTTGGCCTCCCGACCCAGGTCCGCGACACGGTCCTCGGCATCAAGACCAAGGCGCCGTCGAGCGACATCAACCGCGAGTACCACGCGCAGAACCGTGCGTCTCGAGTCTCGCCCTCTGCCTCTCGTCCACGTTCGTGCGCTGACCTCGAACTTGCCCCTCCTTCCCTCGTCTCGCTGCACCGTCACACCTTGCGCCGCCCTCTCGACCCTTCCCTCGTCGACTATGTCCCCCACCCTTCATCCCGCACGACCTCGCAGTCGAACGAGCGCAAGAAGAAGGCGCGACGGGCGAGTTCCAGTTCGGCAAGGCCGACAGCGCCGGCAAGGAGCTCCTCAAGCGCCTCGCCCGCCAGGACCCGTCGTACAAGCGCAACCGGCCCCACATCTGCTCGTTTTACGCCAAGGGCGCGTGCAACCGCGGCGACTCGTGCCCGTACCGCCACGAGCTGCCTGTCGAGAACGAGATGAGCCACCAGAACATCAAGGACCGATGTGCGCCTCGCCTTCCCACCCTCTCTCTGTACCCCGAGTGACTCGACGACGCGGCGGACTGACCCCCTCCTTGCACCCTCGCAGACCACGGCTCGAACGACCCGGTCGCCCGCAAGATCCTGTCGAAGCATGCCGGCGCGTCGGGCATGGCGCCGCCTGCAGACCAGGAGATTGTGCGTCCCCCTCTCACTCTCTCTGCGAAGGTCGTACCCGGCCGCACAGGGACTGTCGAGCCCTCGTCGCGTGCCCGCCAGCGGTCGAGCCTCGAGAGCCGCACTGACCCTCTCTCTCGCCCCGTCACAGACCTCGCTCTTCCTCACCGCACTCCCCGCCACCGCCACCGAGGACTCGATCCGAGATGCTCTCACGTCGGGCGCGGGCATCTCGTCGAGCAAGATCAAGTCGGTCGTGCTCGTCTCGTCGAGCAAGGTCAGCTTTGTCAACTTTACGAGCCGCGACGCGGCCGAGGACGCGGCGGCCAAGTGCAGCGTCGGGCTCAAAGTCGACAGCCACGAGGTCAAGGTGCAGTGGGGGCGGAGCAGGCCCAAGAAGGGCGGTGCGGGCGCCGTCAAGGCGGCACCGGCGGCGGTTGTCAGCGAGCGCGAGATCGAGTCGTCGGGCCAGTGAGCCCGGCTCGTGTTCGGCTCTCTCTCGTGAGCTTTGTACCCGTCCAGTCATTCCTCATCCACGTTGTGCACTCTGCGGGCCTCGGAGCTGCGAGAGTCGCTGCCGAAGAAGAGAGAGAGCGACCGGGGCGTTTCGAGGGGGGTCCGACCGCCTCGGCGGTGCGGGTCGCGCGCTTCCGCGTCGCCGGTCTTCAGAGAGCTTGTTGCGCCGAGCCACTGCGCTTACGAGGGCGCGCAGCGGCGCAGGTTCGGCCCGCAAGAAAGGCGCCGGCGGTCGGTGCGATTTGCTCCCCGCGCCCGCGCGCGCCAGCTGCCGAGGGTCGTCGCTCCTCGCTCCCTCTCTCTCTCTCTCTCATCTTCCTCGCACTTGCTGCGAGTACTGCTACAGCACACGGCAAGCCTCCATCGTCGCGCCCACCCGTCTCAGTCGCCGCCACACCCGCTCCTCGTCGTCCGCTCTCCCCTCCTCTCGCACCCTCTCGCTCTTCGACCATGGTCAACGCACCGCCGCAGCAGTTCAAGAAGTTCGATGTCGAGGACAAGCTCGCTCAGCTGTCCATGGCGACCAAGATCAAGCTACTCGGCGGCAAGGTGCGCTCCCTCTTTCCTCCTCCTCCTCTGAGCCGAGCGACCTCTTACGACCCTCCCTCTACAGGACTTCTGGACGTTCGAGGACTCGCTCGACGAGGGTGTTCCTTCCTTGCGCACGTCGGACGGCCCCAACGGCGTGCGGGGGCGCAACTTCTTCAACGGCGTCCCGTCGTCCTGCTTCCCGTGCGGCACCGGCCTCGCCGCCTCGTTCGACAAGGGCATGATGCACCGTGTCGGCCAGGCCTTGGGCGACGAGTGTCGCGCAAAGAGCGCGCACGTCCTCCTCGGCCCGACCGTCAACATCCAGCGCTCGCCCCTGGGCGGCCGAGGGTTCGAGAGCTACAGCGAGGACCCTCTGCTGTCGGGCCTGCGTGCGTCCTCCTTTCTCTCACTCGTGACGACGTGCCGCAGATCAGCATACTGACGCCCGTCGTCCCCCTCCAGTCGCGGCCGAGTACATCAACGGCCTCCAGGCCAAGGGCGTCGCGGCCTGCATCAAGCACTTTGTCGCCAACGACCAGGAGTTCGAGCGCTTCTCCGCCGACAGTGCGTCCACGGCCCGTCTCCTCCCCTCGTTCGCCGTCTCTGACTGTGCCCTCTCGTCTTCCCCGTCCTCCTCTCTCTTCAGGCGTCGTCTCGCAACGCGCTCTTCGCGAGATCTACCTCGAGCCGTTCCGCCTCGCCGTCAAGCACTCGAACCCGAAGGCGTTCATGACGAGCTACAACCGCCTCAACGGCAAGCACTGCTCGGAGAACAAGGAGCTCCTCGACGGCATCTTGCGCGGCGAGTGGGGCTGGGACGGCCTCGTCATGTCCGACTGGATGGGCGTCTACTCGGTCGACGAGTCGGTCAAGGCCGGCCTCGACGTCGAAATGCCGGGACCGCCCGTCATGCGCGGCAGCACCGTCAACCGGGCGTTCGGCGCGGGCAAGCTCGCGGGCGAGGACATCGACGACCGCGTGCGCAACATCCTCCACCTCCTCAACTTTGCCATCGACTCGAGCATCCCGTTCTACGCCGGCGAGGACAAGGTCGACACGCCCGAGCTGCGCGCCCTCCTGCGCGAGGCGGCCGCCAACGCGACCGTCCTTCTCAAGAACGACTCGGGCCTCCTCCCGCTCAGCGCCGCGTCGACCAAGGGCAAGAAGATTGCCGTCATCGGCACCAACGCCAAGGTCGCCTACCCGTCGGGCGGCGGCAGTGCGTCGCTCGCGCCGAGCTGGCTCGTGTCGGCGCTCGACGGCATCACGGCCGCCGCCGACGAGGTCGGTGCGTCGGTCGACTACGCCGTCGGCGTCGCCGCGTTCCGCTACGTTCCGCTCCTCGACCCGTACCTCACGCACCCGACGAGCGGCAAGCAGGGCGCGCTCGTCGAGTTCTACAACGGCAAGCCCGACGGCCAGTGGTTCAAGAGCGCCGAGGTGCCCAAGGCGACCAAGCCCGACTTTGCGCTCGACACCGACACGTCCCTGTGCTTCATGATCGACGGCGTGCCCTGGGAGAAGCTGGACAGGCACGTTCGCGCTCGTGTACGTCGACCTTCCCCTCGCGATTTCTCTCCTTCTTCCCTCCCTTCCTCCGACCCCAAGGCCCTTTCCACCTGAGCAGCCATCCTGACACTCTATCCACCTGCAGTACGCCGCGACCTTCACGCCCGACACGTCCGGCAAGTGGACGTTCGGCCTCGGCTCGATCGGCGCCTCGCAGCTCTTCCTGGACGGCAAGCCCATCATCGAGAACGTCGAGTCGTACAAGCCGGGCGAACTCTTCTTCAACATGGGCTCGCAGGAGGTCCGAGGCGAGGTCGAGCTCGAGGCGGGCAAGGCGTACCAGCTCGAGCTGCACGGCTACGTCGACCCGTCGTCGCTCGGCGCGTCGCCGTTCACCTTCTCGTCGTCGTTCCGCATCGGCGGCTTCCCGACCGTCGTGCCCGAGACGGCGCGCAATGAGGCGGCCGACCTCGCGAGCAAGAGCGACCTCGCGATCGTTGTTGTCGGCACGAACCCGGACTGGGAGTCGGAGGGGTTCGACCGCAAGACGATGAGGTGCGCCGACTCTCTCGCCGACTCTCTCTCCCTCTCTCTTTCGCTACCGAAAGCGGATCCTGACGTCTCTCTCTCTCTCGTTCCCGCAGGATCCCTGGCGAGTCGGACGAGCTCGTGCGCGCCGTCCTCGCCGCCAACAAGAACACGATCGTCGTCAATCAGAGCGGCACGCCCGTCGAGTTCCCGTGGGTCGACGACGCGGCGACGGTCGTCCAGACCTTCTTCGGCGGCAACGAGCTCGGCAACGGCCTCGCCGACGTCCTGTTCGGCAAGGTCAACCCGTCGGGCAAGCTCCCGCTCACGTTCCCGTACGTCCGCCTCTCTCTTTCTCTCTCGCCTCTCTAGGCTCGCGCACTTGATGGAAAACTGACTCGGTCCGCCTCGCCCTGCCCTGCAGGGTCCGCCTCGAGGACAACCCGTCCTTCAACTCGTTCGGCATCACGTCCGACACGCCGGGCAAGGTCGTCTACAGCGAGGGCATCTACGTCGGCTACCGCCACTACGGCCGCGCCAAGCTCGCACCGGCGTTCCCGTTCGGCCACGGCCTGTCGTACACGTCGTTCGAGTTCAAGTCGCTCTCGACGTCGGCCGTGTCGGACGAGGGCGACCTCACCGTCTCGTTCGAGGTCAAGAACACGGGCAAGGTCGACGGTGCCGAGGTTGCGCAGGTCTACGTCGCCGCGCCGGTCGAGGGCCGCATCACGTCTCCCGTCAAGGAGCTCAAGGCGTTTGAGAAGGTCGTCCTCAAGGCTGGCGAGGGCAAGACGGTCGAGGTCAAGCTGTCGCGCGAGGCGTTCTCGTACTACGACGAGCGGTACGGCAAGTTCGTCGCGCCCAAGGGCGTGTACGAGGTCCGGGTCGCGACGTCGTCGAGCGAGAAGGACGTCAAGCTGCGGGCGTCGGTCGAGGTCGTCAAGGAGATCCGGTGGAGCGGTCTGTAGTTCTGCTGCACGTAGAGTCTGTCGAGTCGGGAACTGCAGTACAGGGTTTCCGCATCGCGCGTTCGAAGAAGCTCGGAGGGAAAGGCGAGACTCGACCAGCGTCGGGGCCTGCGACGGCTCCTCGCCTTTGGCCTGACCTCTCGCCGCTCCAGCTCGCTCGCAGTCCTTGCTGCTGCTGCCTGCGCTCTCGCGGGCCCCGACCGCCCTGTCCAGCCGCCAGCACCAACCGCCGCGACCTCGCGCGCCGGCCTTCCCCACCCTCTTCAATCGCGCCGACCCGCTCAAACAACCCGGCCCGTCATGGAGGACGACGCCCTGGCACCCTCATCTGCCAGCCCCAGGGCCTCCGAGCATGGCGACGAGCTCCTGCCACCACCTCCCGCTCCTCTCACGACCCTCAGCGGCCGTGCCTTCAAGGTTCCCAACAAGATCGCGTAAGTCCCCTCCCTCTGGCCTGCCCTGATCCCGTACGGCAGACGAACACGACCCTGACCTGTCTGCGCATGCCCACAGCTGCCTGGGCTGCAGGACGATCAAGGTCAAGTGCCGCCTCCCCGACGGCTCGGCACCCTCGGGCGACTTGGACAAGGACGAGGGCAAGTGCGCGCGCTGTATCCGCCTCAAGCTCCCGTGCGAGTACAAGAGCGCGCCCAGGCGAGGTCGCAAGCCCAAGGACCGCTCGCTCGGCACCGGCGCCGGCGCCGCACCGCCGTCGAGCAGCGCCGCAGCACCACCTTTCCTCCCCACCTCCGCCAGCCTACCCGACCCGCACCCCGTCAGCAGGGCCATGTACAGCCTTCCTCCACCGTCCGGCGTTGCGTCCGACCCGAGCGCCCACGTCCACGCCCTCCCTTCCTTCCCATCCTCTTCCACGGCCTCGACGTCGAGCGTCCCTCTTCCTCCGACATGGCCCCTCCCTCCTCCTCCTCTTCCGAGCGCGCCTCTCGCCTCGCCGCACCTCGGCTACCCGCACACGTCGCCGTTCGGCAGCTACGCCCAGCCGTCACTGGCCCCGCAGCCGCCGTCGTGGCCCGCACCGCGCGCGAGCCAGGCGCACAGCTCGCCGGCCCTGTCGGCGCACGCGCAGCCGTCACCCGCATCGCTCGCCGGCTCGACGACCGAGCCGGCGCAGACGATGCTGTCGCTCGCCGAGGCGGCCGACGTCAAGAGCTCGAGCTTCACCTCGAACCGGCCGTCGCTCCTTCACGGGCTCGGCAAGGGCAAGAAGCCTGCGCCCAAGATGCCTGATCCAGTCGACATGCGTGCGTCCACCGGTTCTCGTCGTCTCTGGAGCGGGACGGGAAGGACGGGCCGACACTGACTCTCCCTCGACGGTCACCTCTTTCCCTCCTTCCTCCTCGGCATCTTTCCCCTCACCCTTGAACCCCTCATCCTTCCTCTCCTCGCCACTGTACATCTCTTTCCCTCCTACTCGACGGACTCGGCCCCCTCGACTGCCTCGTCACGACCCGGTCGACGCAGACGTCCTTACGGCTCTCGAAGCCGAGCAGCTCTTCCAGCTCTTCCACACGCAGCTCAACTGCTTCATCGTCCTGTTCGACGCACACCTGCACACCGCCGACTACGGTCCGTCCCCTCTCACCCTTTTCTTTGTCGTCGACACCTCGCTCACGGACCTCCTCGACCCCGCAGTCCGGACCACGTCTACCGTCCTGTTCACCGCCATCCTCACCGCGTCGGCCAAGTTCTTCCGCCCCGACCTGTACCCTCAGCTCCTCGCGAGCGCGCAGCAACTCGTCACGCGGGCCATGGGCGGCGACGGCGACCCGGAAATCGGTCTGCTCCAGTCGCTTCTGATCCTCACGTACTGGTGAGCCCCTACCCTCTCTCTCCGACTCCTTCCCTCTCCTGTCTTCGATCTGACCTGACGAACACGCTTTGCGCGCAGGAAGGAGCCGTTCGACACGAGCGCGTGGCTCCGGGTCGGCTACGCGATCAGGCTCGGTGCGCATTGGCTCCTCTCTTCCTCCCTCCCACCACCTGCCGGTACCCGAGAGCTGACCTTCTCTGGAGCGCAGGGTATCAGCTCGGCCTGCATCACAAGCGACGGCATCCGCTGCCCGAGAACGAGCACGAGGCTCGCGTCATGCTCGACCGCGAGCGCACCTGGATCGTCCTCATCTGCAACGACAAGTCCGTCCTCCTCTCTCGCAGTCGACGGCTCTCCTGCCACATGGTCGAGGACTGACGCTCGCCGCACCCGCAGTTCGTACAAGCTCGAAGACTCGACCTACGAGACGCGCATGATCCCGTCTCCCGACGTCGACATCGACGCGTGGCTGGAAGAGACGCGCCGGTACAACGTTCGCGACGACAACGAGCAGGCCGTCTCGATCTCGCTCGTCCAGATCTACCCGCTCTTCCGCACAATCGCGTCGGCGCCCACCCGGTCGGTCGCGAGCTCGCTCGCGTCGCACATCGACGGGCTCCTCGCCGAGATGCACTCTAAATATCTCGACCCGAGCTGTGCGTCCCCTCCTCTTCTCTCTATCAGGCGGCGTCGAGTCGTCGACTGACTTGGTCTCTTTTTCCCTGAGCAGCTCGCGTCTACCAGAGCTTCACGCCGGCTTGCGCGCACAAGGCCCGCTTCCACTGGCGCTCGGCGCGCTTCGAGCTGGCCATGGCGTGTCTGCTCGTCGCCGGCGTCTCGGACCAGCTCGTGCTCGTCAACTTCATGGCGCGCGCGAGCGACCTCGTCGAGTGCTTCGAGGAGGCGGTTCGGTGCGTCCCCTCTCTCGCCCTCTCTCGTCCCGTCTCCGCCATGCGTCCTCGGTACTGACTCTTGCACGAGCAGTGAGGGCATCTTGCGCTACATGCAGGACACGATTGCCGTCCGCATGCTCGCCGCCGGCGAATGCCTCGGCAAGGTCTTCTCGCAAGCGAGCCCGTCGCTCCAGGCGAGCATCGTCGGCTACATCTCTCGCAGTGCGTCTCTCGGTCTCTCTGCAAGTCTACTCGTTCGCGACTGACCCTCTCCTGCGCCACAGTCTACGTCGCCGCCTCGCGCGCCAAGGAGGGCAACGAGGACTCGGCGCCCGCCTTCATCGCCCGCCTGTACAAGGCCGTGTTGCGCGCGCTTCATCCCGCAGGTGTTCCGCCGACGAGGCCGGCGTCGCCCGGCTCGAGCGCGCAGCAGGGCGAGAGCGCGCTCGGCGTCTTCCAGCAGCTCGACGGCTTGCAGTCCGAGATCTGGACGGGCCTCGACTCGCTCGTGGCGGACCTCAACCGCGACAACCAGTACTGGTGCGTCTGCCTCGTTCTCTCTGCCGTGCATCGAGTCGGGCCGGGCACTGACTGTCCTTGCCTCGTTCCTCCGCACCTTCCCCTTGCCCTCTCACCCCCTTCCACCTCCCGCCTTCCGCCTCGTCGCGCACATGCAGGGACTCGCTCAACTCGGCGCAGACCAACTCGAGCTGGGCCTGGCTCGACTCGATGCTCCTCCAGCCGCCGCAGGACGGGGCTGGCGCGCCCTCCTGAGTTGGCGCGCGCGCTTCTCTTTCGTAGCGGCAGTACCTCGTGCATCGAGAGAGCGTTTGCGTGCATGTGTTGCGCCGTGAGAGAGCTGCGCAGAGCTGTCGCAGTGGGCGAGAGGAAGCGCTCGAACCTCCCACCCGAGGTCTCGGCCGATCCAGAATGACGCCGCGCCGGCCGCCGGTGGTGGACCTCTCCCTCTCTCCCACCACCTCTCGCGCTCACAGGCTGGGCTGCTGCTATGTCTCCTCGGCAGCAGGTCATCCGTGTCGGCATCGTCGGGTGCGGCGAGGTCGCCCAGGTCCGTCCTCGTCCCTTCATCTCCCCGCACCTCCCACTCGAGCTTCGAGGCGTCGCAGCAGAGCCGTGCAGCCGGAATCGTGGCACAGGAGTCTGATGGAACAGGTCTGTACAGCGTGCTGACCAGCTCGCACTCGCAGACGACCCACCTCCCGACTCTCGCCCTCCTCAACCACCTCTACTCGGTGCACGCGCTGTGTGACGTCTCGCCAGGGTTCCTCGGCCATTGTGCCGCCAAGTTCGGCATCAGCAGGACCTACAGCGACTAGTGAGCCGCTCTCGCTCTGTCGTTCTGAGCCACCCCGAGCTGACTCTCCGCGCGCATCGCAGCCGCGACCTCGTCAACGACCCCGAGGTCGACCTCGTCATGATCCTCACTGCCGACGAGTACCATGCATCCATCGCTGTCGCGGCGAGCGACGCCGGCAAGGCCGTCTTCATCGAGAAGCCGATGGCGCTCACCGCCGACGATGCCGACCTGATCATCGACGCCGAGAAGCGGAACCAGACGTGCATGTTCGTCGGCTACATGCGCCGCTACGCTGCGGCGTACGAGCGCATGAAGGAGGAGGTCGCGAGCATCGGCGACATTCGCTACGCCACCGTGCGCGACATCATCGGGTCCGTGCGTGCACTTTCTCTGCCTCGTCTCGTCGTCGACGGAACGAGACCCTGACGACGCCCTGTCGCGCGCAGAATCACCTCTTTGTCTCGGAGAGCGGCACATTTCCCGCCACGTTCGGCGACTTTCCTGCCGACGCCAACGACGACCGCGTCGCACGCGGTCGGGCCATCGCGCAACAGGCGCTGTCGCCGGCACAAGCTTCGAACGCTCGCGACGTGTCGACCTACCGGCTCCTTGGCAGCCTTGGCTCGCACGACCTGTCGGCCATGCGCGAGCTACTCGGCATGCCCAAGCGCTGCATCGCCGCGAGTCGGGCCCAGGGCGACGGCCCGCCGTTCATCATAGCGCTGTTCGAGTTTCATGGCTTCACGTGCACGTACGAGACGGGCATCGACGACGTCGCCGACTTTGACGCCCACATCGAGGTCATTGGGCAGCACAAGCGCGTCAAGATCAAGTACGACACGGTGCGTCCCTCTCTCTCTCCCTCTCAAGCGAGCCCTCCCTCCTCTTGTTCGCCGGCTCCGCGGTCAGCCCGAGCACGTTCTCCCGGACGGTCTCGTCGACGCGCGCACACGACTGACGGCGCCATTCTCTCGCGCGCAGCCGTACGTCAAGGGCCTTCCTATCTGCGTCGAGGTCAAGGAGCGCGACTCGACGGGCGCGTACGTCGAGCGCACGATCCGCCCGACGTACAAGGACGCCTACACGCTCGAGCTCGAGAGCCTGCACGCCTCGTTGACGCAGGGCGCGCCGGTCAAGACGACGCCGAGCGATGCGAAGGAGGACTTGAGCATCTTTGCGATGGTGATGGGGGCGCTCGTCAATTGAAGAGTGCTACAGTACGCCTGCGGCCGTCTCTAAAGTGCAAGCTGAGAGTGAGAGAACCGGTCTCGTGAATTCTGAGAGATCTACGAGCACCGCCTCACTTCCTCATCACCCTCCCCCCTCCCCTTGTCCTCCTCCCCCACCTGGCCCGCACCATGTCGACCCAGCTCTCCGACGAGCAGATCATCGCGGCCTTTCACGTCTTCTGCCGCGACGCACTCGCCCAGGCTCGAGCCGAGGGCTTGCTCGACGACGGCGACCTCGAGCAGGCTGGTGAGCCCCCCCTTGGTGTCGCTGCCTGCGCGAGCATGCTACTGACCTACCTGCGCACACAGACGTCGACGTCCAGGTCGCTGGCCCTGCCCTCGCCCTCTTCTTCGCGGCCCTTGGAGCTCGCGGCTCGCCGCCTTCCATCTCGTCGCCCGATGCCGCCTTCTCGCTCACGACCGACAACTGCCCCGACACGTTCCGCAACGCCTTCTCGCTGTGGCAGCGCACGGTCGAGCCGGTGCAAGGGTTCTCGTCGACGGCGCGGCACGACCTCGCCCTGCTGCTGTGCGAGAAGGAGGTCAAGTCGAGCCCGCTGCGGCTCGACGTCGCCCGTATCGCCGCCGACTTGAAGGGCATTGCCCTCGAGATCCTTCAGGTGCGCTCGACGACCTCCCTCGACTCAGTCACAAGCCGCTCACCCGCCCTGTCCCCCCTCGCCGCAGCGCCGCTCCTTCCAGATGCGCTTCCGCCACGACCTGCAGGCCGCGCTCGACACGTCGATCCGCCCTCGCACCAGTACCGACAGCGATCGACCACACGCCGCGTACGAGCCGCCGCCGATGTACTACGAGGGCGAGCCGACGCCCGACACGAAGCGCGCGCACGCGCACCTCGCCCAACACGACGCGCCCGAGGCCAACGCCGATGCGGCCGCCGACGGCGAGGGCCTCGCGCTCATCCGCGAGACGCTGTACGCCGCCCTCGGCGATGTCATGGTCGAGACGCCGGCCATCCTGTCGATGCTCGCTCGAGGCGCCGACTACGCCCCGCAAGCGTTCTTTGCCTCGACCGCGTTGGCCATCCTCGACGTCGCCTTGACCCGGGTCGACGAGCACGGCGTCCGACCTGTCCACATGGGCCATGGTTCGCCAACTCGCATCGGCTTGAGGGACACACCTCGTGAGCACCACCTTCCCTGCCCTCGCTTGCCCCTCCCTCGCCGCCCAAACTGACTATGTACCCTCCCACAGCCTATCTTCGACCTCTACTCGGCGGCCTCGTCGAGCTCTCGCAGGCGAGTCGGGCGCTACAGGACGAGGACGACGCGCGAGCGGTGCGCGAGGCGACCGAGGGCGTCGAGCAGCTCACGCCGCCGAGGCTCGACCAGCTCCGCGAGCGGCTCGTGCAGGGCGTCGGCGCGACCGAGGAGGAGGACGTGCAGGTGCAGGCGATCGCGAACGGCGTCAACCAGCTCGCTCTCGGTGCGTCCCTTGCTCTCTGTCTCGCTCTCGTTCTCAGGGTGCGGCTCTCGTCGACTGCGACTGACTCTCTCGCGCGTTCTGCAGGCATGTCGTCGCTGCCGGCGTTCCGCGAGCGGCAAGCCCAGGCGCTGCAGGTCCTGGTCGCCATCACCGCCATGTGAGCCCGAGGAGGAGAAGGAGCGCGAGTCGAGGGAGGGACAGAGTCGAGGATGGCCCGTTTGTGCCCATGTTGTCGTCTAGCCTGCCATGTCAATCGAGTCTCGTTCCTCCTCGAGATTGGATGTGCAATTGCACAGGTTCTGAGCGAGAGACAGGTGGAGCCCTCCGTCCGCGGAGAACAACGGAAGTGGCCTCTCCCCAGCCACCATGAGCGCACCGGCTGCCGACCTGCCGACTGGCGGAGGAGCTAGCTCGCCCGAGTCGACGACGGCGTCCAAGGGCAAGCGCAAGGCCAACGGCGACGACGACGAGTGGGCCGGAGGAGGAGGAGCGGAGGGAGGCGACGCCGCCAGCAAGAAGCGCCGCAACCGCAAGGTGCGCTGCCGTGGCCGTGGTCCCTGTCTAGCAGGGCTGCACTGACTCTCTCGACCCCCGCAGCCCGTCACCTGTGCGCGTGAGCCGCCGTCTCGCTCTCCCCCCTCATCCTCACCGTTCCCCCACTGACGCCCGACTCGCCCGCCTCTCCCTCGTCCAACGCTCGCAGAATGCCGTCGAAGGTGCGTCTACTCTCTCCCTGTACCGCTCTACGCGCACCGCTCACCCTTTGTTCTCCCGCCAACAGGAAGCTCAAGTGCGACCGCGGCTACCCTTGTGAGCCCCTTCCTGCGACTGTCAACGCTCGAGGCAGGACCAGCGGCTGAGTCTCGTTCCTTTTGCAGGTGGGGCATGCCGTGACCGCCAGGAGGGGCACCTGTGCGAGTGGGAGGGCGCCATCCGTCTGCCGCAACCGTGCGTCCCGAACTCTCTCAACTCGACTCGTCGGCGCCGCCTTCTCCCCCTGCTTACCTCTCTCCTTCCTCCTCACAGGCACCTCACGCGCGACGCCGAGGCGCAGGAGCTCCGCGTCCAGCTCGACCGCCTCGAGCAGCTCATCGGCGGCATCACGGGCGCGGCGGGAGCGGCGGCAGGAGGGACGCCGCGCGAGGGCGGCGCGCTCAGCGGCGTCGCAGAGGAGAACGCGGCAGAAGCACTCGGACTACTCGCGGTGCGTCCTCGTCCCTCGACCACTGGCAGGGCGAGCGAGACGAGACTGACTGAGTGTCCTCGAGCAGGCCAACACGAGCACCGACGGCGAGCGCAAGAGCGTCGCCGTGTCGGCAGCGCACCGCGCGCACATTCTCGCTGTCGCACCGACCGTCCAGCACCTCGTCCAGCTCCTGCCGCCAAAGCGCGAGGTGCGTCGTCTCTCCCTACTTCTCGTTCAAGGTGGCCTGACCTGACGCGCCTCGACCGTCCCGCAGCTCGATGCCCTCATCATGCACTTCCTCTCGAGCGAGCTCAGCTTCTTCCCCATCGTGCACGAGCCGTCGTTCCGCGCGAGGGTCCACGAGGCCCAGTACGCGACGCTCGCCGGCCAGCCGATGCTCCTCGCCCTGTTTTTCGCCATCGCGACCCTCGAGATGGGGTGGCAGCTCACCGAGGTCGGCATCGCCAAGAAGGCGAGGACCGACAAGGAGCTCGCCGCCAAGAGGTTCTTCGAGTCGTCGATGGAGGCGCTCAGAATGGGAGGGTGCGTCCCGCTCTCTCTCTCTCTCTCTCTTATATGCGACGAACTCTCGCATTCTCAGTGACTCACTCTCCTCTCTCCTCGTCTTGCAGGTACATGGAGGCGCCCAACCTCGACGTCGTTCGCACGCTGCTCACGCTGCACCGGTACGCCGAGCAGCAGAGCGACGCGCGCACGAGCAGCTTGCTCAGCCAGGCCGTCCTCGCCGCCCAACTCGTCGGCCTCAACCGCGAGCCGAGCACGGCCGGCGTCGTCCTGTCGCACATCGAGGTCGAGGAGCGGCGTCGCCTGTGGCGCATCATCATCTGCCTCGACTGGCTCGACACGTCGGGCCGGCCGTGCCTCGTCACGCACTCGCAGTTCGACACGCGCGAGCCGACCAACGCGTTCGACGCCAACATCACCGACGACGGCGTCCTCGCGAGCGCCCAGTTCGACTTTACGCCGAGCCTGTACACGGTCACGCTCACGCAGCTGGCCTACGTCGGTCATTCGATCAAGGAGTACATTTACGCCGTCAAGGCGCCGTCGCTCCCGACATGGAAGGTCATCGTCGACCAGAACGCGACGCTCGCGCGCCTCAAGGCGAGCCTGCCCGTCCTCAAGCTCGACGGCGACAGCGTCGTGCCGCTCGAGGCCAAGAACTTTGCGACCGACCGCCTGCGTGTGTTCCTCCACATGGCCGTCCTCCAGCTTGTCGTCCGCCTCAACAGGCCGTTGTGCGTCCCCTCCTTCTCTCCCACTGCGTCGCGAGGGAGCCGTCCTGACCTTGGTCGCCTTTTTTTTTTTTGCCACAGCCTGTCGCGCGGGTTCGCCGACCAGCGCCTCGCCGAGGGTCGCCTCGCCTGCATCAACGCCGCGTACGTCGCTCCTTCCTCCCTCTAAGCAGCATGCGCCGGCCCTGACAAGGTTCCCTCGCACCGCAGGCACGGCCTCATGTCGCTGTGGCTCGGCTACCCGGACTCGCACGCCATGTCGCGCTTCCACGTCCCGCTCTTCCACTGCCTCAACGGCCTCGTCATTGCCGCCCTCGACCTGTTCCAGGACCCGCTCGGCGCGCACGCCGACAAGCACCGCCGCCTCGTCGCGCGCGTCTCGATGCGCCTCGAGGCGCGCGACCACAAGAGCGACCTCGTCGTCGAGGTGCTCGGCATCGTCGAGGCCCTGCAGCGCCACTCGCTCACGAGCGACCTCGGCGGCGAGCGTACGTCTCTGTCGTTCTTCGCCCTCCCTTCCTCTCGCGCACGAGCCCCGCCTAACCTTCCTCTCGTCCCGTGCACAGACCTCCCCGCCTTCGACTACGGCCCGCTCTCGCCCAGCACCGTCTTCAGCCGGTCGCTCCCGCTCGCGCTCACGGCCGACCCGTTCGTGCCCTTTGCGCGCGCCGAGCGCGAGCGCGTCGCCGCCTCGTTGGCGGCGGGCGGCGACGAGGCGGCGAGCACGGCGGCGGCGCAGGGCGAGCTCGCCGGCCTGTGGGACGCGCTCGCCGACGAGTACGGCGCCGTGTACGCTGCGCCCGACGCGAGAGAGTGGGGCGAACTCGTGAGGGCGCAGCAGAGCGGCGGCAAGCCGTGGGAGGCTGGCGTCGACATCCTCGCGTGAGCTGGAGGAGGAGGGGCGGGGGTGCGGGTTCCGGGCTCTCTCGGAGGCGCGAGCGAGCGTAGCTCGAGCTGTGAATTTATGTCTCTTTGTTGCTCGACGTGCCAGCGAGACGTCGCGAGCCAGAGAGAAAAAGCAGCATGCGCCGAAAGAGCCTCGGAGCCGGAGCGAGCCTTGCATTCGTCGCTCGCCTTGCGCCACGTCTCCTTGAGCAGTTCTCGCCGAGCAAGGCCCACCGTGTTCTCGTTCTCTAGCTGTCTGGCTCGCGTCGTCGTCGCAGTGAACGGACATGCGCGAGGGCGAAACAGGACTAGATACAGAGCCCGGACAACATCCGACCGCACGCGAGATGAGGGACGAGGAGATGAGGGAGGGGGGGGGGGGGGGGGAAAGCTAGGAGGTGAAAGTAAGGGTAGCCGCAGGTGGTACAGGACTAGGAGCGAGAGATGGAGGAGAGTGATGGAGACTAAGGGGATGAGGGGCAAGGAGGGAGGGGCGGGAGGGGAGGTCCGAGCGGGCTGAGGCGACGAGGGCCGTTCACCAACGAGGCGGCGGCGCACGGAGGTAGTACCTGCACGAGAGGGCGCATTGGTCAGTCACCGCGTGCACGAGAGAGGCAGGGGCGAGACGAGAGAGGGGACGCACTCCTTGGTCGTGCCGCTGCCCTGGCTCTTCTCGACGCAGATGGCAAACTGGATCTCGCCCGTCGCCGTGTCGTAGTCGGCCATGGCGTAGTTGCGGCGGCCCATGACCGTGTTGCTCTTGGGCTTGGAGCCGTCCGTCTGGGGCGAGAGAGGAGCGTGAGCAGGCTGGCGCGAGAGGAGGAAGGGCGAGAGAGAGAGAGAGGGGAAAGGAGGGACGTACGTCCTCGGTGAAGACGGGAATGAGCTCCTCCTCCGTGTCGCAGTAGTGCAGCGTCTGCATGCGTGCTCAAGATCAGTCGTGTTCGACGAGAAGGATGCAAGGGCGCAGAGAGGAGAGGGAGACGCACCTTGTGCCTCTTGGCGCCGAGCTTGGAGACGAGCCAGATGACGGGCGGCGGCGGCGGCGTGTTGACAATGGCCGACGAGATGAACTGGAGCATCCACTTGGGGTCCATGCTCGGCTCGAGCTTCTTCTTCGAGTAGAACTGCGGCGGCGGCGGCGAGTCAGGGTTCTCGGTCGACGGCGACGAGAAGCTGGGGCGAGAGCGGGACGCACCTTCGAGTTGGCCGTCGCGTGGACGTCGCCCGAGCAGAACGTGATGCGCAGGTGCTTGTCGACCGCCATCTTCTGGTACCGCTCGATGAGCCAATTGCGCTCCTTCTTGTGGTCGCCCTGCGAGGATGAGGGGCGAGCGTCAGAAAGGCGCTCAACACCTGCTACGTCGCCTCGCTAGACGTGCGAGTCGAGGCGACGAGAGCGAGAGAGAGGCCACCGACGCACAGCGCAAGGGTGGTCGGCCAAGTCGTCCTTAAGCTCCGCCTCACTGCAGGACGTCGAGCTCGTCAGTCCTCGCCGCGCTCGAGCACGACGACGCAGAGAGAGAGAGAGAGAGATGCGCGGGACGCACGCGTTGAACTTGTTGACGGCCGACGGCATGAGCTTCATCTTGGCGAGGACCGACATGGGGTTGAACTTGGACTCGAGGAGGTTCTCGAGGGCGACCATGCGCGGGTACGCGATCGGGACACCTGCAGCGGTACCGAGGTGGTCAGTGCCTGCCCCGGAAGAGGGAGAAAGAAAAGGAGGAGGAGGAAGAGGGACGCACCGAGGAGGACGATGAGGTGCTCGACGCCCTGCGGCAGCGCGTACACGGCCTTCTCGAGGCGCTCGTACGTCACCTTGCTCGCGAGCTGGTCGAACCTGCGCTCAGAGCGCCAGTCGACCATGACGAGGTACATCTTGGGGCCGAGGTACGACAGGAACGAGTGGTTCGGGTACGGGATGAAGGCGCCCTCGCCGCCGATGATGAGCGACTTGGACGGGTGCGTGTTGACGGTCGGGATCCCGACGGCCGACTCGGGGCTCGTGCCGTCCAGCTCGTCGACGATGAACACTGTGCGACAAGGAGAGGCCTGGAGTGAGCGCCCTGACTTTAGAAAGGAGGTCCGTGCGAGGGCGCGCACGACGTCGAGGACGCACTCTGGAACAGGAGGAACCACTTGTAGCCGTACGAGCCGATGTTGCTGAACACGGGCGACTCCTGCAGGTCGTCAGGGTAGGATCCGAATCCGCTGCGAGGGAGGAGAAGGGGGAAGGTCAGGCTGCCCGTCCTTCTCGCGACGCGACTTGGGGAGAGGACTCGGTCACGTACTCGCTGCAGGAGGGAATGACAGGGTCAGTGGTGGCTCTGATGAGAGCGAGAGAGGAAGAGGGGCGCACATCATGTCGTGGTCGTCGAGCATGTTGAGCATGGGGATCTTGCCGACCGCGATGCCGAACGCGCCGCCGCGGAACCACGCGCAGTACCTGTCCCTCGGTCGTGCGTCAGGCGACGCTCGAGGACCGTATCGGAAGGAGGAGGGAACGAGGCCGGGACGCACGCGTTGAAGAAGAAGCGGTCGAGCGCAAACTTCATCTCGTCGGTGAAGGGCGCCGCGATCTTCTTGCTCACGTCCGTCTCGTTGATCCAGGGCGCGATCTCGGGCTCGCGCGTGAGCGGGTCGTTGTAGATCTGGTCGCCACCACCGACCATGACGTGCTGCAGAGGGCGAGAGAGCGAGAGAGAAGCCGAGTCAGGACATGGACCCAGGTCTTGCGGCGACACGAGCGCCCGGGACGTGACGAGGCTGAGGAGAGAGCGAGGACGCACGATGGGCTTCTGCTCGTGCTTGCGCAGGACGTCGCGCCACAGCGGGTCGGGCCCGTTGAACGCCTCGGTGTCGACGCCGCCCGAGAAGCCGTTGCTGCGCGCACGGACAAAGCCGGGTCAGGGGGCATGCTCTTCTGCTCGTCTAGGGTCGGCGAGACGAGGACGTACCACGAGTGGTACATGACGCGGAACTCCTGGTCAAATGCGGGCACCCAGAACGAGTTCTCCTGGCCGTTCTGCGGGCGGAACGAGGGCAAGTGAGCGCTCGAGCCTCGCTGATCGAGACGCAGGCCAAGAGACAGAGAAAGGCGGACGCACGTTGACCGAGTAGAAGATCTCCTCCTCCCTCTCGCCGAGCGGGATCTCGAGCTTCCAGCGCCAGAACGTCTGGCCGCCGGCGAGCGAGTAGTACGTGTAGATCGGGTCGGCGAGAATGCGCAGCGAGTGGACGCCCTCCTCGGTGCCCGTGTGCGGGTCGGGCCTCGGGGCGTCGGCCGGGCCGAGCTGCAGGCTCGCGAGCTTGTCGACGAGCTGGCCCGCGGTCGCGTCCCACTGGACCGACAGGGTCGGCTTGGTCGAGTAGTCCGAGCCGGCGTCGGTCGTGACGAGCATGGCGAATCCGTGCCACACGTTGTTGACGGTCGTGTCGTAGCGGAGCATGAGGTTGGTCCTGCCGGCAAGAAAAGGGGACGCGTCAGTCTCTCGAGTCTTTGCGAGCGAGACCCACCTCGTCTCGGTCGCCAACTAGACGTCGGCCGGCACCCTCTCGCCGCTCCTCCGCCTGACCTCGAGACCTTTGTTGCAGGACCGAGAGGGAGAGAGAGGCCGGGACGCACATGAGCTTGAGGTGAGGGCGCATCGGGCCGTGCGGGTGGCGGTCGAGCGGCTCTGCGATCGGGAACGAGCCGTTGCCCGGCTGGGGTCCCGGGATCTCGTCCTGGTTGACGACGGTGGCCGGCGGGCGGTAGGTGCCGCCGACCGACTCGTACGCGCCGGCGTGCGAGTCGTCGGCGTGCGCGGGCGGGTTGACCTGCTCGCGGAGGGCGTCGCGGTCGGCGAGGGGCTCGGTCGCGGCGAGTCCGAGCTTGCCGTCGAGGCCGGCGAGGCGCTGCTGACGCTCGGCGAGGCGGCGGGCGTGGAATCCTGGAGGAGGCGGGTTGATTGACGAGGAGGGGAGGGGCAAGGGACGAGGATCAGCGGCGGGTCTCTGTGGAGGCTGATTGGGGGAGAGTGTGCGCACCTGGTTCATCCATGGTGAACGAGTGCTAGGCTGGTGGTTTGAAGAGCGAGACCCAGAAGAGGGGATGAGAGCGGGCGATGAAGATCGGGCAGAGACGAGGTCGTGGTGGTGGGCGACGACGGCAACGGCGAGGCGGGCTTGGACGACGGCGACAGCAAGGTCGAGGTCGGTGCAAGGGCTCGACGACTCGAACGAGGACAAGGAGCGAGAGCTGGCTGCACCGAGGTCGTCCAAGCCTCTGAGGCCGAGTCGGATCAACCGGGAACCTCGCACCTCTGCCCGGCACCGCTCTGCTTAGCTTGTCCAGCTCTCGATAGCCTCTCTCAGTCGAAGGAGCGAGCGCCGCGTTCCCTGCGCCATGCCCCGCCCGCGCGTCCTCGTCGTCGGCGCCGGCTCGTCTGGCCTCGCCGCCGTCCAGCAGTCGCTCCTCGCAGGCCTCGAGCCCACCTGCATCGAAGCCAGGCCCGGCGTTGGTGGAGCATGGCGGTACGACCCAGAGCCGGGCACGCCACGCGCACACTGGTCCGACGACGGCTGGCTCGCGCTCGAGTCGCCCAACGAGTCGACCTACCGTGGACCGCCGCCGCCGAGCCCGATGTACTCGACCCTGCGCACCAACGTGCCCACGAGCCTCATGCAGTACCGCGGCCGACCTTTCCCGTCGAACGTCGTCCGTCCTCGCTCTCCCCTTTCCGCCTCGCACCGGCGCCGTCGACCACTTCTGACTTTCCCTCGACACCTACAGGGCCTCTTTGCGCACCATCAGCAAGTTCAAAACTACCTCGAGGACTTTAGCGCCTCGCTGCGCCCCTACATCCGCTTCAACACGCGCGTCACGACGATCCGCCACACCCTCCCCTCGGACCCTCGTCCCTCGTCCGGGTCGCGGCGCTGGTTCGCCTCGTTGCGCTCGACCCACGAGAACGACGACACGCTCGACGAGACGGCCCAGTTCGACGCCGTGTTCGTCGCCAACGGGCACTACTCGCGGCCGTACCTGCCCTGGATCGACGGCTTGCGCTCCTTTCCCGGCGAGATCTCGCACGCTCGATGGTACCGCGACGCAGAACAGTTCAAGGACAAGGTCTGTCGCCTACCTTTTCTTTTCCCATCGTCGACGGCGAGCGCGCGCGCTGTGTCCAGGGCGAATCTGACTGACCCGCTCCTCGACCTCCCGCAGACGGTCCTCGTCATTGGCAACTCGGCGTCGGGCTACGACATCACGCGCGAGCTCGCCTCGAGCATCCACGCTCGTCGGCTCGCCGACCCGGCTGCGGCGCTGCCCAGGATCTACCAGTCGGCGCGCTCGCCGGCGGCACTCGGGATCCCGTGGGACGCGCCCGACGCGCCCGAGTACTCGAACGAGGTGCGCGAGGTGCCGCCCATCAAGCGCGTCGAGGCGAGTCGCATCGAGTTTGAGAACGGCGTGGTCGTCGAGGACGTCGACACGATGTGCGTCGTCGTCTCTCCCCTCGCTCGAGCCCTTTGGTTCGCCGACCTGACACTCCTCCCGCCCGCAGCATGTTCGCCACGGGCTACTACTTCAGCTTCCCGTTCCTGTCGCCGGCGCACGAGCCGTTCAAGTCGCACCCGATCACGTACTCGCCGACGCCGTCGGGCGAGCGCGGCGCGCCGTCCGGCGCCGAGGGCGGTATCCGCATGCACGGCCTCGACGACCGCTTCCTGTTCCTCCTCGCCGACCCGACCATGGCGTTCCTCGCCCTCCCGTACCTCGTGCGTCGCCCCTCTTCCTCTCCCCCTCCCCCCTCCCCTCTCGTCCCGCCTCACGCGCACTGACCCCCTCCCTCCTTCCTCGCGCCCCACCGGCAGACCATCCCCTTCCCCCTCGCGCAAACCCAAGCGCGCCTCGCCGCCCTCCATTTCGCCCACTCGCCGCTCCTCCCGCGCCCGCTCACGTTCGCGCCCGACCCGTCGTGCGCCGACCCGCTCACCGGGCGCGAGGACGGCGCGCCAGAGAGCCGCGGACCCGTGACGTGGGCTGAGCCGAGGGGGAGGCAGTACGATGTCATGGATCGGTTGATGAGGGAGAGTGGGGATGTTGGACGGGCGGAGGGACGAGGTGCGGGAGAGGGAGAGCGGGAGGAGGAGAAGGAGGGCGAGGGGGAGAAGGGCGGGCTTACGGGTGAGAGGGCGGTGTTTGGGCTCACGAGCAAGGCGGAGCGGGACCTGCGCATCGGCGCCAAGGCGCTCAGGAAGGCGGTGCTCGGGTATTGAGGGCGGCGGTGGGCGAGCGAGGGGACGGCCGGCGGCGAGACGCGCTCGAGGCTGGGTCGGCGAGCGAGGGGTGCGAGGGTCGGCGCGCAGCGGCACATCTCGTAGATACGGTGCGCACCCGTCTCTCTCCCCGTCTCGGGCGCTCGGGCAGTCGACGAGCGGCACCTGACGACGACCTTCTCAACTCCAGCTCGCGCCAACCGTGGAATTCTTCCCTCTCGACGCGCTCTCGAAGCCTTCCCGCATTACCGTCGCTCTCGACGTGCGATTCGGCTGCCCTCGCTGCCCTGTGCGCCGCCGAGCCGTTTCAGGGCCCGACCGCTCGTACCTCGAGCTGCGCCTTCGTCCAGGTGCGGCCCGACTCGCTCGACTCGCTCGACGACGCTCCGCCAAGCCTTCTGCGCGCCAATCACTCGCGTGTGCTGCGGTGCGAGCACAAACTCTATCTGCTCCCGCACCCCACCCCTTGAGCGCTCTCGTCCCGCATCTCGACCTGCGGCCGGATCTCCGGATCTGCCTTCCCGGACCCTGTCCCGCTCGCAGGTGACTCGTCGAGACGATAGGCTCGTCCTCCTCGACTGCTTCTCTCTCTCTCCCTGCTCGAGCACTCGCGCCTGCTCCTCTCGAAGAATGCCCTCGGCCGACCAGCACCACTTCTCGCTCTCGACCTCGGCCACCTCGAATGCCGGTGCGCACCTCTCTCTCTCTCTCTCTCTCTATCTCTCTCTCTCTCTCTCTCTCTCTCTCTCCTCGTCGTACATTCCTGACCTCAGCTCGTCGCCCTCGGGGCAGGCAACTTTGTCGAGCGTCGCGGCGCCGACCTCTTCCTCGGCGGCCAAAAGCTGCGCTTTGCGTCGCTCAACGCGCCGCAGCTCCTGCGCGGCGACGAGAGCGGGCCGTTCGAGGTGCGCGACACGTTCGCCGCGCTCGCGGCCAAGGACGGGTTCGGCGGCGTGCCCGTCACGAGGACGTACACGCTCATGGTGCGTGCACGCTCCCCTCTCCTCTCGTTCTCCTCGTCCTCGTCCTCAGCGACGACAGCTGACACGCCCCTCGCGCCTCGCGCAGATCAAGAGCAAGCCGTACGTCGAGAAGGGCCACATCATCGGCTGGAGCAATCAACACCGCGACTGGCTGTGGGACGAGGAGCGGATGAAGCAGATGGACCTCGTGCTCGACGAGGCGCACAAGGCCGGCGTCAAGCTCATCATCCCGATCATCAACCAGGACTTTGGCGACGAGTGCGTCTTCCGCTCCTTGCGTCCTCGCTCGGCGGCGCGGAACCTGACGCCGCCTCTCGCCTGCAGCAAAAACTGGGTCGGCTGCACGACCGACCTGACTCGGCTTCGCTACGGCCTCGACTCGAACGCCAAGGCGCGTCGCATCAACTTCTGGAAGGATACGACCATGATTGAGAGGTGCGTCCCCCCTCGGCGTCGACTTGGACCTGCAGGAAGTGACCTTCTCAAGTTGCCTTCTCTCCTCCCCCTTCCTCGCTACGCAGCTTCAAGGTCATCATCGATCGCCTCGCCAACCGCGTCAACACGATCAACGGTCGTCGCTACAAGGACGAGCCGTGCATCCTCGCCTGGGAGACAGGCAACGAGCTCACGGCGGGCGACAAGCTCCCGGCGCCAGCCTCATGGACCCTCATCATGGCCAAGCACCTCAAGTCGCGCGCTCCTCGCACGCTCGTCATGGACGGCTCGTTCGCGCGCTACGCCGACCAGAGCAATATGTTCCCGAACGAGGTCCTCAGCAGCCCCGACGTCGACATCCTGAGCTATCACCACTACGGCGACGGCGAGGCGCGCCGCGTCAAGAAAGAGTGCGAGGTCGCTCGCAGGCACAACAAGGTGTACGTGTCCTCTCTCTGGACCCCTTTCCCAGAGCATGCGGCGCGACCTGACCTCGTCCTCGCGGCCATCCTCGCGCCCCTCGCAGCTTCGTCTCGGGCGAGTACGGCTTCTTCTACCAAAAGGAAACGTACAAGGCGTTCCTCAACGACGTCAAGGACGCTGGAGGTGCGCGCAACGCTCCATCTCGTCGTCGACGGGAGCGAAGAAGACTAACCTCGCGGACCAACCAGGTGCCGGTTCTCTCGGCTGGTCTTTCCGGCCTCACTCGTCCAGCGGCGGCCACAAGACGCACAGCGAGGGCTACGGCAACATCTTCTCGTACCGTGCGTGCTGTCTTCCCTCCAGCAAAAGGCAGGGCGCCGCTCACACGCCCTCTCTCCCTCGTCGCTCCCTCGCGCACAGACCTCCCCGGCTGGCCCGACTCGTCGCACCCCGAGTTCGACGACCGCGAGTTCCAGATCGTGCGCGACGTGCGCGACGCCTCGTTCAAGATCAACGGTCAAGCGCGCCCGTTCAAGTTCCCGATCCCGCCTGCGCCGGGCAAGCCGTGGCGGACCAAGACGGCGAGCGGCGCGCCCGCCATCGCCTTCCAGGGCGCCGCCTGGGCCGATCGCTACCGCATCACGGTGCGTGGGCCCGCCGGCGAGCGCTCCAAGGAGGCCAAGGACCACACGAAGGAGAAGAGCCTCGCCGTCGACATCGGCAAGGAGATCCAGGCGGTCGGCGGGCAGAACGTGCGCGTCTCGGTGCGCTCCATCAGCGTCGACGGCGTCGACGGAGGCGAGTCAGAGGCGCTCGCGCTCTGAGGATTGCGGCGGTCCGTGCACGGCGAGCGCTGGACTTTCTTCTTCCTCTCGGCTCCCATCCTCTCGAGCCTGTAGCGCCTCGTCATCGTGTCTTTTCTCTCGTTCTCTCTGTAACGACGGTCTTTTGACGTCCGAGTGAGCTGTCCCGTCGCGAGCTCTCTCGTTCGGAAGCCTCGCGAGATTGGCCTTCCCAAGCCAGGTCTCCTCGAGCGGGTCGGACGACTCGCGAGCGCTCGACAGTTTCGCTCAAGCTTTCTCTCTCGACTCGTCGAGACCAGAGGCACAGAGAAAGGCGCAAAGATCGAGTGGCATTGCGAGGCCGGTCCGGCTGCGGAGGAACGAAAGAGAGTCAGGGTCGCTCGGGGGGGGGGGGGGGGAGGGCGAGAGGACGAAGGAGGCGACGCACCTCTGTCCTGCACGCCTGCGCGCCTTTTCCTCCTGCTTCCACGTCCGCGCTCACGCCGCCGAGAACTTGTAGGTCAAGCGGCGGTAGTCGTCCTGGACGCCGACAAACGTCTCCTGGAGCTTGGCCTTGCGCTCGTCCTTGTCCTCGATCTGGAGGAGCTGCTCCTTGTTGAACAGGTACAGGCGCTTCTTGACGCCGAGGCGGATGAGGCGCTGCTGCGGCGCGTCGTTCGGGTCCGAGGTGAGGAGGAGGAGCATCTCGACGAGGCGGTAGAACTGGCGCTGCGGGTTGGGCAAGGGTGCGAGGGGCGTCGCGGTGTCAGGAGGCGGGACAGGAACGACGAGGAGGAGGAAAGGGATGTGAGGGACGCACATCCGCGAGCTTGTACTTCTTGCGGACCGACTCGGTCCACTCGCGGTCGAGCGGCGCCTTGAGCCCGGCGAGCGCGTTTTCCGACACGAGCGTGAACAGGTCGCACTTGTCACGCATGTCCTCGAACGCCTCTGACGGGTCCTCGACTGTGCTCGATCGAGGTTCAGCAGGCTGAACGAGAGAAAGGGGAAGAGAGGACGGTGAAGAGGACGCACCTGTGAGCTCGCTGATCTCCTTGCGAGACAGGATGTTGCGGTAGCAGGTTGTGTAGAGGGCGGCTGTAGGCTCGAGCGATGTCAGTACGCGGCGAGGCAGGAGGACGGCGAGAGAGGGAGGAGCAGGACGCACTGCCGTGGCCGTGACCCTGGTAGATCGGCAGGAGGACGAATTGGCTGCGAGCAGACCGACGTCAGTCACGTTTGAGGGGGCTTTTGAAAGAGTGGGACGCACGCGAGACGAAGCCGCTTGGTGTCTGGCCAGCAGAAGAACGAGTAGAACGACACGAAGCCCATGAAGTGGAACGATGTGACGCCGTCCGTCTTCCGCCGCTCGAACCTGGTGGGCGTGCTCGTGGTCAGTCGACGGCGCTTGGCGAGACCAGGGACGAACAAGAGAAAGAGTGGCAGAAAGGCGGACGCACAAGGTGACAAACTCCCACCGCCCGTCCTCCTCGTCTATGTAGCTCGCGCCCTCGATGTACAGCAGCACAAAGATCTGCATGCGCCGGTGGTACTCCTTGAAGCCGGGCGTGTCCCAGTTGGCCCAGTACGCCTCGTACCGCACCTCGTCGTCGTCGTCTTGCTCCGGGTCCTCGACAGGCTCCCACTCGCGCTCGGGCAGCACAGGGCCCGGCTCGCTCCTGCCCTTGCCCTTGCCCTTGCCCTTGCCCTTGTCCGCCCCTGCGCCCGCCGACCGTGTGCGGTACGCGCCGACCCTGGTCCCGAGCGGCTTAAACTCGCGCGCGTCCTTCTCGACCGTGGCCTCGAACGCCTCGAGGTTCTTCGAGTAGGACGGCGGGATGAACTCGTACAGCGTCTTTTCCGGGTCGTCGGCCTTGACGTCGCCTTGCTCGGGAAACTTGGCGTCGAACGAGATGCTGAGGTACTGGTTGAGCGAGCCGGACGCGAAGCGGTACTGCGAGGGTGCGGCAGACAGGTCAGCGAGGTGCGCGCGCTGAGAGCAGGCGTGAGAGGGACGGTCCACGCACATCTATCTCGAGGCTCTGGTACCCAAAGATGGTCTCCTCGTCGCCAAAGATCGGGTAGACGAAGATGGGCGAGAAGGGCTCGACGAGGAGCTGCTCGTCGTCAGGCAACGCGGCGGTCTCGGCTTTGGAGCGCACTGTGGGCGTGGATGTGAGTCAGCTCGGCTCCGTACAGCGCGCAGGGCACAAGGGGCGACGAGGGAGTGTGGGGAGGGGGACGCACCCAGACGTAGGCGGAGGGCCTCGAGGCCAGATGCAGACCACTCGGTGGACATGTCGGGCGGGAGCTCGGCGCGTAGAGAGGCTCCTTGAAGCTAGTCGAGGCAGTAGCGAGCCGCAGCGGGCGAGAGCGGTGGAGTGAACAAGACGAGGGACGCGTCCGACGACGCGCTCTCATCTGCGACGAGCGAGGCGAGCAAAACACACTCTCAAGGACGCTGTACAGTCTCACGAGCGATCTCTAGACAGCTTCAATAGCATGCTCGCCGGACGCCGGATCTACGGAATCATCTGCCAGCTGTCGCCCGTCCCCTGCGCGTCCACCTCGCCCGGCACCGACAGCGTCTGCGACCCAGCGAGGCTCGCCGGCCTCCCTCCTGCCGACTGAGCTGGTCGTTGCGGTACAGGTGGCGGCGCCTTTGCGGCGGCGGCGGCGACGGGCGACGCCGAGCCGGACGTGTCGGACAGGGTCGGCGGAGGAGGCTTGCGCCTCACGGCGTGAAAGGCCGACGGCGGACCCGCCGCCGATGTCGGCGAAGAAGTCGAGGTGGAGATGGCGGGCAGAGTGGGTGAGGCAGAGTCGGACAGGTCGACGAGGTCGCCCGTCTTGACCGTCGAGGGCGCAGGCGGCCGTGCGGGCGGCTTCTGCGGCACGGCTGGCGGCGCGCGACGCTGCTGCGGCGGACCGGGGACCTTGCCGTTGCCGTTGAGGAACGTGACGGACGACTCGCCCGTCAGGTAGTAGTCGGGCGAGAACGGGTTGGCGACGGCCGGGTTGCGCGCTCGAGGAGGGACAGTCGGCGGCTTGAACGTGCCGTCCGGCTCGTTCCACCACGCCCGGTCGTCGTCCGACGGCGGCGGGAGCGTCTTCTTGCCCGTCGACGAGCCGATGGCGAACCGGGCGAGCTTGTCGTCGAGCGTCTCGTCGGACGTGTGCGAGAGGAGCTCCTGCAGGAGCTGCTTGCGCAGGGTGGCGCGCTTGTCGTGGTCGACGCTGCGGATGCGGGCGCGGAACAGGGCGTAGACTGTGGATCGGGGGCGTCGTCAGTGAACAGGCGCTTTGAGTGACCGAGTCGAGGACGGGGGAAGGCGCACCAGGACGATGGTCGGACGTCCTGAGCTCGGCGCGCTGATACCGATAGCAGTCGAGCTGTCGTTCGAGGAGAGAAGACGTCAATACGACGACCGAGGAGGGCAGGAGGCGGGCGAACTAGCGCAAGACGAGCTCGCGCCGCGTCGACGAAGAGAGAGAGGGAGGGGGACGCACGTCGTGGCCCTTGTACAGGATGCGGTCGGTGTAGGCCGGGATGCGCGCCTTCTCGGACGTGTCGTACGTGTCGGTGCCGTTGTCGTACCTGCACAGGCGAGCTCGTCAGTCTCGCGCCCCGAGAGTCGCACCCGAGAGAGAGGGAAGGGAAGGGGACGACGGCGACGACGCACTTGTACGTCGGCCGAAAGACGAGCGGCGCCTCCTGGTACCCGTCAAAGACGCCCCTCGTGCGCATCGCGCTGTTGAGCTGGTCGGCGTCGTACAGCGCGTCGTAGTCGTCCGACTCGGCGAGTGGGCGGACCTGCTCGTTCGGGAGCGAGATGCGGTAGTTGGTGTCGGCGGCCCAGACGACGTTCCTGGCGGGCACGAGAGGATCAATGAGGGGGCGAGGAGAGGAGAAGAGGCTCGGACGAGGGACGCACTCGTGGCTCGAGATGGTCTTGCCGCGCGCAAAGTGGAGCCCGTCGACGATCGTGCGATAGTCCTGGTTGCGCTCCTCGACGTTGCTGTGTCCGGCAGCGAGATGGGCCGTAAGGAAGCAGAGGGTCGTGTTGCGGTAGTCGAGGCGGATGGCGACGGCGCCCTCTGCGTTTCGAGAAGGCGAGGTCAGGTCGACTCGGGCCGCGACAAAAGTCTCTCGACGAGGACGCACTGTTGCCCGCAAGTCCTCGCACGCCGGTCTGCAGGAGAGAGTCGTCGTGAGTATCTGCTCACCGAGGTACAAGCACCGCGGAGAGAGAAACATGGGGCGCACCTTCTTGGTCGCCGCCTCGACGTTCCTCACCTCGCCCGCCACCTCCTTCTTGCACAGGACGATGAGCGCCGTGCCGACGAGCTGACCCGAGCGCAACAGGACATAGTCGCTCTTCTTGTCGGGCCGGTCGGCGATCGTCTTGAGGATGCGCGCCTCCCAGCGACGCCTGCGGGCGGACGAGGGGACGGTCAGGTCGCTCTCGACGGCGCGAGGGGGGAGGGAGAGAGTGGGGACGCACTTCATGGCCGGGTCGGTCGACATGATCTGCTGCGGCGACAGAGGCACAATCTCTTGGAACCCGATGACGAGCAGCGCCGGATCTGGACCTGCAGGCGCGCTCGTCAGGTCCACCTCGCGCCGGCGCAGAGGGAGAGAGAGAGAGAGCCGGGGCCCACCATCGGCAGGGAACAGCCACGGCAGGAGCGACTCGGCGCCCGGCGCCTTGCCGTTGAGGTTGTACGTCCCGACCCAGATGGTCGCGGGCTCGTGCGACGTGAACTCGTCGCTGCGGGCGCGCAGCTGCGCCCGGAGCGCGTCGTCGATCGGGTTGAAGATGCGCACCTTGCGCGACGTCGCGAGGTTGCCCTGCAGGTGCGACGAGGGGTGTCAAGAAGGGGCAAGGCGACGAGGGCGAGGGGAGGGAAGGGGGGACGCACGAGGAGGGCGTCAATGGCTCGCTGCTTGCCCGTGTCGAAGAGCTGCTGCTGAAAGACGCGGTTGACGCTGCGAGCGAGCAAGAGAGAGACAGAGAGAGAGTCAGGACGAGGCTGCCGAGGAGGAAGGGAGGGCGTGCACGCACCTCTTCGAGGCGTCCGACAGCAAGCCGGCGAGCGACTTCTTGCCCGAGCGCGTGAACGACGTGTTGATGGCGCCCGTCCCGACGTAGATCTTGCTGAGCGCGTCGCCGTTCTGCGGGTGCGGCTCGGGTCAGTCCGGCTCGGCGTGAGGGAGAAGGAGAAAGAGGGGGAGGGGCCGAGAGAGAGAACGAGAGGGGCAAAGGGAGCGAGAGAGGTACGGAGAGAGCGAGGGAGAGAGGGGGGACGCACATCTGCCCACAGGACGCGGTGGCTGCTCCACAGGGACGTCGACTCGCTCGAGCCGAGCCACGTCGGCTGCGTGCTGCGCAGAAAGTCCTCGAGCGCAAAGCGCGAGAGCGAGTCCTCGACGGCGTTGGTGCGGTCGAGACACTGCGGGCGAGGGACGAGGGAGAGTCAGTCTCGAGACCGGGGGAAGAGTGGCCGAAGCGCGAGAAGGCGCACATCTGCGAGGGAGGACGAGGGTCAGTGACGCTCAGGGAGGAGAGCGGGAAGGAGAGAGAGCCGGGACGCACCTTTGCAGTTGGTGCGGAACACGCCTCGCTGCGACAGGATGGGCGTCGGCCGCCCCTGCCCGTCGACGCCGACGACGCACGCGCCGAACCCCTCGCTCACCTCGCCGACGGCCCTCGCGAGGTGGTGCTTGACGCTCTCGATCCCGCCGACCTTGGCGTGCTGGTGAAAGTCGAACGCCGTCATGTCGACCTCGCCGGCAATGTTGTCGTCGGCGTCGGCCGCCGCGCGCAGGTGCGCCTCGTACGCGAGCGTGAGGGCCGCCTCGCCCTCCTTCGAGCCGAGCAGGTTGATGCAGTGCAGGGCGCCGTAGTGCTCGAGGAGGTCCTCGAAGTGGCGCAGGAAGGCCGGGAGCGACGCCTCGATCGGGCGCGTGATGGTGATCTTGGGGTTGAACGGTTGGCCGCCGCCTTCCTCCCAGAACACTGTCGTCGTCGAGGGGCGAGGGGAAGGCGTCAGGGAGGGGGCCCGTAAGGACGAGGGGGAGAGGAAGAGGCGGAGAGAGGGACGCACAGGGCACCGAGCCACGCGTCTGAACGTAGGACCAGCACATGTCGCGGGTCCTCAGGATCGTCTCGGTCTCGACAAAGTTGGCGACGCCGCCGTCGTCGTCGACGCCGCGCACGTTGAACCTCGTCCCGCTGCGCTTCCACCCGAGCCGGCTCACGAGGCTCAGCACGGCGGGCTCGCCGCCGAGCGCGATGTCGTACACGCCGACGTAGCCCTGGATGGCGAGCACCATGAAGGCCTGCTCGTCAAACACGTCGCGCATGTCGGGCGGGAGCGACGAACGGAACGACAGGAGCGGCGCGACGAGGTACGTGTTCCACAGGAACCGCGAGTCGTGGTCGAGCGCCGCGGCGGCATAGCCGTCTCGAGTCGGCCCGTCATCGTCGTCGTCGCCGCCGCCGCCGCCGCCGCCGGCCGTCGTGGTCGCCGCTCGCGAGAGCTTGTCGAGGCGCGCTTGGAGCCGGGTTGACAGGTCGAACGCGTCGGGCCCGCTCGAATAGTAGAAGCTGGAGCTGGCGAGGATGCGGCGGATCCCTTGACACGGGTGCTCGAGGGCCGACGGCTCCGAGCCCTCGGGGGCGTACTCACCGCTCGAGTGGGTCGAGGGCGGTGCGTGCAGGTAGTCGAACGCGCCCGAGGTGAGGCAGAAGAAGTCGACGCCGAGGATGCGGTTGACGGGCTCGGTGCCGGGGCCGGCAAAGGGGCAGTCGTACGTCGCGCCGAGGGCGGTGGCGTGCGTGATGATGGGGATGAAGGTGTCTGCGAGCGGTCGAGCCGTGTCAGACCTGGTTCGGTGCGCGGGCGAGGGGACAGAGGGGGGGAAGACTCGCCGTTGCCGACCGAGAGGACGCCCAAGCAGCCACTGACGCGGCTGTGGAGGAGGGTGGCGACCTCGAGGTCGATGTCCTCTCTGGGCAAGAGCTCGACGACGACCGAGACGCTGGTGTCGGTGTGCGAGGCCGGGGTCGAGGCGGATGAAGGCGCCGGCGGGGAGCGGAAGACGAGGGCCCACTCGGACGAGGTGAGGACGAGGGAGCGGCCGGTGCTGGCACGGATGAGCCACAGCTGGAGTGGCACCTGCATCACCTCGTGGCGAGCAATGGTGGTTCGTACCAAAGCAGATGAAGCCCCGCTCGTCGTCTCTCTCCCTCTCCACGCCTCGCACAACGACTGCCATGGCCCCGATAACGCACCTGCAGACGCTTGAAGAGTGCAACAAGCTCCTCGCGAGCAAGCGCGCGTCCCTCGTCGTCGTACGTCCTCTCCTCCTGCCCCTCCCCCCCCCACCTCATCTGTCCCGTTCTCTCACGCCCGATCCCCTCGACAGATCGACTTTCACGCTGCGTGGTGCGGCCCATGTGTGAGTCACAACCATCCCCTCGACTCGTTTCCGCGAGCGGCCTTTGCTTGGGCGAGGGCGGCGCTGCGGTGGCCGCCGACGTCTGCGACGCGCTCGTTCACGAGCGCCAGGAGGCCGTTGAGCGTTACAAGGCGGTCAAGCCGTCCGACGAGCAAACACAGACTGAATCTTCGCTCTCCCGCCGCAGCACGCCATCGCCCCCGTCTTCGAGAAGCTCGCGGCTCAGTACCCGACCGTCGTCTTCTGCAAGGTCGACGTCGACAAGGCCCAGGAGATCTCGCGCGCATACCGTGTGACGGCCATGCCGACGTTCGCGTTTGTCAAGGGCGAGCGCAAGGTGCACGAGGTGCGAGGAGCCAACGCCAAGGCGTGAGTCGTCTCGCTCTTTCGAGTCCTGTCGTCGTCGCGCCGCTCTCCGTCGCCTCGCACTTATGCATCTCACTCTTGCAGACTCGAAGCCGGCATCAAGCAGTTCAGCGCCGACTCGACGGGCACAGACGGCGCCTTCCCCGGCGGCGGCCAGACACTCGCCGGCACGGCCATCCCGACCGAGGTACCGCCAGCCGAGCGCAACTACACCAAGCTCATCCTCATCTTCCTCGTCGCCGCCTGGTGGGCCTACTCGCGAGGCCAGAAGTAGCGGGCTGTGCGACTCAGAGGTGTCGAGGAGGGACGGTGCGCGAGCCGGCGAGAGGCCGGTTGTCGAGGTGGCGTCGATGGGTCGGGCGAGAGGGCGGACAAATCTGTTGATACCCAGCTCGAGGCAATGTACGAGCGTGATCCTGACTTGGCGGTGTCTGCGAGAGGGCCCGATTGCGCCGCCTCACGCTTCGAGCCTGCGACGGTCGGCTCTGCTCCCACATCACCGCTACCTCGCCTGAGCCGATGCTGCCAGCTGGACGGCCTCCAGGCCTACTGCGAGAGCTCCTGCGCGACCTGGCGCAAGCAGTGCGTCGTGCCACACCTCTCTCTCCCCCTCGCCCGATGAGGCCGCGTCGTCTCGGTTGTCGAGCATCGCGCTGACTCTGAGCTCCCTGCAGACTGCGCAACGCCGACCACTGCCTCCTCTCCGCACCTTCTCGTCGGTCCAGGCTGCACACGCCCCCGTGCCCAAGCCCTCCTCCCTCCACCACCGCACCCTCTCTCCTCGCTTCCCCTCTCCGCCCTCGGCACCACCCGCATCCGCACTAGCCCCGCCGCACACGCGCACCCTCTTCGGCAAGAGCGTCTTCAAGGTCGATCGCCTGCGCGACGCCGTCCGCGACGCCGACTCGACCGAGGAGCGCGCCGCCGCCCAGGTCGCCCTCGCGCAGCACCTCTTTGCCTCGACGTCCGACCGCCTCGACCTCGTCAAGGAGGGCCTCGAGGCGTACGAGGACGGCGCGCAGCTGTGGGCCGGTCACGGCGCGCGCACCGACGTGCTCGCCGACGACGAGGCGTTCCGAGGGTACCTGCGCGCGCTCGCCACGGTTGCCGCCGCGCCCGAGGAGAGCGACAGTACGGTCGCGAGCACGTTTGACAAGATTCAGCAGGCGCCCGCACGCCGCGCGCAGCTCCTGTCGACGTCGTCCGCCGCCGCCACCTCGTCCACCCCTGTCGCCGCGTCCACCTCCGCCGCCGCCGCCACAAGCCCGTCCGACTCGTCGTCTTCGCCCGCACCCGTACCCGCCGCACCCTCGACCTCGCACGCCGCCGACGCTGCGGCGCCGTCTCCCGCCGCACCGGCGATTGCCCCCTCGACCCTCATCTCGGCCCTGTTCTCCGGCAACGCGGCGCGCGGCAAGGGCGGCGAGGCCAAGATCCAGTCGCTCGGCTCGTTCGCTGGCTGGGGTGCTGCGTCGGGCAAGGCGGCCGCCGGCGGCGCCGAGCCGATCCGCGTCGTCGTCGAGGAGGCAAAGAGCCCGCTCCTGTGGCGGTTCCTCAAGTTTGTCGCCGTCACCGCCCTGTACTCGTTCCTCCTGTGCGCCCTCTCTCCCTCCTTCCCTCGAGCGTCACACAGACGCTTACCCGTTCGACCCCCCACAGCCTGTCGCTCCTGTCGCTCCTGATCGACTCGTCGGGCATCCTGCGCGCCGGCGCCCAGTCGCAGCCGTTCGCGCCGACGGCCGCGCCCAACCCGGACGACCCGAACGGCCGCGGTACGACGTTCAAGGACGTGCACGGCGTCGAGGAGGCCAAGACCGAGCTGTACGAGATTGTCGAGTTCCTCAAGGACCCGGAGCGCTTCTCGCGCCTCGGCGGCCGGCCTCCTCGCGGCGTCCTCTTGACTGGTGCGTCTTCTCCTCGTTCTCTCTTGTCTCCTTCGTTCGTGTACTCATGCTCCCTCGCGCGCAGGTCCTCCTGGCACGGGCAAGACGCTCCTCGCTCGCGCCGTCGCCGGCGAGGCGGGCGTCCCCTTCTTCTCGGCGAGCGGGTCCGAGTTTGACGAGATGTACGTCGGCGTTGGTGCGCGCCGCATCCGCGAGCTGTTTGCCGCGGCGCGCAAGCAAGGGCCGGCCATCATCTTCATCGACGAATTGGACGCCGTCGGCGGCAAGCGGTCGCCCAAGGACCAGAGCTTCCACAAGCAGACGCTCAACCAGCTCCTCACCGAGATGGACGGCTTTGCGTCGACCGAGGGCATCATCCTCATCGGCGCGACCAACTTTCCCGAGAGCCTCGACAAGGCGCTCGTGCGCCCCGGCCGGTTCGACCGCCACGTCGCCGTGCCGCTCCCCGACGTTCGCGGCCGCATGGAGATCCTCAAGCACCACATGCGCAACATCCTGTACGACAAGAAGACGGACCTGAGCATCATTGCGCGCGGCACGATCGGCTTCTCGGGCGCCGACCTGCAGGCGCTCGTCAACCAGGCCGCCGTCAAGGCGTCGGCCGAGAACGCCGACGCGGTTCGCCCGAGTCACTTTGAGTGGGCCAAGGAGCGCGTGCGTCCCCCTCTCTCTCCGCCTCGTCGTCGTCGCGGCCGAAACTCACGCTCGAACCTCTTTTCTCCAGATCATGATGGGCGCCGCCCGCACCAGCGCCTACATCACGGACGAGAACAAGCTCGCTACGGCCTACCACGAGGCTGGCCATGCGGTGCGTCCTCGGCTCTCTATCGTCGTCGTCGTCGGCGAGGCACTGACCCTTTCCGTCCGGCAGCTCCTCGCCATCTACACCAAGGGCGCCTACCCGCTCCACCTCATCACGGTCGTCCCTCGTGGCAACGCCCTCGGCTACACATCAATGTTGCCCGAGGCGGAAAAGAACTCGCATTCGCTCCTCGAGTACCGGGCCAAGCTCGACGTGGCGATGGGTGGCCGCGTCGCCGAGGAGATCATCTACGGCGCCGACAACGTGACGGACGGCGCGTCTTCCGACATCTCGTCTGCGACCAACATTGCGACGAGCATGGTGCGGCGCCTCGGCTTCTCGGACGCGGTCGGCCCCGTCGCGCACACGGGCCAGGCGAGCGACGGCGAGCCGCAGCCGTCCGAGGAGACGCTGCGCGTCATTGACGGTGAGATCCGGTCGCTCGTCGAAGGGGCGCAGGAGCGCGCGAGGGCGTGCTTGACGGCCAAGAAGGTCGAGCTCGAGCGGCTCGCGAGGGCGCTCGTCGAGTACGAGACGCTCGACAGCGCAGAGGTGCAGAAGGGTGCGTCCCACCTCTCTTTCCCTCTCTCCCTCTCTCTCTCTCTCTGTCAGCGGGCGGTACTGACCGTGTCGGTCTCGGCGCGCGCAGTGATCAAGGGCGAGCCGATCCAGCGGACGGGGCTCGAGTGAGGGGTGGGGCGAGGCTCTTGTTCCCGCCGCGTGTAGTGACAGCAACTTGACTAGAAGCAATGTACCGTAGTCTCCCCTTTTCGAGTGCAGACCGCCTCGCAGTGAGCGAGAGAGCGAGGTCTCGGCTTTTCGAGGAGCGCCGGACGAGGAGGAGAGGCTCGTCGGCTCGGCTCCCTCTCCCCTCACCACACTCTGCTCTGCTTGCCAGTCCCGCCATGGCCTCTTCTGGTGTCGCAGGACTCCCCGCAGCCGGTGCGTTCCCTCCCCCTGAGCCTGCACAGCTCAGCCCGGCGCGCTGACGCTCCCCTCCCCACTCAGGCGTCGGCAGCCTCGCCACGCTCCTCAAGCGCCTCGAGGCCGCCTGCAGCCGACTTGAAGACGTCGCCCTCACCTCGGCGAGCGGCGCCCCCCTCTCGAACGCGTCCGCTGTTGGAGCGGCCGGCATCCCCCCGCCCGCGGCCGCCCCCTCGTCGTCCTCGTCGTCGGCCGCCGTCGCAGCGCCGCAGCAGCAGGACGAGGTCAAGCTCGCGCCGAGCGTCGAGGCGTTCCAGGAGCTCGTCGACGGGCCTTTGACCAAGTACATCAGCCTCAGCAAGGACCTCGGCGGCCTCATTGAGCAGCAGGTCCGTCCTCCTCTACGACCTCTCTCAATCTCTCTCGCCCGCCCTGGAGCCCCCTGAGCTGACCCAGTCCTACCCACGCAACAGTCGCAGCAGGTCGCCAACGCGTTCATCGCCCAGAAGGACTTTGTCCAGCTCGCGACGGCGTGCAAGAAGCTGTCGGCCTCGGACCCAAAGTACCAGTCGCTCATCGGGCCGACCCAGACGGCCCTGCTCGCCGTCATCGACGTCAAGGAGAAGAACCGCGCGAGCAAGGAGAGCAACCAGCTCACGGTCGTCAGCGAGGGCATCCCGGCGCTCGGCTGGGTCACCCTTGTGCGCCCGTCTCTCTCTCTCTGTCTCTCCTCGCCGTCCCAGTCGGCCGTACTGACCCCTTGCGTCGCCTCGCAGGACGCCAAGCCTGGTCCCTATGTCGGCGAGTTCAAGGACAGCGCCATGTTCTGGGTCAACCGCGTCATCAAGGAGCACAAGGAGTCGTGCGTCCCCGCCCTCGTCCTCCTTTGCGTCCCCCTCCTCGGCGACTCACGCCCCTCGCGCCACGCCCTGCAGGAACCCGAAGCAGGTCGAGTGGGCCCGCAGCTTTGTCGCGCTCCTCGAGGACCTGCGCAAGTACATTATGGCGCACCACACGACGGGCTTGACGTGGAACCCCAAGGTGCGTCTCCTCTCCCTTGTTTCCCCCTCGTCGCCGAGACTGACTCCTCGCCCACGAACAGGGAGCCGACCCGACGACGTACAAGCCGTCCGCCTCGGCCTCTGCCGCCCCCGCTTCGGGCGGCGCCCCTCCTCCCCCTCCCCCTCCTCCTCCTCCCGCCGCCCCGGCCCCTCCTCCTCCGCCTCCCGCAGGCGGCGCTACCGCACCCGCACCTGCCTCGACCTCGAGCGGCGGCGGCGGCGACATGTCGTCCGTGTTTGCGGCGCTCAACCAGGGCGAGGGCGTCACCAAGGGCCTCAAAAAGGTCGACAAGAGCGAGATGACGCACAAGAACCCCGAGCTGCGCGCTTCGGGCGCCGTGCCGGCTACCGGTGCGTCCCAATCTCCCTTTCTCTCTCTCTCTCTCTCTCTCTCTCTCTCTCTCTCTCTCTCTCTCTCTCTCTCTCTCGTGCGGGCAAGAGCGACTGCTCGGAGCGAGAGCGCTCACGAGGCTCGAGCGTGCGCGCAGCGGCGAGCAAGGGCCCGGCCAAGGCGCCCAAGCCGGCGGCGATGCAGAAGAAGCCCGTCAAGACGGAGCTCGACGGCAACAAGTGGAACATCGTGCGTCCTCGCGCTCGCTCTCTCTCTCTCTTTCTCGGCGTCGGCAACTCGAGGCGTGCTCGACCGAGACTGACCTGCCCTCCCTCTTCCTCGACACGCAGGAGAACCACGAGAACGAGCGCGGGATCGTCATCGAGCAGACCGAGATCAACCAGACGGTCAACGTGTTCAACGTCAAGGGCTCGATCATCCAGGTCAAGGGCAAGGTCAACGCCATCTCGCTCGGTGCGTCGCGCCACCTTTCCGCTCCTCGACTCGGCCCCTCGCTCCTCCTCGAAGCAGCGAAACTGACTCGTTCTTCGACGGGCCTGCCGCACAGTCAACTGCCCCAAGACGTCGATCCTGGTCGACTCGACCGTGTCGTCGCTGAGCGTGTCCAACTCGCCGTCGTTCACGGTCCAGATCCTCGGCAAGTGCCCGACCATCCTCCTCGACGGCAACGACGGCGGCCAGGTCTACCTCTCGCGCGAGTCGCTCGCGTGCGAGATCGTGTCGGCAAAGTGCTCGGCCCTCAACGTGAGCCTGCCCGTCGACGGCGAGGACGACGGCGTGTTTGAAGAAAAGGCCGTCCCCGAGCAGCTCAAGACGGTCGTCAAGGACGGAAAGCTCGTCACGACGGTTGTCGAGCACTCGGGCTGAGGGTCGTCGTTGTCGTAGCCCCCCTCTTTGTCCAGCAGTGTAGAAATGCAGCCGTGTCTCTCTCTCTCTCTCTCTCTCTCTCTCTCTTTCTGGGCCCGCACTCGACCTCTCTCGAGTACCCGAGAGGCTCATCTCGCAAAGCCCTCGCTAAAGTACAACAAGCCCTCTCGCCCTCTGTGCGCTACGTCCGACGAGACGACGACGACGACGAGGACGACGACCGCCCGGGCGCGTCCTCGCGGATGCAGTTGCCCTCGCCGGGGAGGAGGTACCGCAGCTCGTCGGCGTGCTCGACGACGTACGTCGGGATGTCGGTCGCGCTCTTGCTCCTGTTGCGGATGTATCGGGGCGTAGGGAGAGGGAGAGGGGAGGGGTCAGTGCGGCGCTTGATCGATCGAGAGAGGGACGAAGGAGAGGTCGCGCGCGAGAGAGAGTGGAGGGAGGGAGGGGGGCGGGGACGCACGGGACCAGCCTGAGCTTGTTGAACAAGTCGCGGTACGTGTACGCCTCTGGCAACATTGCGAAAAAGTCGAGGCCGGCGCAGATGGTGTGCTGGATGCGCTCGGGCTTGAGGAGGTGAGCCGGGCGCGAGCCGAGGCGGTCGACGTGCGAGTAGCCGGTCGCCTTTGTCGCAAAGTCGGACAGGCGGCGGAAGCACCAGCTGTGTGGAGGGGAGGGAGGGCCGGGGGCGGAGGGAGAGGGGGAGAGTCGCGGTGGATGAGGAGGGGGGAAGAGGGACGGCGAGGAGGGAGGAGGGAGAAGAGGCAGAGGTAGAGGGAGAGGGACAGGGAGAGCGTCAGTCGAGGGAACCTGGAGAGAGAGAGAGGACGAGAGGGAGAGAGGGCGCACGAGCAGTGCCAGCCCGAGTTGGCGAGAACACGCTCGGTGACCTTGCCGTGCCTGCGGGAGAGTGTGTCAGTCGCGCACGCGGTTCTCCACCCCAAGCACGAGGGACACGCTCAGAGAGAATGGCCCTCGAGGACAAAAGAGAGCACGAGACGCACCTGTAGAACTCGTCCGACCCTCTGCCGCGCTGCGGCCACTCGACGGCCGTCGCCCTCCATGAGCTCGTCTCGCCGCCCTCCTCCCACTCAAAGCTGTACAAGAAGCTCCTCATGCCGAGGTGCAACGCCGAGCCTTTGCCGAGTTCGGGCGCGGCAAACGCGCACGCCTCGACGAGCGCGGCCGTCTTGCGCGAGGGCACCTCGTCGACGTCGCTCAACAGGAGGACGGGCGGCGGCGTGTGCGGGTCGGCCGGGTACTCGGAGCGGAGGAGGTCCGTCATGGCGCGGCGGAGCGCAATCTCCTGCTCGAACGGCGACTCGCCCGCAGCGAGCTCGGCGCCGGTAAAAGGGCGGTACGTGATCTTGGGCAGGTAGGGCTTGAAGCGCGGGTCGGCGTCGAGCGCGGCCGAGAGGATGCGCGGCTTGGCAAGGCCGGTAAAGGTGCGGTCCGACTCGAGGATGAAGAAACGCGCGACGACGGGCGACAGCTCGTGCAGGCGCACGAGGAGGAGGTCGAGTTCGGTCGAGAAGATGGTCTGCGTGGGGCGCGCGTGCGGGTCAGGGTCTTTGGTGGTGCGGGCTTGTGTGTGAGAGAGAATGGGGGACGCACGGCGTCCCAGACTTGGGGCACAGGGTGTGGTCGCGCGTGCCAGCCGTGCAGGTGGCACAGGTCGTCGGGGCGGGCGTCGTCGGCCCAGTAGTGGGGGATGACGTCGGTCGGGGCTTCCGAGGTGTCCCACAGGGGCCTGGTCGAGTAGGCGAGGTAGCCTCGGGGCAGGTTGGGGTGCACGAGGGCGGCGTAGACGAGTGCGAGGGCGACGAGGGCGACGACGAGGTGCAGTGGGCGAACGCGTCGGGCGAGCATGCTCGGGGGTGGCGGTGGCTTGTAGCCAGCTGTTGTGCGGTATGTGCTCGTGACCAGCCTCGGGCCAGGCGGCTGTGGGACGAGGGAGAGAGATGGTCTGAAGGTCGACGTGTGGGGAGGCCGACGACGACACCGCCTCGGCTCACAGGGCGACTCGCGGTAGATGCACAGAGCCGTACTAGTGTCTACAGGGCAGCTTGTACCGGTCCACAGCCAAATCGAGAGAGCCAGGCGAGCGAGGTCTCATCTCTGAGGTCGTCGTCGGGCGTCCGCCTCTTGCTGCTCTCCGTCACGCTCTCCCGCTCGAGCCATGTCGAACCCGTTCGCAGACCCAAACCCGCAGTCCCTCGACTCGGTCCGTCCCGCCCTCGCCCCTCGTCGTCCCGTCCTCGCTCATCCCCCTCATCGCCCGCCCCGAGCAGAACCCGTTCGCCGACCCAACGGTCCAGGCCGGCCTCCAGTCGCGCACCCAGGACGACTACGAGCTGTCGAGTGGCGCGGCCCAACAGCCGCAAACCGCGCAGGGGGGCGCCGACGTCCAGGCCCGCCTCGAGGAGCTGCAGCGCAGGGAGCGTGAACTCGCCGTGCGTCCCTCGTCCTCTCTTCCCCTGTGTGGTCCTGACCGAGCTGACATACCGCACGCAACGCACGCAGGCTCGGGAAACCGCCCTCAGCCAGAAGCAGGAGCACATCCGCAACTTGTCCGTCCCTCCCTCCCTCCTTCCTCCTCGACCCAGCATCCTCCTCGAGCCACGCCCACCACAGCGACCGTGCACTGACACCTACCTCGTGTTCTGTCCTGGCAGCGGCAAGGCCAACTGGCCCGGGTTCGGCTTCAACATCCTGTTCCACAGCATCGAGGAGGAGATCCCCGACGCGCACCAAGCCACGGTCCTCATGCTGTACCGCATCTGGATGTTCTTCGTCCTCGTCCTCGCCGTCAACCTCGTCGCCGCCGTCCTCTTGACTGCATCAGGCTGTGCGTCCTCTCCCTTTTCGTCCCTCGTCAAGACCCTTACTCACCCTCGGGTTTCCGCCCACAGCGTCTAGCGGCGACCTCGGCGCAGGCATCATGTACCTCCCCGTCCTCAGCGTCCTCTCCTTCCTCCTGTGGTGTGCGTCGCGCGCCTCCTCTTGGTCTTTCTGCTTGCCCTCGAGACTCGCTCGACGAGGATCCTGACTCTCTCTCTCTTTCGCGTGTACAGACCGGCCCGTCTACAACGCCTACTCCAAGGAGTACTCGTTCTTCTACTGTGCGCATCGACCCCTTTCCTCCTCTCTCTTGAGCCTCGGGACTGACCCTTTCGCTCTCCCCTCGCCCCTCCTCGCCCTCTCCCTCTCTCTCTCTCTCGCCCCAACCCGCCCCACCCCGCCCCCGCCGCACAGACATCTTCTTCTTCTTCGGCCTTTGGCACGCCCTCTTCTGTGTCTACATGTTTGTCGGCATCCCCTCGTCGGGCGGCGCCGGCCTCATCAACCTCATCTCGAGTTTCGCCGGAGGCCACATTGCGGCCGGGGTCGTGTGCACCCTCGCGACCGTCGGCTGGGCCCTCGAGACGCTCGCCTTCCTGTGGATGTTCAAGAACGTCAGGGCCCACTCGAGTGGCGAGCAGGGGCACACGCTCGCCCAGGCAAAGCAGGAGATTCAGATGTGTGCGTCCTCTCGACTTTTGCTCCTCTCTCTCTCTCTCTCTCTGTCGCCGCCGACCCGCCTTCCCTCCCGACAAGAGTCCTGACCTGCTTCTCCTCCCGCTCTGATGCGACGACGCAGACGGCATCAAGGCCTACCTCTTCAAGGCCTCGAGCATGCCCGCCTCGTCGCAGCAGCAGCCCGGCGCGCAGGTCTAGCGGGCTCGTCGACTCGGGCGCCGCAGCGGTTTCGGCAGCAAGCGGGGGCATCTGGACGAGGTGCGGCTCGGCTCGAGCGTGGGAGCTGGGAGGGGACGGACTCGGCTCGAGTGAGGGCTTTCTTTCTGTGCACGCCGTAACCTCTCGAACCTCTTTTCTTTTCTTGTCGTGCTCGTCGCCGCTCTCGAGAGGGGCCGCATGAGAGAGAGAGAGAGTCAAGCATGCTGTTACAGGCTGTGCGAGGGAGAGAGAGAGAGAGGGAGAGGCTGAAGAACGAGGTAAAGGTCGGGCAGAGAGAGGGGGAGAAAGGCGAAGTGGGAAAAGGCGAGGGCGAGGGGGGATCTATCACGACAGGTGCGAGGGGGGTAATACGGCAGAGAGGCACACACACACACAGAGAGAGAGAAAGAGAGAGAGGAGGGGGCGCCTCACCGAGAGACAAAGCCCGGGTCGCGCACGGCGGGCGTCTGAGCGCCGACGAGCGCGATCCCCTCCTCCTCGTCCTCGTCCTCGTCGCCGCCGCTCCCTGCGCCGCCGAGCAAGCCGTACTCGCTCGGGCGCCTCGCGAACCTGCTCCCCCTGCGCTGGCCCCTCGCGCGCCACGTCGGCGCGACGACGAACGCGTGCCACCCGGCGCGCACCATGTCGGCGAGCGCGCCGGCGAGCTCGGCGCACGGGCCCTCGCCGCCGTCGGCGTGCGGGTCGTCGGCGCGGCGGGCGAGCCTCGGGCGGCGCCAGAACCGGAGCGTGAGCGACGACGCGACGACCGACACGCTCGAGAGCGCCATGGCGGCGCCGGCCATCATCGGGTGCAGGTGCACGCCCCACGGCAGGAGGACGCCCATGGCGAGCGGGACGCCGACGAGGTTGTACACGGTCGCCCACACAAAGTTGAGGCGGATCTGGCGAAAGATGCGCCGCGAGAGGTCGAGCGCGGCGACGACGTCGAGCAGGTCGGCCTTCATGAGGACGACGTCGGCCGCCTCCATCGCGATGTCGGTGCCGGTGCACAGGGCGATGCCGACATCGGCGGCGGCGAGAGCGGGCGAGTCGTTGATGCCGTCGCCGACCTGCAGGTGCCGCGACCGAGGAAGAGGGTCAGTGCGGCTCGACGACGAGAGAAGAAAGAGGGCGAGAGAGAGAGAGCGATGACGCACCATGGCGACGCGGTGACCTTGCTGCTGAAGCTTCTGCACGAGCGCCTTCTTGCCGTTGGGGCTCATGGCCGCGTGCACGTCGACAGCGGCGATTCCGACCTCGTCGGCGATGGCGCGCGCCGTCAGCGGCTGGTCGCCCGTCGCGACGAGCACCTCGACGCCCATCCACCGCAGCGCGTCGATGGCCTGGCGCGCCTCGGCCTTGACCGTGTCGGCGAGCGAGACGACGCACGCGAGCTGGGCGTCGACGGCGACGGCGATGCACGTGCGCCCGAGGCGCTCCTCACGCGTGCGGAACTCGGCGTACGCCGAGGGGAGCGTGACGGCGCACTCGTCGGCGAGGAACGACGCGTTGCCGATCTCGATGCGGTGCGTCGAGCGGCCCGTGCCGGACGAGGGCGACAGCGAGGGAAAGTGGCCCGCGACCTCGCACCGGACGCCCTTGCCCGTCACCGACGCGAACGACGTCACGTCGAGCGACGACGGGACCTCGGCGAGGCCGAGCGAGCGCAAGCCCCACTGGGCGACGGCCTTGGCGAGCGGGTGCTCCGACTTGGTCTCGGCGGCGGCAAAGAGGAGGATGGCGTCGTCTTGCCAGCCGACACGGGCGCCGAGCGCGTCGGCCTCGCTCGACTCGAGACCGGTGCGCTCGACCCACCGCACGCCGACGACGTCGAGCTTGCCGACGGTGAGCGTGCCCGTCTTGTCGAGCACGATGCGGTCGACGCGGTGGCTCGCCTCGAGCGGGCCGGCGCCCTTGATGAGGATGCCGTGCTGCGCGCCGACGCCCGTGCCCACCATGACGGCCGTCGGGGTCGACAGGCCGAGCGCGCACGGGCACGCGACGACGACGACCGAGATGCACAGGCGCAGGCAGACCATGAACTTGGTCGTGCCCTCCTCGTCAAACACCCTCGGCAGGTCGGACGCGACGTGGGCGACGACCATCCACGCGACAAAGGTCGCGAGCGCGAGCGAGATGACGACGGGGACAAAGTAGCCCGCGACCGTGTCGGCGAACGCCTGGATCGGCGCCTTGCTCGTCTGGGCGTCCTCGACGAGGTGGACGATCTGCGCGAGCGCCGTGTCCTTGCCCGCACGCGTGACGCGCATGTCGAACGTGCCCTGTCCGTTGACGGTGCCGCCGATGACGCTCGACTTGAGGCTCTTGGCGACGGGCACGACCTCGCCCGTCACCATGCTCTCGTCGACCGACGACTCGCCGCGGATGACGACGCCGTCGGCGGGAATCTTGTCGCCGGGGACAATCTTGACGACGTCGTGGACCTGGATGAGCTCGGTCGGGACCTTCTTCTCCTTGGTGCACTCGGCGTCCGTGTAGATGATGGCCTGCGACGGCGCGAGGCTCATGAGGCGACTCAGCGCCGTGCTCGTCTGGCCCTTGGCGACGTTCTCGAGGTACCGCCCGAGCGAGATGAACGTGATGAGCATCGTGCACGTGTCGAAGAAGACCTTGGGGTGGTACGCCGGGTCGCCGGCGAACGGCGCGCACACCATGGCGGCGACCGAGTAGACGAACGCGGCCGACGTGCCGAGGACGACGAGGACGTCCATCGTCGCCGACGAGTGTTTGAGGGCGCGCCACGCCGAGCGGTAGAACCGCAGGGCGACGCCGAACTGGACGGGGAGCGTGAGGAACAGGCACGCGAGGTCGCCGAGGTAGATGCCGCGCACGAGCGCAAAATTGACGACGGGCCGCAGGAACGGGACCATGGGCAGGACCATCGACAGGAGGAAGACGGGGAGACCGAACGACGCGGCGCGCAGGAACGCGCTCCGCCACTCGGTGATCTCCTTGGTGCGCGCGAGCGACTTAAGCTGCATCGCGTTGTTCTCGTCCGACGCGAGCGTCGCGTCAAAGCCCGTGTCCTCGATCGCCTCGACAATGTCGCGCACGCCGGCGAGGATGGACGGGTCGTAGGTGACGCTCGCGCGCTCGGTCGCGAGCGACACGACGGCCGACAGGATGCCCGGCGTCGAGCGCAGCGACGACTCGATCGACGAGACGCAGGCGCCACAGCTGTTTGGCGCGAGGGTAGGGAGAGTCAGAGTCGTCCTCGACTTCCTCCCTCGCTCCTGGACCTGAGAGAGAAAGCGGCTGGCGACGCACGTCATGCCGTAGATCTGGAGCTGCACCGTGTCGGCCTTGGCCGGCTGTATAGGCGCCGCCTCGAACCCCATGTCCTCGATCTCCTGCGAGGACGGCAGAGGAGGAGGGTCAGCGAGGTGGTTCCAGGGCGAGGAGGGGGGGGTCTCGAGAGTCTGGGGCGCACCTCGGCGAGCTTCTCGGGCGTCCACAGCGCAGGGTCGTACTCGATGACGGCTCGCTCGGCGCTGTAGGTGCGTCCGAGGTCAGTACGGGCGGGCGCGAGCCGCTCTCCGAGGAGTTCGGCGACGACGAGCGGGAGGCCGAGGACGCACAGGAGCGCAACCTTGACGCTGGCGATGCCGTCCTGGCTGTTCAGCCCGTTCTCGATGCTCGCGACACATGCGCCGCACGTCATTCCTGTTGGCCGCGGCGAGGAGATGAGGTGAGCGACGTTCGCGAGCGGCAGGGGGAGGGGCAAGAGAGGGGCGACAGGGAGAGAGCGTGCGCGCACCTTCGACCTTGAGATGGACAGTGTGCACGGTCGCCTTGTCGCCGAACGAGAGCGCCTCGAGGTCGCCATCGTCGTCGAGGAGCTTCGCCTCCATCTTGCTGATGAGCGACTCGGTCGAGCGGGCGGGGCGCTGGCTGGCCTGGCGGGAGGGCGCACGGGGCTCGGAAACGCTCTTAAGGTGTGCTCGGAGCTGTGCAGCACGGCGGTCGAGTGTCGGGGAGCTTGAGGACGAGCGAAGTTGGCGGACGGTCTGGACTCGGCGAGGCGGAGCCTCGGACCTCTTGCTCGGTCGCACTCGCCGGACTCGCTCATCTCACTCGCTCTCGAGGGGACAGGAAAACAGCTGAGGGCAATGCGGTTGAAATGCTTTTGTCGTGCTTCAGGTGGCGCACATGAGGCAGCCATGCGAGGGAGAGAGCGAGAGGGGAGGGAGGGCGAAAGGGTATCTAGCGACAAGTACAAGGCTTGGGAGGGAAGAGGGAAGAGGTTTGCGTTGGTGTTGAAGACGGTTGAACGACATGCGAGTGAGGGGCGCGGGTACTACTGGATTTGCGGGTGCGACGATCGGGAAGGGAGAGAGAGGACGAGAGGTGACTGCTGCTGAACGCGGCTTGTTCGAGAGAGAGGGTGGGGCAGGGGCGGTGCGAGGCACGAGCGTCGTGTCGCCGAGCTGGCCGAATTGGATCGACGCAGCGCCGGGCGAGAGGCGACGACGAGGCCGGCGGCGACGACTACCGGTCGTCCTCGGACGACTCGCCGTGTCCGTACGCCGCCCTCGAGTAGACGACCTCGCGCCCTCGACCGCGACGAAGCTCGCTGCGGCTCCGGCTGCGCTCGTCTCGCGCCGAGCTGCGCCCACGCCCACGCGGCGCGTCCGCCTCGCCATCGGCGTCGTCCCCGCTCGGCTCCTCCTCGTCGAGCGTGCGCTCGCGCTCGCGCGTGCGGCCACGCCCACGGTCGGCAGGAGCGCTCACGCGCCCACGCGAGCGCGAGTGCGAGGCGCGCGACCGAGAGCGAGTCGGGGCCGGTGAGGGCGAGGGCGACGCCTTGCGGGCCGAGGGCGACATGGAGCGCTTGACGGCGCCGTGGCCGCGTGCGCCCGAGCGGCCGCGACCCTCGGCGGCGGGTGCGGCGTCGGTAGCGTTCGAGTTGCGGCGGGCGACGGAGCGGCCGCGACCGGCGGTAGGTGGAGAAGGGGGAGGGGAAGGGAAGGGCGACACGCCGGACGGCGTCTCGCTCGTCGCCTGGATGTAGTGGCCCGGCGTGAGCCTGGCGCGCTCGGCGCCACGGCCTCGGCCGGGGCGGATCGTCGCGTCGCGGTCGAGGTCGGACGCGCGGACGGTGGTCGACAGCGGGATGTCGTCGTCGGCGGTGGGCGAGCTCGGGGTGGGCGTGAGCGGGCGCAGCGACGGCTCGGTGCGGACGTTGAGCGCCGCAGGACCGCCGCGGCCGCCGAACATGGCGCGGCGAGGGCGAGGCGCGGGCGACATCGAGGCCGAGGGGGACGAGTTGCCGACGGCGCGTGAGGGAAGGGCGGCGTCGACCGACAGGCTGCGCTGCATCTCGGGGCCCGACTGGTCGATCGACGCCGAGCGACCACGCTCGACCGGCGCCTCGGTCGACAGGTGCGAGAACAGGTAGCACGCGAACGCCGAGTGCGGGTCGTGCTCCTCGCCCTCGGACGGCGACGGCGACGCTAGCGGCGACTCGCGCGGCTCGACCGGCGACGCCTGCCCAGTCCGGAGCGCCCGGATGCGCGGCGACAGGAGGACCTCGTCGGTCGTGTCGAGCGACGCGAGTCCCCGCAAGGCCGGCGAGCCCGGGCCGGACAGGCGCCTGCTGCTCGACCGGAAGCTCGACAGGGACGTCTCGAGCTTGGGGCGCTTGGGCACGCCGACGCACCCTGGCCGGCCGCAGTGCGACGGCGGCGCGACGAGCGTGGGCTGCTCTGCCGAGTCGCACTGGCCGGGGAGCGACAGGGCGGCGATGTCGTCCTCGTGGACGTGCGCGCCCGAAAAGTCGGCCATGGTCGGGAGCGCGACAAAGCGCGACGAGGGCGACGTCGGGTTGAACGCGGGCGACGAGTGGGCGGCGGCCGCCTTCTGGCGAAAGTAGAGCGGCGAAGGGACCGCGGCGTGGAGCCGGCCGGGCTTGCGCCGGTACGGGAGGTCCTTGGCGGCGGCGGCCGCCGCGTCTGCGGCGCTAACGAGTGGCGACGCTAACGGGTCCGGCTGGTAGTTGATCGTCCACGCGGGCGAGTACCGGCCACCGCCGTTGGGCAGCGACTGGCCGCCGTACTCGAACCGGTGCTTGGGCGGCGGGAGGTCGAGTGAGGGCGGGTCGGCGAGGTGAAGCATGCCGCTCCTCGGTGACGGGCTGTTGTTGGCGGAACTGGGCGGGGTGGAGCACACCGACTTGGCCGACGGGACGAGTGGCGGCACGGCCGACAGGAAGGGCGAGTCGTCGGGCGACGCCTCGCTGCGCTCGAGGTCGGCCTTGCGGCAGTCGCTCGAGCAGTAGGTCGAGCCCATCGTGGCATTGCCGCAGCTGCACAGGCGCGGCGCGGGAGGGGAGGGGGACGGGGTCGAGATGTCAGCTTTCGGTTCGCGGCTCGGACGAAGCCAAAATCTCGGGGCGCGCGACGGCAACCCCCAGCACGGGGACAGAGGGGCAAAGAGAGGGCGGGCGCACCTGAGGCAGAAGTCGCCGAACGGGAGCTCGACGCCGTCCTCGGTAGGCTCGCGGGTGCGGACCGCAAACTCCATCTCGAGACGAGCACGTTCCGTGGAGGCGAGGCTCGGCACTCGTGGACCGGGTTGGATCGCGCGCTCTGGCGAATAGTTGCGCGTCGCTCTGGCGCAGGTGGATAGGGCGGTCGCTGGTCGTGCGGGCGAGTGTCGTCGGCGGCGGGATCAGGAAAGGCTCGGCGGGCGGGTGGTGTGCGAGGCGAGTCTGGCGAGAGGCCGGTCGGCGGTCGTCGAGGGAGGGCTGGCCGGGGTGTGCGAGCTCGAACGGTGGAACGAGAGAAAGCTGGCTCGAGCTGGGCGGGGCGATCTGCGGCAGCTGGTGGAGGGCGAGAGGCGACGACGGCGAAGGGCTCGCGCGCGCTCAGGCTGTGTCCGCGCGAGCTCGTTCGGGGGAGGGTTTCTGCCTCTCCGCCTTTTTCTCCCAGGCGCCCCCGCGCACCGGCCGTGCCTGAGCGAGCATCTTGGGCCGTCACTTTGGCTCGCCCATCGAAGCACACACGCACGCGCGTTGCACCGCTCTGTGTCCGTGCGGCCGTGCCGCGTCCGTTTCCTCGCGGCGGGACCGCTTCCTCGCACTTCCCTCCCACGCTCTCTCCCTCGCTCTCATGCGCTCGCTGTCGCATCCTCGTCGACGACGACAATGGCGAGCGATTGCCGCCCACACGTTTCTCAGCTCTCTGCTCGACCGACACCCGGCCCGCTCGGCCCGCTCCCTGTGTCCTCCCCCGCCGTCGAGAGCTTTGTCTGCTCGTCCGCGATTCTGCTCGCGTGGGCTGCCTTTGTCGCCTGCCTCGAGCCAAGCCCGACGCTCTGCTCCCGCCCACACCAAGCGTTGAGCGAGCTGCAGCCCGGCCGTGCCGCCGGGCGTGGGGTGCAGCGCGAGAGGCTCAATCTTGCCTGTTCTCCGCCTCCCCAGCTCGCGCTCGACCTGCTCTCTCGGGTCGCAAGCTTTGTCGTCCAACTCCCGCACCATCCCGCCCGGACGGTGTCCACGTTCCGCCTCGTTGAGGGAGAGAGAAACGTGCCACGTCGCCTGCCGCTCGGGCCCACTCTCGCGTATTTGGACCGCGGCTCTCAGTCTCTCTCGCCGCGGCCCTCGTACGTGCCTGCTCGACGCCGCATTCCGTTGCAGCCAGTCTGACGTGGCCTGAAGCTCTGAGGCGGCCGCCGTATTTCCGCTCGACCTGGACCGCCTGCTGGGCGTTCCGCTGTCCCCGCTCGCCCGGGCCCGTAATGAGCAGCAGAGCACTCACGGTCACCCGGCGTGCTCTCAAAGGCGAGGCCGCTACATATGTACGACCGGGAAAGCCGTCGACGAGACGAGGAGGAGCGGTCCGTGCACTGCGCTCCTCCTCGGTGCACAAACTTTGCCCTCGAGAGCGTTTTGCTTGCGTGAGCAGCGACGCGACCGAGATCTCCGATCTGGCTACCGACGACGTCGTGCGCGCGAAACCCGGAAGCAATTATCGAGATCCGATCGTGCATTTGACAAACGAGAGAGGGACAACACTTCTCCACGTGTGCGTACGCCGAGCTGCCTTGCATGGGAGCTTTGCCCGCGCCGGCGTGGCATCGGCTTGCGCTTCTGCTCAAAGGACGAACCGCTGGGAATCGTCCCTCTCGAGCGAGGCCGACCCGGGCGGAGCGCTCGACCCGCTTCTGTCCGCGTCCGCTCTCGTCGCGTCGACCCTGGCCCTGACCTGTGCCGTCGACCGTGCCGAGCTCGAGAGCTTGAGCGCGTGACGCCCGGCAACCACAAGAAAGCGAGGGCCCGGGCGACGAGCGCTCGCGCTCACGACGGCGCTCGCGTCCGTCGCCGGACTTGGTGCTGCTAACTAGCGCAGCGCCAGATCTACGCGCCAGTGCAACCGCGCTTTTTCTGAAGCTCGAGCTGCACGCGTGATGCTTCTTTTGGCGAGCGAGAAAAGCGAGCCGACGAGCGAGTGTGCACGGACCGCGGGGGATCCTCCCCGCGATGGATCGCTCGGAGAACTCGCACGCAGCGCGCTTTTCTTTCCGAGGGCCTGCTGCGATTCGTCTGCTCGGAGGAGGATCGCCCTCGTCGTGCATCGCGGTCATCTCGAGGGCGGCGCCATGCGCATGAGTTGCCGCTGCGAGGAGGAGGAGGGAGCGAGCCGCGGCTCGTGCGCAGCGGACCTTGCCGAGCGGGAGAGAACGCAGCGGAGCAGGGCTCGAGCCGGCTCGCTGCTCGGCCGTCGAAACAAGAGCGCAAGAGAAAGCGCTCGAGAGGCCGCAGCGAGGTAGGAACGAGGCACGAGAAGGACGAAAGACGATTCTATTGCTCGACGAGGCCCGCCGCTGGTGGCCTCGCATCTACAGCTCCGAGTGCTCCTTGGCCTTGTCCGGATGCCGGTAGCCGAACGCCTGCTCGAGAGCTGCGGGACGGGGAAGAAGAGGGAGGAGAGGACGGGTCAGGATCGACGGACTCTGCGGAGCGCGACGACGACAAGGGGAGGGCACGGACGCACCTTCTCGCTGCTGGGACGTGAGGCTGGGAGGCATGACGACCTGGTACTCGACGTAGAGGTCGCCGTGGCCCGACAGGTGGTAAATCGGCATGCCCTCGCCGTGAATCACGTCGACGAACCCTGGTCGGCGTGCGAGGGTCAGGCTCGGCGCCTCGGCGTGCGACACGACTACTCGAAAAGAGAATGGGAGAGGGTGCGCACCGGGCTGAGTGACGCCAGTCCGCGACAGGACGACGTCGTGGCCATCGAGGCCCTTGACGCGGTGCTTGAACCCGAGGAGCGCCTGCGCGACGGGCAAGGCGAGTCAGGGCCGGCTCGACAGTTGCGACAGGAAGAAGAGAGGAAGGAGGGACGCACCTCGGCGACGCTGATGGGCTCCTTCCAGTACAGGTTCGACTCCTTGCGCGCAAAGCCGCCCTTTACCTTCTTGCTCCGCACGCGCACAATGACGTCGCCCGCGACCCAGTCGGGGCTCTCGTCGGCCTCGCCCTCGAACACGACCTCGGCGCCCTCGGGCATGCCGCGGTCGACGTGCAGGTTGAGCTCCGACGTCGTCTCGACGATGCGGTGGCCCTTGCAGGTCGAGCACAGGTGCTTGATCGACTTGCCGCGCCCGGCGCACCGGTCGCAGTGCATCTGCATCTGCTGGAAGATGCCCGGGCCGAGCTGGTGCCGCACGAGGCGGACGCCGCGGCCCTCGCAGGTCGGGCAGGTGACGATGTCCTTCTCGCTCCGGGCGCCGGTACCTGCGGCGAGACGAGGTCAGTGTCGACTCGAAGAGGAGGAGCGAAATCTGACAGGGACGCACCGTCACACTGCTCGCAGACGGCTTTGCGCGCGACCGAGAACTGTGCGCGAGGAAGGAGAGAGTGGTCAGGTCGCAGTCGAGGAGAACGAGCGACGAGGGGGAGGAGGACGGCGGCGACGCACCTTGAGCGAGTCGCCCTCGTACATGGCCTTGAGGTCGACCTCGATCTCGGCGAGCATGTTCTGCCCTCGCCGCTGCTGCTGCCCGCCTGCGCCGCCGAACCCGAACGCGTTGCGGAAGATGTTGAACGGGTCGCCGCCGCCGCCGGCTCCTCCGCCACCCTCCTGCTGCTTGACGCCCTCCTCGCCGAACCGGTCGTACGTCTTGCGCTTCTCTGGGTCCGAGATGACCTCGAACGCGCGCGACACCTCGAGGAACTTGACCTTGGCCTCCTCCGAGTCGTTCTTGTCCGGGTCTGTAGGGGGCGATTGGGCGCGGTCAGCTTGCGCCAATGGGCACAGAGAGTGGACGGGCGCGACGCACGGTACTGCTTGCTCAGTTTCTGCGCGAGGAAGGCGAGTTGGAGATGAGGAGGAGGGAGAGGTCAGTCGAGGTTGTTCGGCTCGACACGGGGCTCGAGCGAGGACGCACACGATCTGGGCGCGCGCAACAGTCAGCATGGGAGGTCGTGCGCGGTTCCACACGGCGACAGGCGGGCGGGACTCACAGGCCTTCTTGACCTCCTTGTCGCCGGCCGTTTTCGAGACGCCGAGGACCTTGTAGAAGTCGGCGCCGGCTGCGATGACGCAGCAGATGCACGCGAGGAGCACGACGAGGCGTGCCAAGAGAGCAGTGACCATGCCCGAGCGGTGGGTGGAGGTGAGCGGGTGAGAGACCACGTCGGAAGGTGCTCCTCCCCACTCGCTTGACCACCTCAACCTCTCGCTCTCACCATCAGCCCGTTCGTCTTGCTTTGACTTGCCCTGCCCTCTCTGCTCGTCCCGCCACCCGTACCGCGCCACCCCTCGACCGCACCATGGCTTCCTCCACCAAGCGCACCCTCGCCATCATCCTCGGCGCTGGCCCCGGTACGGGCGCAGCTCTGGCCAAAGCCTTTGCCAAGACGCACGGGGCCGTCGCTTTGCTCGCTCGGAACCAGGACAAGCTCGCGAGCCTCGTGGCCGAGGTCGAGCAGGCCGGCGGCGAGGCGTCACCTTTCACCTGCGACGTTACTCAGCCGGCGTCGGTCGACGAGGCGTTCAAAAACATCAAGCACAAGTTCCCCGAGCACAGCGTGACGGCCGCCATCTTCAACGCCAACTCGCCGCTCAACCCGGGCCCGTTCCTCGAGCTCAAGGAGGACGACCTGCGCCCCAACGTCGAGCTCAACCTGTGTGTCCCTCCCTCCTCCTTTCCGGGCGTGCTGCGTCTCAGGAGCTGACTGAGACCTGTCCGCAGGTACGGCGCCTTCCGCTTCTCGCAGAAAGTCCTGGCTCTGCTGCTCGAGGCCGGCGGCGGCTTCTACGGCATCTCGGGTGCGCACGAGCCTCATTTCCCTCGTCCTCGAGGGCCCGACTGACCCGCTCTCTCCACATGTAACGCAGGAGCGACTGCTTCGGTCAAGGGCTCGGCCAAGTTTGCGGCCTTTGCGCCGAGCAAGGGCGCCCTGCGCCTCTTCAGTGCGCCTCGCTCTCCCGCTCCCTCACCTTCTTGCCCCGCCCTGACCTCGTCGTCCTGTGGCCACAGGTCAGTCTCTCGCTCGCGAGTTCGGCCCGCAAGGCGTGCATGTCGCGCACGTCGTCGTCGACGGTGCGTCCCCTCCTCCTCCCGCGAGCGCACCCGACTCGAGCGGACCCTGACGAGCGGCGCTTGGACCCCCTCGCAGGCATCATCGACACGGAGCGGACGCGTGGATGGGTCGGCGAGCCCGAGGACGCAGACTCGGTGCGTCCCTCTCGCTGTGCTCGACGGCGGGAGCCAGAGTACTGACGAGCTCTCTCTCTCTCTCTCGGACAGCGCATCGACGCCGCCGACCTCGCTCAGGCGTTCGTCTACCTCTCGCAGCAGCCCAAGAACTGCTGGACTCACGGTGAGCACACACTCTCTCTCTCTCTTTTCCTCCCTCGCTCGTCCCGCCGCTGACTCCTCGAGTCGACGCCCGCAGAGATGGACGTGCGCCCGGCGGCCGAGATCTTCTGAGCGACGTCGCCCTTCCTTTTCCTCTCTCTCCCTACGAGCTGTAAAGTCAGTGCCCCTTCAAAGCGTGTGCGGCCGGCACCGAAAGAGCCCTGCGAGCATGGCACGCGACCCGCGGCGGCCCGACACTTGCAGCTGAAAGTTGATCTCGAGTCAAGTTCGCCGACGCGACCGGCGAGCTGTGCGATGCAGAAGAGAGCGCTTTGCGTGTGTGATTCTCGACGGATGAAAGAGAAAGCCCTCAGAGCGAGAAAGCATGTCGGCGTTTGCGCGGATCGAGCGGGAACAGCTGGAGCGGCCGGCGACTCGGCGGCGTGGGAGGACGGAGCGAGCTAGTCAACTGTGCGACCTGGCTAGCGCTGCTCTGAAGGACCCACTCGCCGGGTCGAGCGTTCGAGCGCGCGCGCAAGAGCCAACCCCGAGCCCGCGGAGCCCGAGGCTGTGAGCCACAGACTCGGCCTCGCCTTGTGCAGCTGGCGTCTCCCCGAACCTCACGCACCACCACCCATCACCACCCACCACCCTCACCCACTCGAGCGCCTGCGCAGGATGGGCAACAGCCAGTCGTCGTCCGGCTCGCGTCACTCGGCCGGCCCTGGCTCGAGCAGCGGCGGCGGAGGGGGCGCCGTCAGCGGCTTGCGCAGCCGAGCGAGCACCCTCACCGGCGTCGGCGGGTCCTCGTCGTCGCGATCGTCGGCCGCCGCACACGCACACGCAGCAGCAGCAGCCCCGGCCGACGAGGCCAAGGTCATCGACGGCGGCTGGACCGACCCGCAGACGCTCCTCTACGCTCGCCTCGAGTACCACCGCCCGACCGTCCACAAGCTCATCGCCGACCGCAAGCTCGCCCCGTTCTACCTCGGCCTCCAGGACTTTGAGGACGACTGGGCCACCGACCGCATCGTCGACGCCCTCGACGAGGCCGAGCAGCAGGCGACCCAGAACCTGCGCGAGGCCCACACGGCCGCCGTCGGCGCCGCGAGCGAGGCCGAGGCGGCCCAGCTGTCGGCCCCGCCGGGCACGCGCAAGCACAAGGACTCGGTCACGGCCCACAACGCGGCCGTCCTGCACCGCGAGCGCATCGCCGAGACGCTGCGCACGCGCGAGAAGCGCGGCGGCGGCGGGCTCCAGCTCTCGAGCAAGACCGACACGGCGACGCTGTACCAGGCCAAGGCGCTCGAATGCCCCATCTGCTTCCTGTGCGTCCCCTCTCCCTCTCTCTGTCGGACTCGCGCGCGAGGAGCAGAGAGGGGCCGACTGACCTTTCGCCCCACCTCGCCGAGCAGGTACTACCCGCCCAACATGGTCCACACGCGCTGCTGCGACCAGCCCATCTGCACAGAGTGCTTCGTCCAGATCAAGCGCGCCGAGCCGACCCCGACCCACCTCGAGTCCGAGCCGGCCGCCTGTCCCTTCTGCATGGAGACCAACTTTGGCGGCGTCTACGAGAAGGTGCGCCTCCGCATTTCTCGCTCTCTTCCTCGTCCACGTACGTGTGGCGATACTGACACGCTCTTTGGACGCTCGCAGCCTGTGCGCCCGCCGTACGCGCCGACGCCGAGCGGCGGATCGGGCGAGTCGGGATCGAGCGCGACGAGCCCGGCCACGACGGCGGCGCCCAAGCCGAGGCGCAAGTCGTTCGCCCATACCGAGAAGGAGGTCGTCACGACCGGTGCGTCCAGTCTCGTTCCCCCTTACCTCGCTCGTCCGCCGCACGACCTGACGCTCGGGTCCTCGCCCTCGCCCTCGCAGACATGATCCACCCGGACTGGGAGGCCAAGCTCGAGGCGATGAAGGCGGCCGTCGCCCGTCGCGCCAACCGCCGCATCGTGTTCCGCCAGGTCGGCGACCGCCTCATCCCTGTCGGCATCTCGTCCGGCCGCGGCGGCGGCGCAGACGGCGCCAACCCGACCATGGCGACGACGACCCTGCCGCCCAACTTCCTGTCGCAGATCGCGGCCGCGCTCGACGCGTCGAACGAGGGCGGCGGCGGCGGGACCTCGTCGAGCGGCCGGCGGCGCGGGAGCCGCAGCGCGAGGCGCAGTCGGGGCGGCAGCGGTGGCAACGACGAGATCGCGCAGCTGCTCGAGAGCCTCGGGCTCGGCGGCGGGCCCGACATCGAGGAGATGATGGTGCAGGAGGCGATGCGGCTCAGCCAGCTCGAGGAGGAGGAGCGCCAGAAGAAGACGCAGGAGGAGGAGGCGGCCAAGGCGGCCAAGGCGGCCGGCGCTTCGTCGTCGACGGCGACGGCGCCCGACACGGAGCGGCTCCTGTCCGAGGCGATGGGCGGTCGCGTCGATGATGCAGGCGCGGCGAGCTCGTCCTCGGCGGCGCCCGCACCGACAACTCGTGCGCCGGCTCCTCCAGTCGCCACCAACCCTCCCGCTCCCCTCCTCGACGTCGACATCCCCTCGACGCCGATCGAGCTCGACACGCCGACACCCACCGCCGCCACCGGGCCCTCGGTCGCCAACACGGCGCTCGGCGCGCCTCTCGACGCGGCGAGCACGCGCGCGTCGACCACGTCGTCGCTCATCCCGCCGCCCTCGCCCTCGCCGTCGCAGGGCTACCAGCCCCTCGGCGAGGAGAGTGACGACCAGGTGGACGACGAGCGGCACACGCCGCCGACGACGGCCAAGCACGGCGGCGGTCGGCACGTCGAGAACGGCGGGGTCGGGCGCCTCGTCGACCTTTAGATGCATGCCCTCTGGGCACAGACACTCGCTCGCCGCCGCCGTCGTCGTCGTCGTCTCCCTCGTCGTTGTACATTCCTCTGCGCCATGCCTTTTCACGCCGTTGTCGTCGTCCTTTCCCCCCTCCTTCTCCTTCTCCCTCTCCCTCCTTCCGCCCGCCTCTCTACCTCTCGCGCCGTCCTTTTTTGTAGCTCTCGTTCGTCGTCGTCGACTGTGCGCTCGTGCGCTGCAACCTCGCTTGTCGATCCTGTCCGGCGTGCGCTCCGTGAGAGAGGGCCGCTGTCATCGCCAAGTCGCAGCTGCACCGCCTCGCACCTCTTGGTCTCCCCCACCTCGCTCGCTCTCTCGCAGCTCGCTCGCATCCGCATGGGAGCCTGCTCGTCCAAGTCTGCGCACCCCGCCGACGACTCTACTGCTGCTGCGCCCGGACCGCACGCCCACACCAAGCGCTCGCCCGCTCCTCAAGCCCACTTCGCCCTCTCGTCCTCGGCAATGTCCAACGCAGGTGCGCACGCCTCTCTCCCTTCTCTCCAGGGCCCGCCACAGCACGCTCACAGGTGCGCTACCTACAGACCACTTTGTCGAGCGCCGCGGCAGCGAGCTCTTCCTGAACGGCGCCAAGTTCCGGTTCGCCTCGCTCAACGCTCCCGAGCTCCTCGACGGCGACTGCAACGGCGAGTTCGAGGTCCGCGACACGTTTGCTGCGCTTGCGGCAGAAGGCGCGTTCGGCACGGCCGTCACGAGGACCTACACGCTGCGAGTGCGCCCTCCTCCCTATCCTCCTCTCGCCAAGCCGGGAGGCGCTAATCTCCCTCTCGCACTCGCAGATCAAGAGCAAGAACATCGGCCGAGGGCACATCAACGGCTGGAGCAACGAGTGGAACGACTGGATGTGGGACGGCGGCCGCCTGCAGGAGATGGACCTCGTCCTCGCCGAGGCGGCCAAGGCGGGCGTCAAGCTCATCATCCCCATCATCAACCAGGACACGGGCGAGGAGTGCGTCCACTTTCTCTCTCTCTCTCTGTGTGTGCGTCTGTGGGGCGACGAGACTGACGAGGACGCGCCGTGCAGCTCGAACTGGGTCGGCTCGACGGCCGACCTGACTCGGTACCGCTACGGGCTCGGCTCGAACGACGAGGCGCGCCGAGTCGACTGGTGGACCGACCACACCATGATCGAGAGGTGCGTCCCTCTCTCGCTTGACCTCGAGTGCGCGCACGGATCCGCCACTAACCTCTCTCGCGACCCGCAGCTTCAAGCTCATCATCGACTTCCTCACGAACCGGGTCAACTCGATCAACGGCCGCCGGTACGGCGACGACCCGACCATCCTCGCGTGGGAGACGGGCAACGAGATGAACCACCTCGGCATGCGGCCCGCGCCAGCTTCATGGACCCTCGTCGTCGCCAAGCACCTCAAGTCGCGCGCGCCGCGCACGCTCGTCATGGACGGCTCGTTCGCCCGCAACGACGACCCGGAGCGGTGCTACCCGAAGGAGGTCCTCGACAGCCCCGACGTCGACATCATCAGCTACCACTATTACGGCGACGGCGACGCTCGCCGCGTCAAGAAGGACTGCGAGGTCGCTCGTAGGCACAACAAGGTGTACGTCCCTATCGCTCTCACTCTCTCTCTTTTTGGGCTCGTGTGCGTCACTGACACGAGCACGTCCTGCAGGTTCGTCGCCGGCGAGTTTGGCTTCTTCAGCAAGCCGAGCACGTACGAGTCGTTCATGAAGGACCTCGACTCGGCAGGCGGTGCGCTCCTCTCTCTCTCTCTCTCTTTCCCCTTAGCTCGCACGAGCCCGAGACTGACTGTCATCGACTCTCTGCAGGAGCTGGGTCGCTCGTCTGGTCCTTGCGCCCTCACTCGGCTCGCGGCGGCCACAAGACGCACGGCGAGGGCGACGGCATCTGGTCCTACCGTGCGCTCACTCTCTGTCTCTCTCTCCCCCTCGCAAGCTCCTCGTCACTGACCATCTGGACGAGAACGCGCGCAGACATCCCGGGCTGGAAGGACCCGGCCCACCGCGAGTTTGACGCCCGCGAGGCGTCCATCGTCTCCTCGATCCGCGCCGCCTCGTTCAAGATCAACGGCCTGCGCGCTCCCTCGCAGTACCCTGTCCCGCCCGCCCCGAGCCGCCCGTGGCTCGTCCAGACCCGCAACGGCGCCGCGCCGGCGGTCGCGTTCCAGGGCGCGGCGTGGGCGCACAGGTACGTCGTCGTCGTGCGCGGGCCCGGCGGCGAGCACGAGAAGGAGGCGAGGGACCACACGAAGGAGGGCGAGTTTGCGGTCGAGCTCGCGAGGGAGGTGCATGCGGCGGGAGGAGGGCAGGGCGTGCAGGTGTCGGTGCGCGGCGTGAGCGTCGACGGCGTGCAGGGAGCCGAGTCGGAGGCGCTCTCGCTCTGAGTTTGTAGACGGCTCGAGACGTGCATAGACAGACACTTTCGCTCTCTCTCTCACTCTCGCGTCGTGCGTGCTCGAGAGGAATGCGCTCGCACTCGGGCTAGCTCTCGTCGAACTCGAGATCTCGCCGCTCTTTCCTCGACAAGGTTCGAGCGCAAACCCGGGAGTTGCAGCTACTGGTCGGGCGCGAGGAAGAGTGCGCGAAAGGAGAGACTTGAGGGAAGGGCGGCAACAGGGAGAGAGAGAGAGAGAGAGAGAGAGAGAGAGAGAGAGAGAGAGAGAGGAGGTCCAAGTTGAGAAGGCGAGGAACGAGGGAGGGAGGGAAGGGGTATCGACGTGCGTCTTCCAAGGTCGCCGTGCACAGCACTGACGACAAGAAGGAGGCGGGTATCTGAAGGTAGGAGGAGGGAGGGAGGGAGGGAAGGCGCCGAGGAGAGAGGGACGACGACGGGGGACGACGTCTAGTCCTGGTGTCCGCAGACCTTGAGGTTGTGGTACGAGCCCATCTCGTACCCGGTGCGGCCCATGAGCCACCCGTTCGTCATCTGGTAGAGGTAGTCCAAGTTGTTCTGGCACAGGCAGCACCCGCTCCACTGAGCGGCCGTCGCGCCCGAGTAGCTCAGGTTCTCGTACCACTGCGAGCGAGCGAGCGAGAGCAAGAGGAGGAGGACGAGATGGAGCGAGTGAGTACGGGCTCGTGCGCGAGAGAGGCCGAGGAGGTGCGACGAGGAGGTGCGACGAGGAGGTGCGACGAGGAGGTGCGACGCGGGAGGAGGGAGGAGGAGGGAGGACGTGGAAGGAGGGAGGCGGTACGACGCGAAAGGAGGAAGGTGGACGCACGCCGTTGTACGCGCCGAGAGCCTTGAGGAACTGACCGCCGCTGTTGTCGAGCTCGCCCTTGAAGTACTTGGCGGCAGTGCGAGCGTTGTACCACGGCTCGGCGCAGTCGGACGTGCTGCGGCCGCCGCACTTGTCGTGGGTGATCTCTGTGGGCGCGCGCGAGAGAGGGAGAGAGGCAGAGTCAGTAAGGGCTCCAGAAGACGAGGGGACAAGGGACGAGGCCTCACGGAACATGCCGGCCTCGCCGCCACCGCCGACGACCGACGGGTTGCAGGTCGACTCCTGGAGGGCGAACGAGGCGAGCAGGATGGCCGGGAGGCCCGTCTCGGCGGCGACCGTGTCGAACAGGTCGGTCCACTTGCGGCAGGGCTCCCACACCGAGTTGGTGGCGAGGGCGTGCTCAAAGCTGACGGTCGTGATGCGGTCGAGCGTGACGCCGGCAGGAGGGGTCCAGCCGGACGACGGGTTCGACTTGGAGATGCCGCAGTTGAGCCAGCTGCGAACGACGAGAGGGGCGCCGTGTCAGTCAGGCCGTACTGTCGAGGCAGGGCAGAGAGAGGCGCAGGGCAGGGGGACGAGGCGCGAGGGACGAGGGCGAGGGAGAGGGAGGACGCACTCGAGCGAGCCGTTGGGCTCCTCGTCGGTGGCGCCCGACGAGCCGCAGTTGGACGAGTGGTAGCCGATGAGGCTCTTGCCCTGTGTGCGACGCGAGAGAGAGTCAATGAGAGGACGAGGCGCGGGCGCGAGAGAAAGAGGGAGAGGGTGGGCGCACCTTGCTGCTCGTGTCGGCGACGGCGGCGAGCTTGTTGCCCGACGACGTGTCGGCGACCTTCTTCTCCTGCTGCTGCTTCTGGTCCTCCTTGGCCTTCTTGGCCGCCTCGTCGGCGGCCCATTTGGCCTCCTCGTCCGCCTTCCTCTGCTTCTCCTCCTCCTCCGCCTGCTTGGCCGCCTTGGCCGCCTCGCGGTCGGCCCAGATCTTGTCGGCGGCCGCCTTGTCGGCAGCGGCCTGCTTGTCGGCGGCCGCCTGCTTGTCGGCGGCGGAGGCCTGCTCCTTGGCGACGGCGGCGGCGGCAGAGGCGGCCTTGTCGGCGGCGGCCTTCTTCTCGGCGGCCTTGTTTGCGGCCGCCTTGGCCGCCTTGTTCTTGCTCGAGCCCTTCTTCTTCTCGGTCTTGTGCTCGCTGCAGAGAAAGAGAAGAGGGAGTCAGTCTCGTCGAGAGGGAGAGAGATGGGAAGGGCGATGAAGTGGACGTACACCTTGGCCTCGGCCTTGGGCTCGCTCGTCTCGACCTCGGCGACAGCGACAGCAGCGACAGGTGCGGCGACGGCCGGCTCGGCGACAGGCTTCGCGGCCGGCTCGTCCGTCTTGACCTCGGCCGACGAGGCGCCGAGCGAGAACTCGACGTCGAGGACGCCCGCGTCCAGGTCGCCGCCGAGGGCGAGGTACGCCGCCTGCGAGAAGGTCGTGTAGTCGTCGCGGTCCGAGCCGCCGTAGACGGTCGCCGTGATGGTCTTGCCCGTCGACTTGGCCGTGACGGTGACGGACTGGCCGCACAGCGACGAGGCGACGCCGGCGTCCGGGTAGAGCGACAGCGGGAGGAGGACGATGAGCGCTTCGTCGCTGTTGCGGTGAGAGAGAGAGAGAGTTAGCCATGTCGCGTGCCAAGGAAAGGAGAGAGAGGGGGGGAAAGAGGGACGGACGTGATGACCTCGCCGCACACCGACTGCCAGCCGGTCTCGCTCAGGTAGATGGCCGTCGACTGGTGGACCGTCTGGTCGGCGCGGCGACCGAGCTTGGCGGCCGTCCTCGCACGGCGGGCGAGGTCGGCGCGGGCGAGGTGACGGGCCTCGTCCCCGCGCTTGCGGAGGGCGACGACGCCGTCGTGCGAGTCGAACGTGCTGCCGCCGTCGGTGGCAAAGTAGCGGAACGACTCGGGTGCCGGGGCGCGCTTGCCGAGCGTCGACGGGTGCGAGCGGCCGCGGTTCGAGTGCGACGCGCGGTCGAGGCGGGCGGTCGCGAGCGTCGAGGCGGTCGCGGCGAGGGTGACGAGAGTGGCCAAGTGCATGGCGGCGAACGAGTGTCGGGGGTGTTGGTGCGGTGCTGCTGGAGAGGGAGGAGGGAGAGCGAGAGAGAAAGAGGGGAGGGAGGGGCGCGAGGGAGACAAACGGGGCGCTAGAAGAAGGCTGGGCGGACGAACGCTCGTTCAACAAAGGGTGCCAGCGCGCGGTTGAACAGTCCGGGTGGTGCTCGTGGTGCCTCTGCGTGTGCTCAGCACTGCTAGGTGGCTGCCAGAGCCTGCAGCACCCTCTGCGAAGCGGCGACGAGCTCAATCCGGAGGCCCGAACGGACGGGTCGAGCGGGCGATCTGAGCGCGCGAGCGCACGCGTCGCTGTTTTGTGTGCTCGGACTTTCCGCCCTCTCTCGCTTCGAGTGCGTCCGAAGCTCACCTTTGCGCCGCAGAGAAGCTCTCGTCAAAGCTGCTCGGCATGCGCCGACGAGAGAAAGAGAGAAAGCGCCCTCGAGGAGGCGGAATTTCCGGCCGGGCAACAGATGGGCGCGAGAGAGCTAAGGGTATCTACTGCAGGAGAGAGAAAGAGATGTACGACGAACGCGGGAAAGAGAGTAGCCCAGAACACGAGACGAGCGAGCGCCCCGTCACTCGTCGCCCTCCTCCTCCTCTTCCTCCCGTTCCTCCTCGCCCTCCTCCTCGCGGTTGTTGGCGCGGTTGGCGCGCTGGCTGTCCTCCTTGGTGTCGGCGCGAGTCGAGCCGTCCTCGTACTCGATGACGCGCCGGCCCTGCGAGAAGAAGAGGCGGACCTCGCGGTTCGACGTCGCCTGGATCTGATACTGGTTGCCGCGAGGGACGAAAAAGGTGCCGCCGCTGTCGAGAGGGAGCTGTCAGGAGATGCGCTCGAGGAGGGAGGAGGAAGGAGGGCGAGAAAGAGAGAGAGGGGACGCACGGGCCGATCGAGAAGACGGTGCGGTGGATCGTGACCGAGACGGAGCCCTGGATGCAGTAGAAGATCTGCGGGCGTGCAACGAGGTCAGACTCGTACTGTCGACACGAGCGAGAGAGAGAGAGAGGAAGAGAGGGAGCAGGCGACGCACGTAGGAGTTGTCCTTGGACGGCTTGAGCGCCTTCTCGCCGTTGGGCGGGATCGTGAGGATGCCGCCGGCGAGGTAGTCGAGCTCCTGGTAGATCTTCTGGTACGAGAACTTTTTGTCGAACGTCGGGCGCGGGTCCATCATCTTGTCCGTGAAGGCGATACCTGCGACGCGAGAGGGGCGAGGCCGGGTCAGTCGGGTGCCAAGGGGCAAAGAGAGGCAGGGAGACAGGGACGCACGGCGCGAGACCTCGGCGTCGCCCTCCCAGCTCCACACGAGGCCGTCCGGGTCCGTCATGTCGTCGACGCCCTGCTCCTCGGGCACCTCGCGCTTGACCGTCCCGCCCCTGCTGCCGGCCCTCGCGCTCGCGCCGCGCTTGCCGCCCGCGCCGCCCTTCTTCTTGCCGTGCGCGCCGCCGAGCGGCTCGGGGTCCTCCTTGGGCACGCGCACGATGGCGTTGACGCCGATGCCCGACGACCGGCGCTTGTAGATGATGCGCTCGTTGCGCCAGTAGTCGAGGCGCGGGATCTTTTCGCGGTTCGAGCGGCGCACTGTGGGCGAGTGGGGCGAGGGCGAGGGCGAGGGGGCAGGCGTCAGTGCCGGGCGAGAGAGGGAGAGAGGGAGAGCGGGAGAGAGAGGGACGCACCGCCCTCGGCATGCTCGCCGTCGCCGCCGCGCCTGCGCTTCTTGGACACGTCCTCGATGATCTCGCGCGGCCGCACCTCGCCCTTCCTCCCACGCTGCGTCACCGCCTTGTCGGGCGAGCTGCCCGACGCCGACGAGCGCGGCGCGCGACCCTTGCCCTTGCCCTTGGCCTTGGACGGGCCGGCGGCCGCACGCGGCGTCCGGTGGTCGTCCTCCTCCTCCTCCTCCTCCTCGATGGGCTCGAGCCCGTCGTCACTGCCACCGCGGCCCGCTCCAGCTCCAGCGCCGCCCTCGTCGTCCGAGCCGGACACCTGCCCCTCGTCGTCGTCGTACCCGCCGCCGTACTCGTTCTCGAGGAACGGCTGCTGCTCGTCGTCGCCGCGCTCGTCCCGCTCGACGGGTGACAGCGACCGCTCGACGGCGCGCCCCTTGCCCTTGCGGTCGCCCGCGCCGCTGCTGCCGCCGCTGCGCTCGACGACCTCGACGGCGCGCCCGTTCTTGTCGAGCCGCATGAGGCCCGTCGGCGTACCGCCGCCGGGGCTGCCCGCGCCGTACGAGCTCGCGCCGCTCTGGCGCCGCGGCGACGACGGGCTGCCGGCGCCGCCGTTGGTGGTCGACGTCGAGGCGCGCGCCTTGCCCTTGCTCTTGGCGAGGGCCGATGCCGAGGGCTTCTTGGCCGTCAGGACGGCGCGCACCGCCTCGTCCTCGTCCTCGTCCTCCGTCTCGTCTTCTCCATCTCCCTCTCCCGCACCGTCGTCGTCGTCGTACCCCTCGCCCTCGCCCTCGCTGCGCACGTCGAAGCGCTCCTCCTCGTCCTCGTCGACCTCCTCCTGCCCGCGGTCGTCGTCGCCACTCAAGCTCGACAGGCGCCGCCGCGGGTTGCGCTGCGCCGAGCCCGAGCCCGAGGCCGACGCCTTGCCGTACCGGCGCGGCGACGAGCCAGGCGACGCGAGCCCGGGCGCCGTGAGGCCCTTGCGCGAGACGGAGCGCGCGCCCGAGGGGAGCATCGAGTGGCGCAAGGCCGAGGGCTGGCGCGCGCTCGAGGTGGACGGGTGACGCCGCTGGTAGGTCGAGGGCGAGAGCGAGGGACCTGCGTGTGCGAGAGAGAGAGAGAGAGAGGGTGGCGGTCAGTCTGCTGCGCTGTAGGGCGGGCGCCGGGGGAGGACGAGAAGGGAGGTGGGGGGCGCACCGTCGTCGTCGCCCATCATGTCGCTCTCGGCGCGCTCGTCGTCGTCGTTATCGTCGTACTCGGGCGACAAAGCGGCCCTCGGCGTGCGGCCCTGCGACGCCTTGGTCGCCTTCTTGACGGTCGAGCGCGCGCCCGAGGTCGCCGTCGTAGTCGACTGCGCGGGCGACGTGAACAGGAACTCGTTGATGTCCTCGAACCCGTCGGGGTCGCGTGCGACGACGGCCTTCTTGACGCCCGTCTTGCTGCGGTAGGCGGACCGCGAGCGAGTCAGTGCTTGAACTCGGAGGTGGGCTAGAGGGCAGAGCGGGAGCGAGAGAGAGAAAGAGAGGGAGAGTAGGGGACGCACCGACCACGGTCCTCGCCGAGCATGAACCGATCCGGCCGCTCTCCCCTCGCGCCCCTCGCCGCCGCCGCCGCGCCATTCGCGCCGCCCGCCTTCTTCTTCTTGGCGCTCGCCTTTCTCGCGCTGCTCGCCGCCGGCTCAGGCGCGTCAAAGTCGTCGTCGGCGTCGCGCCGGTCGTTATCGTAGTCGTCGTCGCCGTTGTCGTCGTAGTCGTCGCCCGAACCGGCGGCGGCGGCGCGGTCAAAGAAGGCGTCGGGCTTCTCGTGCCCTGCCGAGTCGCGCGGGACGCCCTTGGGCGCGGCGATGTTGGTCGTCCTGCAGGTTGGTCGGGCAGAGTCAGGGAGGCGTCTCGAGGGCGAGGCGAGGAGGGGGAGGGGAGCGAGGGGCGATGAGAGACCGGGTGGAGGGGGGAGCGAGGCGAGGGGGAGAGAGAGAGGGAGGGGGCGCACCTGCCGGCCTCGCCGATGTTGTTGTTGACCTGCGGGCGAGGTCCACGTATCCGTCCCGGGGTCGGCGGGGCCATGGTGGTCGAGCTGGTCGAGTGTTGTTTGGTGCCGAGTTGATTGACGGCGGCGAGCGGGTCGACAAGAGGGCGGGGCGGTGCTGCGACTGGCCGGGAGTGGCGATGAGGTAATGAGCGGTCGCTGGCGAGGCGAAGCGAGGGCTCTGCGTAGAATGGAGCGACAAGGTCGAGGTGGGGAGAGGGACGAGGCGGTGAGCGCTCGAGGCGACCGCTTCTGACGCGTCGACCACTCTCAGCTGGGTCGTTCTCGGGCTCAAGGTACTCGCAGTAGCGTGTTTGACTACTGTAGCCGGGATCACGAGTGGCTCTGAGGTGTGCGTGAGCGAGAACGGCCGCTGATCACAAGTGGCCTTTGCGGACGACGACGTCGACTCGGAGGTGAAGTTCCCCTTCCCTCTCGCCCTCGCCGCAGCCCGCGACTCTCCCAGGCGCGCCCTTGACCAGCTCTACCTTGCTGTAGAGCATCCCCTCGCACCAGGCACCCACCTCTCGCCTTCCCCCCCGCCGCTCCACTCTCGTCCCGCTCGCTCGCCTACCGTAGACGCACGCTCTTACGCGTCGCACCTCCTCGGCCTCTCTCGCGCACGAGCCTGTACTCACTCGCTGCATCCCGTCCTCCTCCTCTTGCTCTCGCTCGCTCGCTCGCAGTGGTACGAGAACCTGAGCTACTCGGGCGCGACGGCCGCTCAGTGGAGCGGGTGCTGCCTGTGCCAGAACAATCTGGACTACCTGTACCAGATGACGAACGGGTGGCTCATGGGCCGCACCGGGTACGAGATGGGCTCTTACCACAACCTCAAGGTGTGCGGGCACCAGGACTAGACGTCGTCGTCCCCCGTCGTCGTCGTCGTCGTCGTCACTCTCTCCTCGGCGCCTTCCCTCCCTCCCTCCCTCCCTCTCTCCTCCTTACCTTCAGAGATACCCGCCTCCTTCTTTTCGTCAGTGCTGTGCACGGCGAGCCTGGAAGACGCACGTCGATACCCCCTCCTCCCTCTCCCTCGTTCCTCGCCTTCTCAACTTGGACCCCTCCCTCTCTCTCTCTCTCTCTCTCCCCCTGTTGCCGCCCTTTCTTCTCTCCTCGAGTCTCTCCTTTCGCGCACTCTTCCTCGCGCACGACCAGTAGCTGCAACTCCCGGGTTTGCGCTCGAACCTTGTCGAGGAAAGAGCGGCGAGATCTCGAGTTTGTCGACAGCTAGCCCGAGTGCGAGCGCATTCCTCTCGAGCACGAACGACGCGAGAGTGTGAGAGAGAGCGAAAGTGTCTGTCTATGCACGTCTCGAGCCGTCTACAAACTCAAAGCGAGAGCGCCCCCGACTCGTCGCTCCTCCCTGACTCGCGCGCTCTCCAGCTCGCGTACTCTCTCGCTCGCTCTCCTTCCACAAGCTCGGCCCCGTCTGCGCACGAGGCGACGGTACCGAGGAGCAGGCGCTGCACCTGGCAGCGGGCCCGCTCGACGAGCGGGCTTGCAGCTGAGGAAACCTGAGAGCGAGAGCGAAGCTGGAGCAAGCGCACGGGCCCCTCCTCCGACGAGGCGCGGAGCCTCCTGCTGCTGAGCCTCGCTCTCTGCTCTCAGGCAGCTGTTGCCCCCTCGACCGGCGTGACACTGAGCGACGGGCGTGGCGAAAGAGAGGCTCTGCGTCGCGCCACCAGAAGAGCTCGAGGCAGGCAGCGGCAAGCGCTTTCGTCCTCGTCGCCTCCCTCTCCTCGGCCGGCACGATGCTCGACGCCATGGTTGCACCTGCTCTCGTCGACTCGCCACGACCCCCTTCTCGCCTCCTCTGGCCCAGTGTCCAAGCTGCTCCTCCTCGCGCCCTCTACTGCTGCGCCTGCTGCTGCGGCTGCGGCGGCGCGGACGGCGCACCCTGCGGGCCCATACCGTCTGCGCGCACAGGGAGCTCGAGGTGAGTCCACCGGTCGAACAACGCGGAAGAGAGAGAGAGAGAGAGAGAGAGAGAGAGAGAGGGAGAGCGGGACGCACTCTGCGGTCCTCCCGATCCTCCTCCCGGCCCACTCGGCGCGCCCGGCCCGGCGACGGGCACAAACGGCGGCGTCCACGGCATGTACGGCGGGCGGCCCTGCCCCTGCTGACCCTGGCCGCCCGGCTGCGGTCCTCCTGCTCCGCCGCCGTTGGGCATGCCCGCGTGCGCAGGGTGCGGCGACGACGCCTGCATGTTGGGCGACGTGAACACTGCGAGCGAGCGAGGCGAGGCGAGCGATGGACAGGCTCGGTAAGTGTCTCGGTCTCTGGGCGAGCCGCGCCGAAAGAAAGGGAGCCATGGAGAGGGAGAGAGAGAGAGCGAGGGACGCACTCGGCGCACCGCTCCCCGGCGGCGGCGGCGGCGCAAACGGCGGCATCGGTCCTCCCGGCCCGCCGAACCCTCCAAAGGACGGCGGCGCCATGGCCCCCTGCCCCTGCCCCTGCCCTTGTCCAGGCCCCGGCCCCGGACCACGCGACGGCGGCCCGCCGTGGCTCATGTGGCCCTGCCCCGGTCCCGGCCCCTGTCCTCCTCCTCCCTGCTGCTGCAGCATGAACCCGCCCGGCGGCGGACGAAAGCCCGCCGCCGCCATGGCCGCCGCCGCCGCCGCCTGCGGGTTGAACGGCCCTCCTTGTCCTTGTCCTCCTCCTCCTCCTCCTGCAGCGCCAGCGTGCTGCATCATGGCCTGTTGGTGCGCCTGCTGCAGTTGCTGCGCCTGTTGGTGCGCCGCCTGCGCCGCCGCGATGGCCGCCGCGCCGTTCGGGTCCATCATGCCGCTCGGCGCGCCGCCCATGTGCTGCTGCTGCTGCTGCTGCTGCTGGAGGTGGAGGTGGTGCTGCGGGTGCTGCGGGTGCTGAGGGTGCTGCTGCTGCTGGTGGTGGTGGTGCTGCTGCTGGGCGGCGCGCAGCCGCACATCGTGCAGCCGCATCCCCGCGGCGAGGGGGCCGCCGCCGCCGCCGCCAAACATGTGCGGCGGTGGGCCAGGCGGGCCGCCGAGGTGCTGCGGCTGCGCCATGTGCGGCTGCGGCGGCGGCTGCATGCCCGGCACGAGTCCGAGCCCGAGTCCGGGCACGGGCCCAGGTCCGGCTGCTCCGCCGCCGACGAGCTGGGGCGGGAAGATGGCGCGGTACGGCTTGCCCGTGAAGCCGGCCCAGTTGGGGAGGACGGCGCCCGGGTCGGCGAGCGAGCCGTGGTGCTTGAACGGCGTAAAGTCCTCCTTGACGTGCATCGACGACGAGCCCTTCTTGATCTGCTTGGTGCCGAAGAACGGGTTGGCCGCGACGACGGGCGCCGACCTCGTCGGGGCCGGCGGCGGCTCGATCGAGACGAGCGGCGGCGGCGGGGCCGGCGAGGCGGCTGCCTTGCGGGCAACGACGGGCGCCGCCGACGTGGACGACGAGGACGGGCCGGCGCCGCCGCCAGGCGTGAACGTGGCCGCGCCCGGGTTGGGCTTGAACACGAACGCGGCGCTCGCCGCGCTCAGCTTGGTCGTCGGCGCCTTGGCCTGGAGCGCGGCGCCCGAGGTCGAGGGGGATGCGGCCGGCGCAGGAGAAGGGGCAGCAGCAGCGGCGGCGGGGGCGTCGGGCGACTTGGCGCCGCCCTTGGCGGCGGCGCGCTGCGGGTTGAACGGCGGGATCTCGGCGATGAACGGCTTGGCCTTGGCCTGGAGGACCGACGACTTGGGCGGGTGTGCCGGTGCCGGGGCCGGGGTCGACGAGGGCGACGGCGAGTGGCCGTGGCCGCCGGCGGCGGGGAGCGTGCGGTTCGTGTGGGCGGGCGAGACGGCAGGCGAGGCGTTGCTCTGGGTCGACAGGGCCTTGTGGTCGCCGCCGGCAGCAGGCCTCTTGCCCATGACGACGGCGAGGTCGTCCGGGAGCGGGTACGGGTTCTGCGAGAGTGCGAGGTCGTCAGGGCTCGGGCCTTTTCTCAAGCCTAGCGAGCGCGCCGATCTCGCCTTCGAGGGAGAGCCGTCGCGAGAGGGAAAGAGAAAGAGAGAGCGGGGCGCACCTTGAACGTCTGGCTCCACTGGAGCAAGCTCGCCAACTTCGAGTCCTGCTCCTTGCGCGCCTGGAGCGCCTGCTGCTGCTGCTGCTGCTGGGCGAGCTTCATCTGCTCCTTCTTCTGCTCGACCCGCACGCGCTCGCTCGTGACAAAGTTCTGCAGCTCGTGCTGGAGGCCCTTGTTGCCCTCGGTGGCGCTCGTGTGCGGCGGCGCGTTGATCGAGGGCAGGGCGGACGACGCACCGGCGCCGGCGCCGGCGTTGGCCGCGGACGACGACGCGGCCGAGGCGGACGACGACAAGGGCGGGATCCGCGACGCGGCCGAGGCGGGCGGCGGGACGCGGGACGCCGCCGCCGCCGCCGACGACGACGAGGACGAGGCGGCCGACGCGCTCGAGCCGTTCTGAAGCCGCGCGAGGGCGGCCTTGCGGGCGCCGGGCGGGACATACGCGCCGTCTGCGCGCTGCACGGCGCCGTACCGCGCCTCCTCGTCCCCACCGTCGACGTCGACGACCTCGCCTCGCTCCTCGGCGACGTGCGCGTTGCCGGCCAGACCTCCCGCGCCCGAGCCCGAGGAGCCGCCCTTGAGGATCTCGCGCTCGAGCTGTGCGGCGCGCAGCTCGCGCTGCTTAAAGTCGGACCCGGACCGGTCGAGCCTGGTCGTGTAGATCTCGTCGTCGTAGTCCGTCTTGAGGCCGAACCGGCGCTCGTTGGCCGCGAACTGGTCCCACCCTTTGCCCGCCGCGCCCGTGCCCGCGCGCCCCGAGCGGCGCAGCTGGTCGTCCTCGAGGAGGCCGCCCTCGAGCGCAAAGTCGTCTGCGCCCGTCGTGGCGCCCCAGCCCGAGTCGTCGGCTGCGCCTGCGCCGGCGCCGTCGCCGCCGTCGTGGGCGCCCCCCCACGCCTGGAGCTGGCGCTCCTTGCCGAGGCGCTGCGAGCCCGAGATGTCGGTGTCGGTGCGGAACGAGTCGCGCTTGAGGGCGGCGGTGGTGGCGCTCGTCGGGCGCGACGAGGACGACGCTGAGGACGAGGGGCCGCCGGCGCCGGCGCCGGGCTGGGCGCCGTTGGTCGACGACGAGGCGGACGACGAGGACGACGCGGCGGCGGCGGCGGCGGCGGGGGTGGGGCCGAGCCAGTCGAGCTGGGCGTCTGCGGCCTCGAGGGCGACGAGGTCGCGCGCGGTGATGAGGATCGAGGGTTTGGGCGGGTTCGGGTTCGGGGTCGACGAGGGCGCGTCGTCGAGGTACGAGGCGTGGCGGAGCGCGAGCGAGAGGTCGTTGCCGTCCGGGGTGGCGGCCGCGAGGATGCCCTTGATGCGGGTGCCGCCCTTGACGGTGGCGATGACCGGGTGGCCCTGCGCGGGTTTGGCGAGAGCGGGGAGGACACGATCGGGTTGGTGGGGAGGAGGGAGGGGGAGGGGGCAGGGGTCAGCCCGCCGCGCTCGCTGTTGGCTCGAGTGGGAGAGAGAGAGGGTGGGACGCACGACGAGGGCAAGGAGGATCCAGGTGAAGCGGTCCTGGGCGGGCGAGTGGGTGTGCTTGGGGCCCTTTGCGAGCGAGGTGCTCCTGTTGACGACGAGGGGGTCAGCTTCGGGGCTGGGCGAGGGCTTGGAGCGAGGGGGGGCTCACTTGGAGTACATGGCCGAGTGCCCGAGTCGGTACGACGCGCTCAGGCGCGGGTTGCTCAGGCGGAGAGATGCACGAGGGGACGGGGCTCTCCTCCTCCTTCCTCGACCCTCACTCGCCTTGACCTCATCGCACCGCTCCTCGCTCCCTGCCAGGCCTGCACCTCGAACCCAGTGAGTCCATCCACCCACTCCACTCCGCGTCGAGCGCCCAACCGTCGTTCGCCTCGCCCTCTCCCCCCCGTTCGCCGCTCGTCGAGCGCAGGCCCGACTGCGCCCCGCTCGCGTCACTGGGCCCCGAGCCATGGCCACCAAGCACTCGAGCAACTGCACCAGAGCCCGCACGGCCACCGCTGACTCTCTCTCGTGCCCTCGCCGCGCCTTCCCACAGCCCGCCTTCCTTCATCTCCCGCAGCTCGACCTCCGCTTGACCTCACCCGACCAACCCTCGTGCTCGCCACCACCATGTCCACCGAGGCGTCCCCCAGCCGCCGCCGCGGCTCGATCGAGGACGGCGACAGCCTCCTCCCGCCCACCTCGGCCGCCCCCTCTTCGTCGAGCAACCCTCCTCCTCCTCCTCCCACCGCCGCCCCCGCAACCGCACCCGCCCCCTCGTCCGACGCCCCCGACGCCGACGACGACGCCGAGGCAGCCGAGCTCGCCGCCATGCGCGCGCGCGTCGCCGAGATGGAGGCCGAGGCGGCCAAACTGCGCGAGCTCACGGCCGCGAGCGAGGCGTCCGGGAGCGGCGGCGGCGGCGGCGGCGGCGGTGGGGCGGGCGCGGGTGGTCAGGGAGCCGACGGGATGGACGTCAACATGAGCGACGAGGACCGCGAGGCGGTCGACTCGCGCAGCATCTATGTCGGCAATGTACGTCTCTCTCTCTGTCCCTCACTCTCTCGCCCCTGTGGCGCCCAGAGCTGACCCGCTCGAGCGCCCGCGCGAACAGGTCGACTACAACTCGACGCCCGAGGAGATCCAGCAGCACTTTGCGTCGTGCGGCACGATCAACCGCGTCACGATCCTCTTTGACAAGTTCACCGGGCCCAAAGGGTGCGTCCTCTCTCTCTCTCTCTCTCGCTGCACCGATACCAAGGGAGAGTGAGACTGACATCCTTCGCGGAAAACCGCCGCACAGCTACGCCTACGTCGAGTTTGCCGACCCGTCCCTCGTCGCCAACGCCGTCCTCCTCAACGAGTCCATGTTCCGCGGCCGCCAGCTCAAGGTGCGCTCTCGCCTCTCCCTCTCCCTCTCCCTCTCTCTCGCGCCTCTCTTTTCGCGGGTCACTGACGGATCAGAGGGTACCGTGCAGGTCTCGCCCAAGCGGACCAACCTGCCCGGCATGGGCGCGCGCGGCCGGGGTCGTGGGCGCGGGCGTGGACGTGGAGGATACCGCGGCGGGTACGAGGGCGTGCGTCCCTCTTCTCTCTCTCCCTCCTCCTCTCCTCCTTCTGCTTCAGCACGGGCACCTGACGCGACCTGCTTCGGCACGCAGCACGGCGGCTACTCGCCGTACCCTCGGGGCCGTGGGCGTGGGGGCCGCGGCAGGGGCGGGTTCTGAGCTGGCGCGGGTTTTTTTTGTCGACGACGACGAGGAGCAGGAGGGGGAGGAGCAGAGCGAGGGAGCGACGAGCAGCTGTACGATCCGTGGTCCTGTGCCCTGCCCTGCCCTGCCCTGCGAGGCGGCGGCAGCGTGGTCGAAAACCGAGCGAGCCGGCTCGTGTGCCGAGTCGGCGCACTTTGTGTACTGTTCCTCGACGTGCTCGAGCCCGAGAGACTGTGCGAGCGAGCGAGCGAGCGAGCGAGCAAGAGGCAGCTCGAGACGGAGCAGGGGAAGCGAGGACGCGCGCGACGACGGCGGCGGGGCAGGGTTCTGCAGCACGCGTTGCGTCGAACAGGGCCTGTAGAGCACGCACAGGCACTCACTGCCTGACAGAGCGAGTCGAGCCGAGCGAGCGAGGCGCCGACGTCTTCATCTCCCTCCTCCTCCTCACTCTCTCGGCCTCCACCCTCACCACCACTCGCGCGCCATGCTCGGCCCCTTCCGCGCCTCGTCCCCTTCAATGGTCGGCCTCCTCTGGTGCGCCCCTCGCCTCGCCCCTCGCCCCTCTCCCTCGCTGACCCTTCCCTCCTCGCCTCGCCTCGCCTCGCCGGACAGGAAGATGCCCTGGCGCCTGTCCAAGACGCGCAAGATGCGCCAGCGCCTCCGCCTCAAGGCCGTCGACGACGTCATTGCGACCGTGCGCGCCTCGGGCGTCCAGACCCACTCGCTCGTGCGCCCGCCCTCTCCCTCTCCTTCCCCTTCCTCCTGGCGCGAGAGGCGAGCTGACCCGTCCGCGCCCCACCTCGCCACGCCCCGCCCCGCCCCGCACCGGCACCGCACACCGCGCAGACGGCCGCGCTCGCGCTCCCGCGAGAGAGCGCCATGCCGCCGCGCGACAAGTACACGACCTTCTCGCGCAAGGACCCAGGGTACCGCAAGGGGATCCACAAGTCGCCCCACTTTACCAAGGTGACGTCGCGCACCAACCCGGAGGGCTTCTGAGCGCGGCTGAGCGGGCGAGGCGAGCGGGCTGAGCGGGGCGAGCGAGCGAGCGGGCGAGCGAGTTGTGAGGGGGACGAGCGGGCCGAGGAGACGAGCTGGGCGAGAGGAGTGTAGCGTGTACCTTTATGCATCGTCGTTGCAGGTCTCTTGGTCTCTCCCTTCGTCGAGAGCAGCCTCGCAGTTTCGGGCTCTCTCGCTCGTCCTCTCGCTGCTCAAGCTCTCGGGCTGCCTCTCTCTATCTCTCTCTGTCTCGCACGAGCGCTCCTCGCAGCCCTCTCGCCTCCGCTCACCTCTGCGCTGCATTGCGCAAAGCCCGGGCTCGGGCTCAAAAAAGAGAGTTGCAGCCCCTCTTGTTAGAACACGACGAGCTTCATCTTGCCCTCGCGCAACCGGTCCATGACGGCTTTGGTCCCGACGAGCTTGAACAGGTCGGCGCGCGCCTCGGGCAGGTCGACGAGCGAGCGCTTCTTGCTGTCGAGGTGCGACACGTCGAGGATGAGGTGCGACAGGTGCGTCAGGTGGAGGGCGTCTGCGCGCGTGCGTGCGAGCGAGATTGGGTCAGGTCTTGGATTGTCCCGAGAGACGAGAGAGGGGGGAGAGGGACGAGGGGGCGCACCAGACTCGTTGAGCAGCTTCTCGATCCGATTGGGCGTCCCGACCGCGAGGCCGACGTGCGTTTTTTGCATGTACTCGACGTGCTCCGACAACTTGAAGTGCTGCAGGAGGAGGGGGGCGAGTGAGCGGACCCCTCGTGGCCGACGAGGGTAGAGAGAGAGAGAACACGCACCTTGGCAAAGAGCTTTGCGACGTCAATGAGGCCGTCCTTGGTCTTGGTCTTGAACGACTTGACGTCCCTGCAGGCTCGCGAGAGCGCGGGGGGTCAGGACGGGCGTGTCCGGGTGAAGAGAGGAGGCGAGGAGGAGGAGCCTGCGCACGCACCGGCACAGGTCGGCGACGCGCAGGGCGGCGCCGGCGACGACGATGATGCGCGGCGAGCCCGTCGCCTTGGGCATCTTGGCGAGCGTGTTGCACGTCGTCGGGAGCGCTGCGTGCGGGGTACGGCGTGTCAGTCTCGGCAGCGAGAGAGAGAGAGAGAGAGAGCGGGCGGGACGCACCCTCTTTCATGAACGCGAGGAGCGAGTCGCGCGCCTCGACCGTCGCCGTGTCCAGGATCATCGACTCTGCGGACGGCGTGGCAGGGTTCAGTTTCCGTCGCGTCGCAGAGAGGATGAGGGAGGATACGCACGGCTGATGCGCTGCTCGTCCAGCTCGAGCGCCGTGAGGTTGGGCAGCGCGCGCTTCTGCTTGTCGGCGAGGCGGTCGGCGAGTGCTTCGGGTGGGAGCAGGCCCATGTCGTCCTTGTCGCGCTCGTCGAGCCCTCCCTCGACCACCTTTGCCCGCTTCTTGTCCTTTGCCCGCTTGGCCGCCCGTTTGCTCGTCGTCGTCGTCGTCGTCGTCGTCGTCGGGGCCGCCGCCGCCTCGTCCGACGAGGCAGGCTCGGCGCGGCGCTTCTTGGCTGGCGGCGGGGCGGCGTCGTCGTCGTTGTCCGAGCCGCCTGGTGCAGCTGCGTCGTCCGAGAGGTCGGCTGGGTCGCCCTCGTCGCCGGAGAACGGGGCGGCGACGAGCTCGTCGTCGAGGGCAAAGTTGTCCTCGAGGTCGTCGCCGGTCGGGACGTGCTCAGTCTTGGTCTTCTTGGTCGGTGGTGGGGCCATGTCAGCTCGGCAAGGGCGGGTCGAGCGAGAGGCGGGGTCGAGAGGGAGAGCAAGGGCAAGCTCGTCCTCGTCCTCATCTCCGCAGAGGAGAGTGTCCACACTCGCTGCGTGCCTGCTACGCACTCCGGGCGCATGCTCCCTGCAGCAGTCGGGCTCGCCATCACCGCTGCCTGCACCGCCGTACTCGTCCTCGTCGCCCGTCGACTCGCCCGCACCCTCGCTCAACACGTCCGTCGCCTCTCGACGCCCTCGCCCTGCCCTGAACGCGCACTGACTCGCGCTGTGTGCACTTGCAGGGCACCGACACGGGCTACGCGCTGTCCGCCCGCGACCACCTCGCCCGCCGCGGCTCGTTCTGAGATGGCCACCGCCAGCACCGCCTCGTCCCGGCTCCACCTCTTCCTCCCCGACTCGGCCCTCGACCCAGTGCCTCGCTCGACCGCGACCATCGACCCGCATGCGGCGGCGCCTCGCGTGTACGGCTGGGGCACGAGGACCGGGTCGGCCCTCGTCGTGGTCGGCGTCGTGCGCGCCGTGTCGGTGCAGGAAGCAGCGCAGCTCGTCGCCGAGCGATGCGCAGGCCGCACCGCAGACGAGCATTCGGTCGAGGTGCTCGTCGAGCTCGACGTGGGCGAGGACGGACAAGGTCTCGCCGGCGTCGTCTTCCTCGACGGCCAGCGTCGCCCTTCCTCCTCGTCCGCCGGCGACGCCCAGGCGCCGCTCGTCATCCTGTACGCGCCCCTCAAGCAGCTCGAGCTCCTGTCTCTCGAGCCTTTGCGCCTCGGCTTCCAGCCGCGCCTCGACGAGGTCAAGGACACGCCCACCGCGAGGACGAGGTCGACGAGCGCAGCGGGCGAGGGCCTGGCGGGTGCGGTCGCGGTTGTACGCCAGCTGTTCCTCTCTCTCTCTCTTCGCACGACGACTTCCTTGACCGTACCGACTGACGTCCCCCGATGGCCGGACCCACAGATCAACGGCTCGCGCCTCGTCCTTCACGAGCGTTCCCGTCCGTCGCCTAGTCGAGCGAAGCCGCTCCTCGACAGCGCCCGCAGGATCGGCCTCGTCTTCTCGAGCATCATCCACGCCATCCTTTCGCTCGTCTTGGCCACCCTCGCCGTCCGCGTGCCGTTCCTCGGCTCGATTGCGCAGCTCTCCTGCTTCGGTGCGTCCACCCTCTCCCATACGACGGTCCCGCATCGTGACTGACTCGTCGCGTTGCTCCCCCCTGCAGGCCGTCAACTCGACACGCGAGTGTCGCAGGCCCTGTCGCTCGTCCCGACCTTTAGCTCGTTCCACCGCGACCTGTACACACCCACGACCGCCGAGGCGCGCCACGTCGCCGCTCACGCCAGCTACATCCAGTGCGTCGCGCACCTTGTTCCCGTACGCCGAGCCCGCACTGACCCTAGTCTCGGCGCACGCAGCTTCTTCAACCTCCTGTGGCTCCTGGCCAACGACTTTATCGTCGGCGTCGCGCTCGCGACGTACGTCCGCGACAACGCCGTCCCGATCCGGCACCTCGTGAGCGACCTCGTCGAGGTACGTCGTCCCTACCTCTCTTCCTCGCGAGCGAGCGAGCGCGTCGTCCCCGAGCGGGCCTGACTCCCTCGAGTCCGAGCAGGTGCACGTTTCGGCGTACCTGCGCGACCTCCTCGACTGGCTCAACAGCTGGCCGATGGGTGTCAAGCTCAACTCGGAGGTGGCGGGCCTCGTCTGCCGGGCCTTTGTGTTCCTGACACGCGTTTGGGAAGGCGGTGCGTCGGCCCGTTCCTCCTCTCTTTCTCTCTCGCGCTCTCCGAGCAGTCACTGAGATTCCTCCTTCGCAGCCGTCCTCAAGCCCGTCCTCCTGCATCTCCCTGTCGGCCTCATTGGCTGCGCCGGCTTCCTCGGCGCTTCGTCGCTCCTCGCCTTGTCGACCGACCTCGTGTCGGTCCTCACCCTCCCCTTCTTTGTCTGCTACGTCGCCGCGACCCTCGTCTACCGGTGGAGCCTGCGCAGCCTCGGCGCCCTGTTCAACGTCTTCCGAGGTGCGTCCTCCTCTCCCTCCCCCCCCTGGAGAGAAACGCCGGCCTGACGTGCTCGTCGTCGCGGTCGACAGGGCGCAAGTCCAACCCGCTCCGGAACCGCGTCGAGCCGGCGAGCTACGACGTCGATGCGCTCCTCCTCGGCACCCTCCTGTTCGTCACGCTGTCGTTCATCTTCCCGACGCTCGTTGCCTTCTACGCCGCGTTCGCCTCGGTCCGTCCCCCTCCCACTCGTCGCCTCGGCGGCGGCTCTTTCACGGCGTCGCACCTGACCCTCTCGCCAACAGTCTCGCCTCCTCATTCTCGGCGTCGAGACGGTCCTCCTCATGGGCGTCGACGGGCTCAACAGCTTCCCGCTGTTCGCGCTCCTCCTACGCATCAAGGCGCCCGGTCGACTTCCTGGTGCGTCTCTTTTCTCTCTCTTCCTCGGCCCGCCTCGTCATGCGGTTCCTGACAATGCTCGTGCAGGCGGCATCCGGCTCGACCCGTGCTCGGACAAGCGCCACTTCTCGGCCCCCCATTTTCACCTCGAGGTGCGCTCGCGCACCCTCTCGTCCTGTGGCCTGCGCCTCCCACTGACACCCACAGTCGCACACGTCGCCGCAGAACCAGCCCTTGTCGTTCGGCAGCGTCCTGTCGTCGCTGTACGTCGCACTCTTGCCCTGCGCCGCCTCGACCGAGCCCGACTTGACCAAGTTCGAGCCCTCGCAGGTCGCACGTCGTGACGCCGCTCTCGCCAAGCACGGCCGTCTCTCTGCTCGCCAGGCTCTGCACCGGTGCGCCCCCTCGCCCTCCCTCCCTCTCAAGCCCTGCCGGCACGGTCAACCTGACCTCCCTCCTCGTCGCGCCGGCCCGCAGGCCGAGTCGTGTGGTCCTCCTCCTCGTCCGCCCCGCCGGCCGAGTAGCCCTCCTCCATTCACGCCCCATATGCGTGCGAGCGGCGGAATGGCGGAGATGAGCCTCGGAAAGCGTCGATGCGACATTGTCGATCAAGGCGCGCGTTGCGACGCGCGCGAGGTCAAAGGTCCGGCATGCATCCTCTTCTCGACGTGCAGCTCGTCGTCTTTCTCCTCCTCCCGTTCACTCCCCCCCCCCCCAACGCCCGTTCGCCTCGAGTCGCCGCGACCCAGACACTCGCGACCGCCGCCACCGCCGCACGACATGCTCCTCTTGCCGCCCAAGACCCTCCTCGCGCTCTGCGTCCTCGCCATCCTCTCTGCGCGCTCGGCGTCGGCCTCGTCGCCCTTCTCCTGTGCGTCCTCGATGCTCTCCCTCTCCCCCGTCGTCGTCGTCGTCGGGCCCGACCTAACCCTTGCCCGCCCCGTGCAGCCTCCTCCTCCCACCTCGTCAAGCGCGCCCCCCTCGCCTCGGACGCGTCGTCGCACTCGTCGCACCCGTCAAAGTACTTCCCCGCGCCCCACACGCCGGGACAGCCCTCCGCCTCCTCGTCGTCGGACGGCCGCGCAAAGAACGTCGCGTTCCGCGGCGCGCGCATCAGCGCCGCGACCGAGGACCGCATACGGCGCAAGCGCGCGGCCGTCGCTGCCGTCGCTGCCGCTGAACGCTCGGCGCACGCGCGGCGCGCGGCGGTCCAGCAGCCTCCTCGGGCGGCGACGGGCGCGCCCTCGGCGAAGGAGCTCGCGCGTCGGGCCCAGGTCAAGGCCGACAGCGCGTGGGTCGCGGCGCACTTGTCGCAGCGTGGGCTCGGCGGCGGCAGCGGCGGGCGAGGAGGAGCACGTGGCTCGCCCAAGGTGGTCGATGAGCGGTTCGAGCGCAAGGTGCGCGGCGCGGCGGGCGGGAGGGCGAGGGGTCACTGAGCGAGCGAGCGAGCGAGTCGCGCTCTCAAGGTGCAACCTCGCGAGTTTGAGTCTTGCTCGTGCGCGTGCGGCTGAGAGAGCGAGAGAGAGCGCGAGAAGAGTTGCGAGGGCGACGACCCTTCCACCCTGCAGTGCGATCAGTTCGCCTCTCACTCTTTCTCTCTCGCAGAAGCCGAGGGAACAGGACCGACACGGCGTTGTGATTTGCAGAACTCGACTCGAGAGAGAGAGGTAACGACGGAGAGGGGGCTCAGTGCGACGGCATGGCCTCGGCCACGTGGACGCCGTCCCTTGCGCTCTCCCAGCTCTCAAAGTTGCGCGAGAAGATCTCTGCGGCGGGCTTGGGGATGCCCTTGCCGAAGAGCGCTGTACGTCGACGATGGATGGGGAGGGTCAGTAACGGGAGGAGGGTGCCGGAGGAGGGGGAGGGCGGGGGAAAGAGGACAGGGAGGACGAGGAGGGAGGGACGCACCGCCCTTGAGGAACTGCGTCTCGTCGTTGCCCTCCACGACGGACACAATGGGACTGTGGGGAGCGCGGCTCAGTGTCTGTAGCGCTGGGCTGATTCCCCATCGAGAGAAGAAGGGAGGACGGACGAGCCACAAGTTCCGCAGAAGCGCCGCAGGAGCGTGCTGCCCGAATCGGTGTTCTTGTCGGCGTACTCGCGCAGGTGCTGCTCGCCGTCGATGACGAGGTCGGCCTTGTTGACGGCGAGGTTGACGGTGAAGCTGCGCGTCGGGAGGGGAGGGGGGCGAGGTGAGCGGGGCACGATGGGGGAAACGGCCGGAAGAGGGGTGGGGGCGTACAGGCTGCCGCTACTGGCCCTGCAGCTCATGCAGTCTGCGGGCGAGCGAGAGAGTGTGTCAGGTCGCGGTGTGCAGTAGTGTGGGGACTCCGAGGGGCGGCGACGCACGGCAGAGGATGCTGGACTCGGGGAGGCCGTTCTTGAGGGTGACAGAGATGGCTCCACAGTTGCACTTGCCGGTCGCCATGATTGCGTGCGAGGTGGTGGTGGCAGAGGGAAGAAGGAGGAGGAGGAGGTTGTTGCGGGGACGACGATTCAGACGACGCCGACGAGGGCCGCACAGCTCGCGACTCTTCACCTCGCTCGCACCCGGTGCCACCTCGACCACACACAGGGCCCCCGACAGCCCACCACAAGCACCCGCCACCCTCCACCGCCCACCCCACCGCCGTCCCTCACCCCGACGAGCGACCGCCCCGGTTGAGCGATGAGCCCTCCTCCGCCACCCTACCTCTCTCCCGGCTTCGACCCGACAAAGGCCAAAGTCGCAGAGCTGCGCGGCTACCTCCTCGCACACGACGTCCGTCCCTCTCCCCACCCCACCCCTGCCTTGATCCCCCCTCGAGCTCCACCGGCTCACCTCTCCCTCCTCCGCAAACAGGTCCAGTACAGCTCGATCGCCAAGAAGCCCCAGCTCGTCGCCCTGTTCGAGCAGCACATTCGCCCGCAAGCACCCGTGCGTCCCGACCCCTCTCTTCCCACGCCCCTCCTCGTCGTCGTCGTCGTCGCTGACCCGCTCCCCTCGTCACGTCATGACGGGGCCCAAACACACAGGCTCTCGTCGCCCAGATGCGCGGCGTGCGCGCCTCGGCCGACGGCATCCTCGACGGCGAGAGCGCCGGCGCCACGTCGCTCAGGGAGCTCGACACCGACTCGGACGCCGACTCGCCGCCCAAGCCCAAGCCGCGCTCGCGCACGAGGAAGAGCCTCGCGACCGCCGCCGCCTCCACCGCGACCACCGCCGCCGCCCCGACGCCCAAGCACAAGGCCCAGTCGAGCGCCAAGAGCAAGGTCAAGGCGCGCGCACCGCCGCCGCCGCCGCCGCGCCGTGACGACTCGGGCGACGAGGACGACGACGAGTCGATGGACGAGGACCCGCCGACGCCGCCCAAGAAGCGTGGCCGTCCGCGCAAGTCGGCAAAGCCGCGCTCGCCGTCGCCGCCGTCGCCGTCGCTGTCGCCCGTCGCCATGGACGTCGACGAGTACGAGCCGGCGGGCGACTCGACGGCGCCCATCGCGAGCGACCACGGCTCGGACTCGGACGACCCGTCGACCCGTCGCGTGCACGCTCGCGCTCGCCCTTCATCCTCCTCGTCGTCGCAGGCGCAAGCGCAGGCGGCGTCGCCGACCAAGAAGCGCAAAGAGCCGAGCACGCCGCGCCTGAGCGAGCTCGTCAAGCAGGCCGACTCGCCCGCCTCGGGCTCGGGCAACTTTAGCGACTTTAACCCGTTCCAGTCGGGCGGTGAGGAGACGCCCGACCGGGCCCTCAAGCGCCGCAAGTCGTCGGTCGGCCCGAGTCGCCTCGGCAAGCCCGCGGGCGGCGGCGGCGGCGTTGGCGGCGGCGGCGAGGCGGCGGCGGCGTTGGCGGCGTCGACGCGCCCGCGCAAGAGCCTCCCCGCCCACCTGCACCAGCACCAGCACCACGGCCGGGCCGACGTCGACCAAGCGGGCTCGTGGGCCGACTCGCCCGCCAAGGGCGCAAAGCGCGCCCGCGCGAGCGCAGCCGCCGCGGTCGAGCACGCGCACGAGCACGAGCACGAGTACGCGGCCAACGTCCCGCCCATGCCGGCCCTCCCGGCCTCGGTGCGCGCCAAGCACCAGCAGCGCGCCTCGCTCGGCTCGGCGTCGGCGTCGAGCACGCCGATCGGCGTCCCGTACATGGTCCCGGTCGCAAAAGTCAAGACGACGCCGCCGCAGGTCGCCGAGATGCTGCGCCAGCACGAGGCGGCCCAGCAGCGCGCCTCGGCCTCGGCCCCGGTTTCGGCCTCGCCCCAGTCGTCCAAGCCGCCGCAGCTGTACTCGAGCCCGAGGACCCGCATCGCGGGGCCATCGCCGCACGCCGCGGCGCGCCCGAGGACGGCGTCGTCTTCGAGCCCGGACGACGAGCGCGAGCGCACGACGTCGGTCGTGGCGGCCGCCTCCTTGAGGACGGCCAAGCGCCAGGTCGTCGGGCAGGGCAAGCAGCTCGCGGCCGACGTCATCCGCCTGCGCGACCCGTCGTCGTTGTCGTCGTCGCACGAGGCGCACGAGGCGCTCGTCGCGCTCCCGAGCGCGAGGACCGTGCGGCGCGTCACGCTCGCCGCGCTCGTCGTCGCCGCGCTCGCGCTCGTCCTGTGGCGCCGCGCCGAGACGATCGCCGCCGGGTACTGCGACCCGACCTCGCTGTCGAACGAGCGCGTCGCCGCACGCCGCACGTCGCTCGCGCTCCCCTCGCTCCCGGACCTGTCCGAGCCGGTCGGCGCCTTGCTCGACTCGACGGGCCTGCGTCCAGGGTGCACGGCGTGCCCTCAGCACGGGCACTGCGCGCACGGCGAGTTCGTCGGCTGCGAGCTCGACCACGTCCCTGTCGAGCCCGGCTTGCTGCGCACCCTCGGCGGGCTCGTGCCCGCCCCGAGCGTGTGCGTGCCCGACACGGCCAAGCAGGTCGCCGTCGCGCGCCAGGCGAGCGCCGGAGCGCACGTCCTGCGCCACCGACGCGGCGAGGTCGTGTGCCGCTCTGGGCTCGAGAAGCAGCGCCGCCGCGACGCACAGGGCGGCCGCGGCGCCGAGGACGCGTTCGTGTTCGGCATGGACGCCGTCAGGGTCCTCGAGGAGATGGCGCGCGTCAACGAGCTCGCGAGGGAGCCCATCAGCGACGAGTTCGTCGACGAGATCAACCGGCTTGCGCTGAGGGACCTCGAGGCGCACGGCGAGGTCGTCGTGTGGCAGAACGGGTCCGTCCCTCCCTTTTCTCTCTCTCTCTCTCTCCCTCTCTCTCTCTCTGTCGTCCTCGGTCAGGGACTGACTCCCACACGCCTCGCACAGCAACGAGTACTGGTACGCGAGCAAGACAGCCGACATGTCGCTCGGGTGCCGCGCGCGCCTGTTCGCCAAGAACTGGGTCAAGCAGCACAAGGGCTCGCTCGCAGGTGCGTCCGCCGCCTGTCCTCTCTGCACTGTCTGCCCTTTCGCTCGAGCACCTCGAGCCGGACTGACTTTGTTGCGTGGGGCCGCCGCAGGCCTGTTTGCGGCGCTCGCCGGCGTCGCGTGGGTGCGGCACAAGCTCGCGCAGCGCAAGCGCGACGAGGTGCGCAAGGAACAGCTCGTCGTCGTCGCCCTGCACCAGCTCCAGCAGCAGGTGCGCACCTCTTTCTCTCTTTCTCGGTCTCTCGCGCTCGGTCGAGCGGGCGAACCTGACCCTCTCGCTCGTACCCCTCCCTCACTCGCGCCGCCCTCTCCCTCCCTCCCTCTTGCCCACCCTCGTCCTCCCTCTACTCCACGCCCCGCAGGCCCGCTCGCACCTCGCCGACCCAGTCCACGTCCCCTTTGCGCACGTCGCGCCGTCGCACCTGCGCGACCTCGTCCTGCAGGACGAGCACTCGCCCGCGCGCCGCGCCGCCCTGTGGCACCGCGTCGCGCACGTCGTCGAGGGCAACGCCAACGTGCGCGTGCGCGACGTCGAGATTGGCGGCGAGGAGCTCAGGGGGTGGGAGTGGACGGGCCCGGTCATGGGCAGTGGCGGTGGCGGCGGCGGCGCGGGTGCGGGGGTTGGGGAGGTGGACAGGCCGGCCATGGTTGAGGGCGGACAGAGGGTGCTCGCGAGCTTGCCGTCGTCGCCGGCGCTCGCGAGGGCGTGAGGAGGGGGCGCGGCGAGTCTCTCTCTCTCTCTCGCGCGCGCGGGACGGACACGGGCACGAGCGAGGCGGGACAAAGGGCTTTGTCACAGCTTGATCTTTGCAATGTCACTCTGCGGGTCATTCGTTCGTTCGAAAATACACAGCGCCCATGCTCTCGCTCCTTTGCCCGCCCCGCCCCGCCCGCTCGGCTGCGCTCGCCCCTCGCCCAGCTCGCTCTCAGTGCTTGCGGAACCCGTCGTCGTCGCCGTACGGGTCGCGGTACCGCTGCTGCGAGTCGTCGCCGCCACCGTACAGCGTGTCCTGCGACGCGTTGCCGGGACCCGCCGCCGCGCCCATGCCGTCGTCCGTTCCCGCGCCTCCTCCCGCGTACAGCCTCGGCTGCGAGATGCTCCCTCCACCGCCGCCGTGAGCGCCGTACGTCGGCGGCAAGGCGCCGTCGTCGTCGACGAGGCTCACGGCCGAGCCGAGCATGGGGTCGTACCGCTGCGGCATCTCGAACGCGTCCTCGGTCGCGTTCCACTCGTCGTCGTCGTGGTGGTGGTGGGCGTCGCGCCCTGGGACGGCGCCCCTCGCGTCCGAGTAGACGGCGTCTTGGCGCAGGGCGCGGCGGCGGAGGGTGCGCAGGCGGAGGAAGATGAGGGCGGCGACGACGGCGAGCGCGACAAAGAGGGACGCGACAAAGACGCCGACAAAGCCGCCGTAGGTGCCGGCGACTTTGGGACCGTGGTAGGTCGAGCTCGGCGGGACAGAGTCGAAGGTGCCGGTTGCGCTGCGAGAGGGAGGGAGGGGAGGTGAGCGCGGGGAGGGGAGGGGAGAGGAGGAGGGAGGGGGCGGGGCGTACGGGTTGTGCGAGGTATCGCCTGCTGCAGCTCCACCGCGCTCGACGAGGCTCATGGTCGTGTCGAGTGAGAGCAGCGAGAGGTGGAGCCGAGGAACGAGTCGGCAACTTGTCACCTCTCGCCCTCACCCTCACCTCGCTAGAGAGCTCTGCCGACATCACCAAGCTCAAGCACACACCCACAAGGAGCACCACCGCGAGCCTCGACCCGCTGCATCCCCTCGATCTCGCCCCCTCCTCTCGTCGACCTCATCAGCTCACGTCTCGACCCCATGAAGGTCTGCATCTTTGGCGGCAACGGCTTTGTCGGCTCGGCCGTCGCCCGCAAGGCCGTCGCTCGCGGCTGGCAGGTCGTCAGCGTCAGTCGCTCGGGCACCCCGTTCGCGACCCCCGCCGGCCACACGCCATCCTGGGTCAACGAGGTGCGCCGCCCCTCCTTTCTCTGTCTCTCTCGAGACTCGAACTGAACGCCTCGAGGTGCCGCCCGCAGGTCGAGTGGCGCAAGGGCTCGCCGTTCGATCCCGCGACGTTCGACTCGGTCCTGCCCTCGTGCGACGCCCTCGTGTCGACGCTCGGGACCCTGTTCGAGACGACGTACAAGGACAAGGGCGTCGCCAAGCCCCTGTCGGTCCTCAAGGCGCTCGCCGAGAACCTGACGGGCTCGAGGGGCAACCCGCTCGCGAGGGACGGCAGGGAGCGCAGCTACGAGCGGCTCAACCGCGACTCGGGTGCGTCCCCTCGCTCTCTTCCTCTCCTCTGTCCCTCATCAGTCCTGACGATGTGCCCCTCGACTCCGCAGCTCTCGCACTCTTTGACGCCTTCCACTCGTCCCGCTCCCCCTCCTCGTCCTCCTCCTCCCTCGTCTCGCCCTCACCGTTCGTCTTTATCTCGGCCGAGGACATCTTCCGCCCGTTCGTCCCGGCGCGGTACATTCAGACAAAGCGCCAGGCCGAGGCCGACATCTGGCGACGCGCGACGGCACCAGCCGACGAGCCACCAAGCGTGCGGCCCGTCTTTGTTCGCCCAAGTCCGTCCCGCCTCTCTCTCACTTTCTCTCACTCGCCCCCTTCTCTGTCCTCGTCACGTCGAGCTGATCGAGTCCGTCGCACTGCAGGCCTCATGTACCACCCGCACCTCAACCCACCCTCGACCCTGCCCGCGACCCTCCTCGAAGCGACCTCTCACCTGCACGCGCTCGTCCCGCCCGCGCTGCACCTCCTCCCCTCTGCGCCCCGCCCGCTCCCCAACTCGGCCCCCTCGCTCGCCGACGACCCGGCAACGGCGCTCCCTGGCGCGCTCACAAGCCTCTCGAGCCTGCTCTCGGTCCCGCCCATTCACGTCGACGCCGTCGGCGAGGCCGTATGTCGCGCCATCGCCGACGACGCGACAAGTGGCGTGATCGACGTTGCCGCCATGAGGGACATGCTCGGGTTTGATGCGCTTGGGTGGGGGGGCAAGCAGAGGAGGGCTGGGGGAACGGCGTGAAGGAGGACGGACGCCCGGGGGGTGGGAATGGCACGAGGGTGACAACAGGAAGGATGGCGGGCGCGGGCAACGGAGCGAGAGGGACGAGAGCGAGAGGGACGAGAGCGAGAGGGACTGGACAGAGAGAGAGAGAGAGCGAGAGGGAGGGGGGGGGGCGAAAGAGCTACATCATGAGCGCCTCCTCCGCCTCGCGCATCGCCGCCTCGGCCTCTGCGTCCTCGTCGACCTCCTCCTCGGCGTCAAAGCCCTCCTCCTCGACGAGCCGCACCCGCTCCCTGCTCGCACCTGCCGCGCTCGCTCCGACTCCCGCTCCTGTCGCCGCTCCTGTCCTGCCCGCCGCTGCCGCCGTAGCCGTCGCCTCGGCCTCGAGCTCAGCGAGCAGCGCCTCCTCGTCGGCGAGAAAGTCGTCCTCCTCCTCCTCCCCTCCTCCCTCTCCCGCACCGCCGGAAAAGTCGTCGGCGTCGTCGTCGAACCCGGCAGCGGCGAGCAGGTCCCTGCTGCCCGGCATCGTCGCCGGTGCTGCCCGCCCAGCGCCGGCGCCGGTGCCGGTCGACGGGAGGTCGAGGTCGGCGAACGCGTCGCGCTCGCGCTCGGCGTCGGCGTTGGACCGGCCGTGCTTCTCGTCGTCGCGGTACTCCTTGAGGGCGCGCTGCGGGGCGCGTGTACCACACCGAGTCAGTGCCGGCGTTCGAGTGCCTCGAGAGCGAGAGAGGTAGAGAGGGAGAGAGAGAGAGAGGGTGGGAGAGGGTGGGAGAGGGTGGGAGAGGGCGCGCAGGGCGAGAGACGGACCTGGACGGTGCGCTTGTGGCACAGCTTCTCGATCGTCGTCAAAGTGTCGCGAAAGTTGGTCTTTGGGTACATCTGGTGCGCCCACAGCTGGTACGTGCTCAGGACGCGCTTGAGGTCCTGCAGCTGAGGGTTGTCGGCGCGCAAGGTGTGCTTCAGTGCTTGAGCGAGGAGAGAGAGAGAGGAGGATGGGAGAGGAAAGGGGGGACGCACCTCGTGGCCCTTGCCCTTGATGCGGACCTTTTTGAGGTCGTCGCGCAGCCGCGGGAACCCACTCGGGCCGAGGAGGCGCACCTCGTCCATCTTGGCGACGACGCGGCGCTTCTTTGCCGGCGCGCCCTCGGCGTCGAGCCCGTCGACGTCGACCGCCGTGCCGTCGACGTCGAGCGCGGTGGCGGCGGGCTCGCCCGTGCCCGGGGTGTCGAGGTCGAACAGGTCGTCGAACGCGCGCGAGAGGGCCGGGTCCGACTCGCGGGCGGGTCGTGGTGGGGCGTCGGCCTTTGTGCGCTCCCTGCGGCGCTCGAGGTCCCGGCGCTCCCACTGCTCAAAGTCGACGTCCTGGGTCGAGTCGAGCTCTTGCTCGTCGTTGTCGTCGTCGTCGTTGTTGTTCTGGGCGCCGAGGAAGCGAGGAGTTGGACGCGTCGAGGAGCGGTCGCGGTGCTTGAGGCGGGCGAGGGCGTCGCGGCGCTGCTGCTGCTTGCGGTGCTTGTCCGAGACGTAGGTCGACTCGGTGGGCGCGTCGAGGTCGAGGTCGGAGCTGCTCATGGCGTGGGAGCCAGGTGAGGTGCGGTCGAGGTGCGAGAGGACGAGGAGGAGGAGGAGAGGGGAGATGAGGCAGCGGGGCAGCCGCGGGCTCTCGGCTCTCCCCTCACCGCCACTCTGTGCCCCCAAGCTGGCCATGTCCGACCTCCACAACCTCCTCGAGTCGAACGAGACGCTCAAACCACCCGCTCGCCCGTACGCGCCCATCCGCCGAGTGACGCCCGCCTCGTCGGTCCTCGTCCCCATCTCGCGCGTCGAACTCGCACAGTGCCAGACCACGGTCAACCCGCTCCGCACCAGGCCAAAGCCCGCTCCAGCACCCGGTGCACCCGCCGCGGCTCCCCTCCCTCCTCCACCTTCGTCCCTCCCCGCTCGGCCCGACCTCGCCCTCGCGTACCAGCAGCAGCCGCAGCAGCCGCCAGCACCGTCGCACAAGCGGCCCAACACTCACGGCAACGGCAACGGCTACGGCGACCAGCACGACCTCAAGCGCTGGAAGGGCACCCACGACACGCGCACCGTCGCCGACCACTGTCCGTCCTCCCCCTCTCTCTCCCCTCTCAGCCCGCCCCAGAGTCCTGACCCCGACCCTCTTCCACGCCGACGACGACAGACAACGCACGCCCCAACACGGACCGCATAGCGCGGCGCGACTCGCCCATCATCGGCCTCAAGAACTTCAACAACTGGATCAAGAGCGTCCTCATCGCCAAGTTTGGCCGCCGCGAGGGCGACACGACCCCGCGCATCCGCGTCCTCGACCTCGGGTGCGGCAAGGGCGGCGACTTGCACAAGTGGACTCGCGCCGGCACCGAGGAGTACGTCGGGATCGGTGCGTTCTCGCTCTTCCCTCGCCAGGGTCAGGCGCCGTGGATGGCCCAGCAGGACTGAATCTTGGACACACCCCTCCCGTCGTGCGTACGCAGACATCGCCGCCGTGTCGATCGCCCAGGCGCAGCAGCGGTACGACACGATGCGCGGCCAGCGCTTCCCGGCGCGCTTCTTCACCCTCGACTGCTTCGAGGTGCGCCCCCTCCCTCTCTCTCTCCCTCTCTCTCTCCTCGAACGCCCCGCTAACCTGCGCTCGCACCGCACACCGACAGAACCCGATCGAGGAGGTCCTGCCGCCGCACGCCGTCGCGCGCCCGTTCGACGTCGTGTCGATGCAGTTCTGCATGCACTACGCGTTCGAGACCGAGGCCAAGGTGCGCATGATGCTCGCCAACGTTGCGCGGTACCTCAAGCCCGGCGGCGTCTTTGTCGGCACCATCCCCGACTCGAAGAACCTCTTGTGCGTCCCTGGCGCGCGCGCTCGTTCCCCTTTCCTCTTCCCCTTCTCCGCTCCTCCTCTCTTCCTCGCCGTACTGACTCGCTCTCTTTCCTTTCCCCTCTCCCCGTCTGCCCTCCCGCCGCACGCAGCGAGCACCTGTCGGACCCGCCCGACCCGGTCAACAGCCCGCTCGTGTTTGGCAACGCCGTGTACAGCGTCAAGTTTGACGAGCGCGAGTGGCCCAGCCCGTACGGGCACCGGTACACGTTTTTCCTCCAGGACGCCGTCGAGGAGGTGCCAGAGTACGTCGTGTACTGGGACAACTTTGTCTCGTGAGTCTCTCTGGCGCCGGTTTTTTCTCTCTCTCTCTCTCTCTCTCTCTTGCCCTCCCTTCTACTCTCTCTCCCCCCGTCAGAGGCTCCTGCCCCTCCCTCCTCTCTTCTCTTTTCCTCCCTCTTGCCTCGCCCTCTCTACCGCCCTGCCTCTCCCTTTTCCCTCTCTACCCCTCCCTCTTCCTCCCTCCCTCTTCCTCCCTCTCTCTTCCTCGCCCGCCCTCTCGCCCTCTTTGGGACCCCCCTCTCTTCCTCTCGCTCGACTCACCGCGCTGACTCTCCCCACCACCCCCCTGCCCCGCCCCGCCCCAACGCAAACCGCAGCGTCGCGGCCGAGTACGGCCTCTCGCCCGTCTACTGCGCCGATTTTTCGTCCATCTTTGCCGACGAGCAGGAGGACCCGCACTTTGCGACGCTCCTGCGCAGATGAAGGTCATGGACGACGAGGGCAACGCAGAGATGGACGAGGACCAGCTCGATGCGGCGAGTGCGTCCCCCCCCCCCCCCTTTCTCTCCTTTCCTCCCTCCTCTCGTTCGGGCACAGAGACTGACTCGCGCACCGGTTCGTCGCGCACAGTGCTCTACCTCGGCTTTGCGTTTGTTAAGGGGGACGAACAGGGAGGAGCGGCGACGGCGTCGGTCGAGGAGGTCCCGGGGGCCTGAGCGCGTGCAACTCGCTTGAGATATCTCCCTCTCGGCCTCCTCGTCCGCGGCTCGGTCCTCGAGAGCGGCCCTGCACATGTAGAGAGCCGGACGACGAGCTCTGTCGAGAGTCACTTGAGCGAGAAAAAGCGAAGAGAGAAAGGCCCGGGCTCGAGAGGCGACGCAAAAAAAGAGAGTTGGCGCCGAAGCGTCGCACATGCGTTTTCCCCGACGGGGAATCGAACCCCGCTCGCGGCTGTGAGAGAGCCGAATCATAACCACTAGACCATCGAGGAGTGATGGGAAAGAGAGCGACAAATAGCGTACAGATCACAACTTAAAAGGGCAAAGCGCTCAAGCGGACCCGCTCTCGCTCGCGCCTCTCTCAAGCCGTGCTCTCCTGCGTGCATGCGAAGAGACAGCCACTCGTCGGATTGCTCCCAATCCCAAGTTTGCATTCGCTCGCGCGCTCAGGCCCGCTTGACGAAGCCGCTTGGACCCGTCGCGAGCAGAGTCGGGCCTTCCCAAGCTCCGTTCTCCTCGCGCTCTTTCGGGCGCAGGAACAACCGCGATCTACGTCGAGCAATGACCGCGGCGCATGAGGTTGCGAAGGAGCGCCAAAAGCCAGGACGAGATTCGAGGAGGAAAGTGTCCGACGGCCCCCGAGCCTGCGCACCTCGTCGTCGAAAGTCCGACGGCCGAAGCTCCCCCGTGCAGGTGGGGCGGCGAGTTGCGCACTCTGTTTCTCCTTGCTTGCACGCTCCTCACTCAGCAAGCACGCACGGCTCGCCAAGTCGAGGTCAGCACGCAGACGGTCGAGGAGAAACGGCGCACGGGCCCCAGCTGACGTGGAATCTCCACTCTTGCCAGCTCCGCCGAGTCCTCCTCGCCCCGCACGCCATGTCCCTCCTCGCCGTTCCGTCCCTGCCCCTCGCTCGCCTTTGTCGCCCTCGTCACCGGGGCGTGCCGTCGCCGGCGCCCTCGGCCCTCCTCGTCGCCCCGCTCCACCTCACGCCCTACTTCGGCGTCGCCCTCCCGCCCTCGGCACCCTTCATCGTGCGCCACACCGGTCTGCCTGCGAGCCAAGGGCCAGAGAGCGCGAACCCGGGCCAACGTGCGCACGAGCCTCTCTCGCTTCCGCCTCTCAGCTCCTCTCGATGCCCAAGCCCGTGCAGAATGTCTACGACGTTCGAGAGTTACAGCAGGTGGGGGAGGGGGCAAAGAGGAAAGACCGGAAAGTATGGGAGGGACGAGTGCAGGACAGAGACAAGGGGAGAGAGCACGAGAGGCGGGACGTGGTGGGTGTGCCAAGGGATCGACGACGACGACGACGACGGAGCTCAGTCCGAGATGTTCTGGAACTGCGAGACGATGTCGGCGTGCAGCTCGTTGAGGACCTTGAGGATGGCCTCTGCGGGAGCGCGGGCGGCCAAGAAGTCAGTTTTCGACTCTCGGGGAGAAAGGAAGAGAGAGAGAGAGAGAGGGAGAGCCGCCGACGCACCCTCGCCCGTCGCCGGGTCCTCGAACTTCATCTGCGTGAGGCGGTACCACAGGTCCGAGGTCGACTCGCGCACGCGGCTCCACGTCAGCTCGCCGCCCTCGACCGCCTTGACGGCCGCCTCGAAGTAGGTGACGAGGTTCTTGAGCATGGCCGTCTGCGGGACGGGGCACGCAAGTGACGATGGCGGACGGAGGAGGGCGGCAAGAGAGAGAGAGCGAGGGCAAGAAGGCGAGGAGGGGGGGGGGGGGGGCAAAAGGGAGTCAGTCTCGCGCTCTTGCCCACCCGAGAGAGAGAGAGAGAGAGAGTCGACGCACCGTCTTGTAGAACGGGCAGTAGCGGTCGTACACCGAGATGCCGTTCTGCTGGAGGAAGTCCTCTTTGATCAAGCGCGCGACGTCGAGCGTTACCTTGTCGCCCTCGCCGAGCGACGACTTGCCGACGAGCTGGACAATCTCGGCGAGCTCGTCCTCCTTCTGCAGGATCTGCTTGGCTACGTTGCGGTAGTGCAGGAAGTCGGGCTCGGTCGACTCGTAGTACGGCTGGAGGACGCGCGTGCTGCGGGAGGAAGCGACGCGCGCGAGGTGAGCGTGCGACCACCTGCACGGCGCCTGCACGCCGCACCGGCCGCGACGTGTGCGAGGACGGCACGGCGAGACGAGAAGAGAGAGAGAGAGCGACGCCGACGCACTAGTTCGAGTACGACACGTTCCAGTTGACGGACGGGAAGTGCTTGCGCTGCGCGAGCTTCTTGTCGAGGCCCCAGAAGACCTGGACGATGCCGAGCGTCGCCGTCGTGACGGGGTCGGAAAAGTCGCCGCCGGGCGGGCTCACGGCGCCAATGATGGTCGTCGACCCGGTGCGGTTCGGCGAACCGAGGCAGACGGCCTTGCCCGCGCGCTCGTAAAAGCCGGCGAGCTTTGCGCCGAGGTAGGCCGGGTAGCCCGAGTCGGCGGGCATCTCGGCGAGGCGGCCCGAGATCTCGCGCAGGGCCTCGGCCCAGCGCGACGACGAGTCGGCCATCATGGCGACGTCGCGCCCTTGGTCGCGGAAGTACTCGGACAGGGTGATGCCCGTGTAGATGGACGCCTCGCGCGCGGCGACGGGCATGTTGGACGTGTTGGCAACGAGCGTCGTGCGCTTCATGATGGGCTCCTGGGTCCCGTTGACGTCGATCGACAGCTCGGGGAACTCCATGAGGACCTCGGCCATCTCGTTGCCGCGCTCGCCGCACCCGACGTAGATGATGATGTCCGAGTTGGAAAACTTGGACACGGCCTGCGAGATGACCGTCTTGCCGCACCCGAACGCGCCCGGGATGGCCGTCGTGCCGCCCTGGACGCACGGGAACAGCGAGTCGAGCACGCGCTGGCCCGTCAGGAGCGGCGTGTCGGCCTGGAGCTTGTCGCCCGTCGGTCGCGGCGCGCGGACAGGCCACAGCTGGAACAGCGTGTGCGTCGTCTTCTTGCCCTCGAACTCGGTCTCGAGGACGACGTCCTGCGGGCGCGGGTGCGGGTGCGCAAGGGTCAGTCGGGTGTTACTCGCTGACGGCGGCCGTCGAGGAGCAGAGAGGAGGGAGAGTGTGGACGCACGTCGACGTTGTAGGCGCCCTTCTCGGCAATGTGGGTGACGGTGCCCATAGCGCGCGGGTTGAGCATGATCTTGTGCTCGCTCACGAGCGAGTTCTCGTACACCTTGCCAAAGATGTCGCCGCCCGAGATGTGGTCGCCGACCTTGAAGTTGACGGGCTCAAAGTCCCACTTGATGGTGCGGTCGAGCGCCGACGTGTTGATGCCGCGCGGGATGTAGATCGAGTCGCTCTTCTCGGCGATGGCCTTGAGCGGGCGCTGGATGCCGTCGTAGATGTTGCCCATGAGACCTGCGAGGGGAGGGTCCGAGAAGAGATGTAAGCTCGTGAACTCGTGCTCGGAGAAGAGGGAGGGAGAGCGAGGCGGACGCACCTGGACCCAACTCGACCGACAAGGGCTTGCCCGTCCGCAAGACGGGGTCGCCGATCGTCATGCCCGACGTCTCCTCGTACACCTGGATGGTGGCCTTGTCGCCCTCGATGCGGATGATCTCGCCGACGAGCCTGCAGAGACATGGTCGACGAGGTGAGCCGGGACCGGGGGGAGCGAGAGGGAGGGAAGCGAGAGGGGAGACGCACTCGTCGTGGCCGACGCGCACGAGCTCGTACATGGCGGCACCGGCCATCTTCTCGCTGCAGGGATATCGAGCAAGGTCAGCGCTCGTGTGGACGGGGGAGGCGCTCGGCCTGTGCGGGAGGGAGGGAGGGAGGGAGGGACGCACGCAATGACGACGGGCCCAGAGACGCTGAACACGGAGCCGAACTTGGACTCGCGGTCCTCATCTGTGTGCGTGAGAGGAGCTTGTCAGTGCTGCTCGGGCGGGAGGGGTGAGGGGAGGGTGCGTGTGGTGGGTGGGGTCGAGACGAGGAGGGGGAGATGGGGGAGGGAGCGAGAGCGGTGGGCTCACCCTGGATGCGGATCGTCTTCTTTACGTGATCCATTGCGCCGGCCTGTGGGCGTGCAGGGACCGAGGACCGTCAGTACAGGGGCTCGAGGGCGACGAGAGGGCTCGAGGGAGCGATGACGGACCATGGTGGGCGAGCGGGACGAGGGGGGCGGTAGGGTGAAGGTGAGAGGTGGGCGGGCGGTGCGAGAGGGTGCTCTAGAGCAAGGTAGAGCTGGTCGAGGGTGCGCAGGCTGCGGCGAGGTGGTCGAGCCAGGCGGGAGGAGAGCGAGGCCGGGCTCCACCTCGTCTGCACTTTACCCGCACTTCCAATCGTGAAACCTTAAAAGCTTTAAAAGCCTTATATATTCTTTTTTTTCTTATAAAACTTAAAACCTTAGAGGCTATTTAAGTTGCTGATTAACGACCCACTTGAGAGTGGTAGAAGCGGTCACCTCGAGCGCTCCACCGCCCCAATCTCTCCCCACCTTGAACCTCTCGCTCGAATCGCTCGTCGCCCACGCTGCTCCGCCTCGCCACCCGCACCATGGCGCCCCTCCGCACGCGCACCTCGGCCCACTCTGCCCGCGTCACCCTGTACGAGCCCGCCGCCGCGTCGATCAGCAGCCTCGCCGCCGCCACTGCGCCCGCGTCGACGTCCGCCCCAGCGACCCCCCGCAGGCGCACACGCTCGAGCACTGCAGCGTCGAGCCCGGTCGTCAAGTACGAGCGCGACGATGACGACAACGCGCCTGCCTGGGCCGCCGACGAGGGCGACGACTCGGATGCCGCCGCGTTCGAGGAGCTCAAGCCTGCGCCGACCACGCCCAAGGCCAAGTCGCCCCGCAAGCCCAAGCCGCACGTCACCAAGCTCGCCAACCCGCACCCGGCGCCCAAGAACTGGGAGAGGACGTACGCCGTCATTCGTGAGCAGCGCAAAGGGTGCGTCCGACTGTCGCTCTCTCTCTCCTCTCCTCCTCGAGGGCCGAGATCTCGAGCGGTAGAGCGAGAACTGACCCCCGGTGTTCCTCTGCGCAGGATCGTCGCAGCCGTCGACCTGATGGGCTGCGAGCAGGGCGGGCGCGAGGCGCAGAAGAAGGAGGAGGACGCAGGCGCCGCTCCCGTCGACAGCGACAAGGCCCGGCGGCTCTCGACGCTCGTGTCGCTCATGCTCTCGAGTCAGACCAAGGACCCCGTCACGCACCAGGCGACCGTCAACCTGCGCAACGACCTCCCCGGCGGCCTCACGGTCGACGCGCTCGACAAGGCGTCGGTCGACGACATTGACCGCTGCATCGCCAAGGTCGGGTTCCACAACACCAAGGCGAGGAACCTCAAGCTCCTCGCGACGAGGCTGCGCGAGCTCCACGATGGCGACGTCCCGAGCGACTTGGGTGCGTCGTCCTCGTCCCTCCCTCCCTTCCTTTCCCTCTTGCCCGATCGTGCCTGACCCTCTCTTGCCGCGCAGCTTCGCTCTTGGACATCGTCGGCGTCGGGCCAAAAATGAGCTACCTCTACCTACAGTCCATCGGGCAAAACGTGCGTCCTCGCCTTTCTCCCTCGCTCCTCCCTTCCCTTCCCTCCCGCCCCTCCGTCCCGAGAACGGCGCTCACCAACTCTTCCGCATGCGCACGCGCAGATCGGTATCGGGGTCGACACGCACGTGCACCGCATCACGCACCGCTTGCGGTGGCACAAGAAGGAGCCAAAGACGCCCGAGGAGACCCGGTGCGTCCCTCACTTTCTCTCGCTGTCCCTCTCCCTCCCTCTCTCTCTTTCCCGTTCTCTCGTCGGCCTCGTCCCGATCTCGTGAACTGACACCTTCCCTCGCGCCTGTCCCCCGTCCATCCCTCGTCTCGTCGATCCCTCCCTCGCCCGCGCACTCGCCCCACTCGCCCCTCTCGCGCCCAGACTCAACCTCGAGTCGTGGCTGCCTCAGCACCTATGGCCCTCAGTCAACAAGATGCTCGTTGGCTTTGGCCAGGAGATCTGCAAGCCTGTCGCGCCTCGGTGCGACCTGTGCGACGTCGCGAGGGAGAAACTGTGCCCGTCGAGGCGGGTCGTCGTGCCCAGCCCGAGGAAAAAGGTCAAGGTCGAGCTTGAGATCAAGGACGAGGAGGGGTTGGTCAAGGGCGAGCAGGGCGAAGACGCGGCGAGCGCGCCCCGGCTCGAGGTCAAGCTCGAGGAGGAGACGCAGGGCGTGGTGGCGGTCAAGGCCGAGGGCGATGGGCGGGTTCTTGTCGCGGAGCGCGAGGTCAAGAACGAGGTCGTCGAAGCGGCGACAGTGCCCGGCGGCGAGGCGAGCTAGCTCTCTCTCTCTCCTCTCGTGCAACGAGGCCGCACGTTCCTCCTCTCGCTGTCGGTCGCGGAAAGAGAGAGAGTGCTCAAAGATCTGCTGCGTTGCACTCGAACGACCGTCTCTACCGGACGTACGGGATGCCTGCGAGAAAGAGAGCGAGGATCGTCAGTGAGCTGCACAGGGAGGACCGTGCGAGGACCGTGCGAGGAGAGGAGGAGAGAGGAGGGGACGCACCGTTGGTCATGCGCTGGAACTCGTCGTACACGATGCTGCGCTTGTTCTCGCACGCGTTGTCGATGATGGCCATCATGAACTCGGCCGCCTTTTTCTCGCTCAGGTCGAGGCGGAACCGGAGCTTGAGGCGCTCGAGCGTGCCCTCGCCCTTGAACGACGGGAACTCGGCCGCGAGCATGAGGGCCGCCGTGTCGACGATGCTGTGCGCGTACGGGCGCGCGGCGAGGAACGCCTTGACCGTGAGCTCGCGGAACTGGCGGAACCCGACAGAGTCCTTGCCGCCCATGAGGACGACCATCTCGTGCGACAGCTTGAACGAGTTGGGCTCAAACTTGACGCCGCCGGGCCCAATGTCGAACAGGAACCCAAAGTCGATGTGGGTGATGCACCCTCGGCCGTCGATCATGATGTTGCCGTTGTGCCGGTCCTTGATCTGGACGATGTAGCACAGGAGCGAGTAGGCCGCCATCGACTGGACAAAGTTGCCGCGCGCCTTCTGGAACTCGGGCGAGTCGAGCGGGCCGTACTTCATGACAAAGAACGACTGCAGGTCGTTGATCTTGGCCCGGCCCATCTCGTCGCGCGAGGTCGCGTTCGGGATCACGTCGATCACGCCGCACTGCATGACGGTGGAAGAGTCCGAGTGAGCAGGGTCGTCGCTTGACGTTAAGAGGAAAAGAGAGAGAGAGAGAGAGAGACGCACCCCGGGACCGGTGGCGGTGACTCGGTACGGCGTGACGAGCAGGTCGAGCCCGAGCGAGTTGAAGATGTTCTTGTGCATGGCGATGATCTGGAGCGCGAGCACGTCCTGGCGACAGTCGTCGCCGACTTTGAAGATGGCGCTCTGCCACGTGTCGTACTCCTCGCGGCCGCCCGTCGCCGCGTTGTGCTCGACCTCGACGAGCTCGTCTTGGACCTCGAGGCCGTCGGTGCGCACCTTGTTGCGCTCGCGCCGCACCTTGAACGTCGCCATGAACGGCGCCTGCGCACGAGGACGAGAGTAAGGGACAGGCACTCACGCCAGAGGACGACAGAAGGAGAGAGAGCGGCGCACCTTGGCGTGGCTCTGCAGGGGCCGGCCCGACTTGCGCTTGATGTCGACGACGACGCCGTCCGGGTTACTCGGGAGGTACACGCCCGGGTCGACCTTGATCTTGGCCATCTCCTCGTCAATCTTGGCCTTCTTCTCGGGCTTGGACGCCTTGATGAACGGCTTGAGCTTGCCCGAGATGGACGTGACCTCGTCAAAGAAGCTGAACTCGCGGTTGTAAAAGTCCTGCGCGTCGCCCGACAGCGACTCGACGATCATATCGACTAGGCGGTCGAGCTCTGGCTTCATCGGATCGGGCTGTGGCGCGCGAGGAGAGGGTCAGGATCCGCACGCGGCACAGAGAAAGAGAGAGAGAGAGGCGAGGTTTAGGGACGCACCTCCTCGGCGTCGTCGCCGCGGTACTTGTTGGCCTTCATGTTCCAGATGATCTGGTGGCAGAAGAGCTGCGAGATCTTGGACCTGCGGGCGAGGGCGCGACGAGGTCAGGTCTGACCTTCCCAAGTCGAGTCGAGGGGAGGACATTCGACGCACGTCTCGAAGATGAAGCGCTCGGCGTAACCGAGCTCGTCCGACCGGAGCGCCTGGACGACTTGCGGGACGTAGAAGAAGGTGACCGACACGGGGTGGTGCTCGAGGACGCGCAGGGCAAACTGGAGCAGGATCGGGTCGCCGTGGAACTTGGGGAACAGGAAGCGCAGAGCCGACGGGACGGGCACAGGGGTCCAGTACAGGAGGTGCTGCGACGGGAGAGGACTGGTCAGGCCATGGGCGAGCGAGAGGGGAGGAGGACAAGTGCGACGCACGCGGAGCTTGCTCTTGGCCTCGACCGTCAGGCTGTCGCCAACAAAGTGGGCGAGCGCGTCGGGGCAGTTCTGCACGGCGACAGGATCGGCGCGCACGAGGCGCTCGACCTCCTCGGTGAGCGCCGGGATCTTGAACCGGTCGGGCAGGTACACGACGACGGTCGGCCAGTGCGACCAGGCGAAACGGGCCAGCTTGCGGAGCTCCTGCGGGTGCGAGGTGTCAGCCCCATCCGACAGAGAGAGAGAGAGGCAGATGGGGAGAGAGGCGGGCGCACCTCGGCGGACGGCATGTCGCCCGACGCAGGCGTGCCTCGCTTGGCGTCGCTGAGCGGGTTGAGCCAGAGGCGCAGGCGGTCGGCCTCGTCGTCGAGCAGGACCTTGAGCAGCTCCTGACGCGAGCGGTGGTGGTCTGCTGCGGCGGATCGACCAAGACGACCTGTGGGGAGAGCGAGAGGGTGAGCGCTCGGACCGGCACAAGGCGGTCAAGGAGAGGGAGGGGGACGCACCTGGAAGCGCACGTTGGCCGTCGAGGTTCGAGGCGAAGCTGCGGTAGTACGGCGTGTCGGACGACACGAGGCGGTTGAGCTCCTCGATGGCGTGCAGGTCGGCCTTGAGCTGGATGCGGCTGTTGCCGAAGGACCAGCTGCGAACGGGACGAGCCAGGTCAGGTAGGCTCGCGGCTTCGACGAGGACGAGAGGCAGCGGACGCACGTAGGACGCATGGCGAACCAGCTGAGGGCGGCGTCGTACAGGTGGGCGCGCAGGTTGTGCTCGGCGGCGCTCTCGAGCGAGGTCGCCTGGATGAGGGCAAGGCCGAACGAGATGAGGCGGAACCGGAGCTCGCGCGAGAGCGGGTGACGGCTGTACAGGTACCAAGTCAGTGTCGTCCCAGAGAGAGAGAGAGAGAGAAAGGGCCGGGGCGCACCTCCACGACTTGTGCGCTGCGACGAGCCGGACGAAGAAGAGCAGGCTCGCGTGCACGAGCTCGGCGCTGCGGTACCGGAACGCCTGGAACCGGCTCGACAGGAACTCGAGGAGGGCGAGCATCGGCGAGTACAGGCGGTTGGCCATCAGGTAGTTGCGCGTGAGCTCGTCCTTGTCGGTCGGCGTGTACTGCGTCTCCTGGTTGAGCGGCGTGTCGGTGCTGCGAGGGTCCGGCGTCAGGGCGCGTCTGCAGAGACGGAGAGAGGGAGAGAGGCGAGGTCGGACGCACTCGAGCTTCTTGCAGAACAGGCCCTGCTGCGACTCGATCGTGCCCGCCCACGCCTCGAGCACCTCGGCGACGACGCGCGCCTCGAGCTCGGGTCGGGCGTCGGCGATCCAGGTCCACGTCTCCTGCCCGACAGCGATGCTCGCCTCGGTAAAGAGGCGGACGGGGAGGGCGACGACGAGGTGCAGGATGTCGAAGTTGGGCTGCGCAAGGAGCGTGTCAGGGCGTTGCTCGACCGAGCTGCAGTCGAGCGAGAAGGGAACGCACCTCGCGCGCCTTGACGAGCTGTGCGGCGCCACGGTAGAACAGGTCGCGCAGCTCCGACAGCTTGAGCGGGAGCTTGTGGTCGGCGAGCTGCTCGGACAGGAGCTCGAGCTGGCCAAGGACGTCGTCGGCGGTCGATGCTGCGGGCACGGCCAGTGTCAGCTCGGCTCAGAGAGATCTCGAGGGGAAAGGGAGAGAGGGACGGACCGCCACGCTGCGCCTCGCCGCCAAAGAAGCTCTTGGCCGCGAACGTGCGGGCGAACGCCGTTGCCGCGTCGGCCTTCCAGTCGCCCCACGCGGGAAGTGCAGCTGCGGTCCGGTCGACTGTATCAGTACGCCGGTCGAGGAAGCGGCGAAGAAGGAATGGGGGAAGAGAGAGAGCGAGAGACGCACCGATCCGCTCGCTCGGCGGCGGCGCCTTGACGAGGTCGAGCGCGACGCTCTTGCCCATCTCGTCGTCGTTGAGGACGGCCATCTTGTAGCTGTCGCCGGCGACGTCGATATACTCCTGGAGGAGCCCCTGCATGTCGAGCGGCGAGCGCGCGAGGCCCGTGCGCAGCCACGCGCGCACGTGCGAGTGCAGGTCGCGCAGGATGCGGTTGCGCTGCGGGTAGTCGTCCGTGAGCGAAATGGTGAAGCCGCCGCGGACCGAGTGGAACGAGTAGGCGGGCGTGTACTGCGTGCGGCGCGAGGCGAGGGGGGTCAGGCTGGCTCAACTTGGGAAGGTCAAGAAGGGGAGGGGACGCACCTCGTCGACAAACTCGTCGAGGCAGGCTCGGCGCAGGACCGTCAAGAGCTCGAGCATGACGGTGACGACGCCGAGGTTGCACACGAGGCTCGGGAAGCTCGACAGGAGGTTGTCGAGGTACCGCAGGGCGGTCGCGCGCACGCCCGCCGAGCTGCTGGTCGCGTGGAGGAGCACGGCGCGGACCTGGCTGTACGCGCCCGAGTCCATGGCGTGGCGCGGCGCCTGGCTGCTCAGGCGCGCCGAGAACGTCGACAGGACCTTGTCGCCGACCGACTGGACCGCGTCGGCAAGCGGCGAGTCGCCGCCGCCGAGGGCGGGCACGCCGAGGTACAGGAAGACGGGCGCGAACGCGCCGGACTCGGCGCGGAGCGACTCGAGGCGGAGGATGGCCGTGAGGAAGACGGCCTGCGCGTCGGTGACGGAGCGCGCCGCGCTCGCCTGCGACGGGACGGCGGCCGCGAGCTCTCCGCGCACGGCCTCGACCGATAGGACGTGCCCGGCGCCACCGCCGGGCGACTTGAGGAGCGCGTGGAGCTGCGCCTCGGCCTCGACGAGGTCGGCGCCGATGCCGACGACGAGCGGCGGCGAGCGCTTGGCGACGCCGAGCAGGGCCGAGCGCTGGTACTCCGAGATGGGCGCGCGCGGCGACAGGAAGCCCGACAGGAGGCACGTGTACCAGAAGGTGCGGAACAGGGCGCCGAGGGACGACGAGACGACCGACAGCGGGTCGAACGCGACCTGCTCGAGGTAGTTGTCGAGGACCGTGACGAGCGCGAGGAGGGTCGAGGTGCGCTGCGTGCGGCACACGCGTCTCAATACCCGCCCTATCGCCGAGAGAGAGAGATAGAGAAAGAGCTCGACGCACCTCCTCGCTGAGCTTGCCGTCATTCCTGCCGCCCGACCGCGCGCCCTTGCTCGCGAAGAGCGTGAGCAGCTCGGCGAGGAACGCCTCGCCGAGCTCCTCGTGCTTGGCGGCCGCGATCGACGCGAGCCTGCTGAGCGCCGCAATAGCCTGCGTCGGTGGGTGCAGCGAGGCGTCAGGGGTCGGTCCCTCGAAACGCTGCGACGACGGAGGAGGACGAGGGGAAAGAGCAGACGCACCGCCTGGTAGGCCGGGTCCTCGTTGCCCGACGCGTTGCGCGCCGCAGCCGACACCGAGCGGTCGATCTCGACGAACGCGTCCTTGTCCGAGATGGCGGCGAGCTCGGCGAGCTCGTATAGGGCGGCGCACACGACGGCGGGTCCGCCGTTGGCCGCGTGGTGCTGCAGCGTCGAGACGACGAGGCGCTGGAGCTGCGGGCCGATGAGAGGCCGGGCGTCAGTACACCTGAAGGAAAGAGAGGCAGGGCGAGGACGAAAGAGCGAGAAGGCGGGCGCACCTGAACTTGACCGATCTCCCTCGCGAGGAGCGACACGACGTGCACGACGTTGCTCGCGACCTCCTGCGTCGCACGCTCGTTCCACCCACCCCCCGCAGCACTCACCGCGCTCGCCGCATCGCCCTCGACCTCCTCCCCCTCGCGCTCACCAACCCCGCGCACGTGCCCTCCTCCGCCGCCGCGCTCGAGCGCCGCAAGGTGGTTGAGCAGCGTCTGGACGGCCGATGCGCGCGCCGCCGGGTCGCGTGCGAGGAGGGCGGCGTAGGCGCGGGTGCAGGTCGTGAGCGCGGGCGAGTAGGACGAGGGGTCGTCCGAGGGGCGAAGCGAGGGCGAGAGGAGGAACGAGCGCAGGAGGGTCGTCGCCGGGTGGAGGTGCGAGGGGAAGCTGCGGAGTGCGGGTCAGTTTGACGAGCGAGGGATCGAGGAGGAGAGAGGGAGGGAGGAGGAGAGAGGGAGGGAGGAAGAAGGGAGGGAGGGAGGAAGAAGGGAGGGAGGAACGCGGGAAGGAGGTCAAGGGAAACACGGGCGCACCCGATGACGAGGACCTGCGAAGCCTGAGCGGCTCCCGCCTGGAGCGACTCGTCGACGCCGCCCGACTCGGGATGCAGCAGCGACTCGAGAACGGCGACGAGCTCCGGGTTGAGCTTGCGCGACACGACGGCCGTCGTCGCTGCGAGGCGCTGTGTGGGCCGAACGGGTCAGTCCGTTTGACTCGCGAGAGGGAAGAGGAGGGAGCGAGCGAGGGACGCACGAGGCTGGCGAGGAGGACCTCGGACGCCTGCAGGTCAACGACGCCGTCGTCGTCGCCCTCGTCGTCGTCGTCCTCGACCGCGCGCAGAACCTCGCGGCAGGCAGCGAGCGCGCGCTGCTGCACGCCCTCGGCCGCGATCTGGCTCGCCATGCCCAGCCCAGCGGCGGGCTCCTTGCCCTTGCCCGGGGTGGCGGGGGCCGCGCCTGCGACGGTGAGATGCGCGGTCCAGCGCTCGTGTGGCGTGGTGCACGGCGGCGAGGGCGCGAGGAGCGACGACCAGTAGGCCTGGTGCGCCTCGAGGGCGACGAGGAGCGGCGTCGTCGGCGCGAGGCCACCGCCACCGCCGTCGCGCTCGGTCGTCGACGCCGACTGGTACTGCTCGAGGGTGGCGAGGGCCGCGCGCGCCGAGTCGAGCGGGAACGCCGACGAGGGGCTGTCGAGGTCGGTCGTCGAGAAGGTGCGGAAGATGCTGCGCAGCGCGGCGGGTGACGGGTGCGCCAGCGCGCTCGACGCGGGAGGGTGGTCGGCGGCGGTGAAGACGAACGGGGCCGAGGCGAACGCCCGACGAACGCCGTTGAGCGCCGGCAGGACGTAGGCGATGATGCGGTGCCCTGCGGGTTGAGGAGCGAGTCAGTCGGTGACGGCCACAGCGAGCAGGGGACAGGTGTCGAGCGCACCGGGTGCATCGCGGGTCTGCTTCTCGAGCTCGGCCTGGACGTTGGCGACCGTGTCGAGCACCTTGTCGCGCGCCGAGCTGTCGGCGTTGACGGCGCGCAGGGCGGCGTCGGTGAGGGCGAACGCGAGCTGGTCGGCCGGGGCGAGGTCGTGCGAGGCTGCGTGCGGGCAAGGGCGGTCAGTCGGTGGTGGCGCCGTGGATGGAGGGGATGAGGAGGAAGCGCACTCTGGATGCCGAGAGCGGGCTCGAGGGACCAGCGCGGGACGGCGTCGAGGAGGGCGACGACCTGGTCGAGGTGGGCGCGGTCGTAGTTGGCGACGGCCGTGTACTGGGCGAATGCGACCATGCCCTCGAGCTGGTCGAGCGTCTGTAGGGCGTGCAGGCGGGTCAGTGAAGGGCGCCGCGAAGGTCGCCGAGCGAGGGAAGTGGGGAGGAGGGGAGCGCACGAGAACGTTTCGCTCGCGGTCTTGCGAGTCGCCGTTGCTGAGGCGGGCGGCGATGCCGTTGACGGCATGATTGGTCGCAGGGTTCACGGCGTCGAACGAGGCGGCGAGGAGGGCGACATCGTCGTGGGCCGAGGTGGATGCGAGGTTGGCCGCGAGCGCGCTGAGCAGCTCTTGGTGGAGGTTGCTGCGGGGGCGTGCGCTGTGGTCAGTGGCTGGTCTGCAGTTCTGCACTGCGAGAGACTCACCCGTCGAGCGAGTCCATCGTTTGGCTCGAGGTTGGAAGAGAGAGAGCGAGACGACGGCCCGGCCGGCAACTGTCCCTCTCGCTCTCTCACGCTACACGGCGAGCACAGCTGCACAGCCATGCAAGAGTCGAAGCTCAAGATCACCCCGGCCGACATCCAGTCGGCCCTCCTCGACTCGCTCAACGACGAGGCCGCCTCATCGTCCCCCGACCACCTCGACGACCCAGACAGCTCGACCACGGCACCGCCAGGCGACCACGACCACCCAGCAGACGGCTACACCGACGGCGACCTCCCCGACTTCTCGGACGAGGAACCCGAGCCCGCCGTCGCCCGCGCCCCTCAGCAGCAGCCGTCGACCTCGCGCCTCGTGCCGGGCAAGGGCAAGCCCCGCGGCAAGATCCCGCTCGCCGCCCTCAAGAACCGCATCCAGGTCGGCGGCGCGTCGTCCGCCAAAAAGCAGCCGCCCGCGCCGGCACCCGCACCCGCACCCGCACCCACGTCGACCTCGACCTCGACCTCGACCCCCTCGAGCACCGCCGCCGGCGCCGCGCAGGACAAGGGCAAGGGCAAGGGCAAGGCCGTCAAGTTCTCGGGCAAGCAGCTCGACGACGTCGCGGCGCGCATCGTCAAGGACCACCCAGAGCTCGAGGGCCAGCTCGGGCGCGACGACGTGCAGCACCTCCTCGAGACGCTCCAGATCGACAAGGACGTCATTCGCGGCGACAAGGGCTTCATGGGCAAGGGCGCAAAGGGCATGGGGTGCGTCCGCCCCTCCACCCACCCCTCCCCTTTCCTCTCGATCGGTCCTCACGCTTACTCTCGCGCCCTCTCCCGCCCTCCCTCGCAGCGGCCACAAGTTCTGGCGCACGCAGCCCGTCCCGCAACTCGAGGAGAGTGCGTCCACCCTCCCCCTTTTCCTTTCGTGCCCTCGTCGACCCTCGCTGACCCTCGCCGTCCCCGTCGACCCTGCGCGCGCGTTCGCAGAGCAGGACGAGTTCCGCGAGGGCCCGCTCGAGGCCGACAAGAAGCCCGACGAGGTGCAGCACGAGCCCGTCAAGCTGCACAAGGACTTTAGCTGGGTCACGGTCGACTTGACCGACGAGGCGCAGGTGCGTCGCGCGCTCGAGCCGCCCTTTCTCTCCCTCCCACCCCCTCTCTCCCTCGCGAGTGGAGGAGCCGAGTGTTGATGGTCTCGCCAACGCGCACGCAGAAGAAGGAGGTGTACGACCTGCTCACGCACCACTACGTCGAGGACCTCGACGCCTCGTTCCGGTTCGACTACTCGCCCGAGTTCATCGAGTGGTGCGTCCTCATCCCTGTCACGGTCCTTGATCGAAACTGAGTCCTTCTCACGCATGTTCGCAGGGCCCTCAAGCCGCCTGGGTACGTCCCCGACTGGCACGTCGGCATCCGCGTCGCCGAGACGGGCAAGCTCGTCGGCTTCATCTCGGGCGTCCCCATGGACCTGCGCATCCGCAACGCGTGCGTCCCCCGTCTCGCTCTCGCGCCACGTCGCCTGGCCGTCTGCGCACGCCGAGACTGACGTTCCCACCCTGGCCCGCCGAGCAGGACCAAGCGCGTCACCGAGATCAACTTCCTGTGCGTGCACAAGAAGCTGCGCGCCAAGCGACTCGCGCCCATCCTCATCCAGGAGGTGACGCGCCGCACGCACCTCAAGGGCATCTTCCAGGCCATCTACACGTCGGGCACGTTCCTCCCGACCCCCTTTTCGCGGTGCCAGTACTACCACCGCAACCTCAACCCGGCAAAGCTCGTCAAGCTCGGCTTCTCGGCCGTCGCGCGCAACTCGACCGTCGCGCGCATGGTCAACCACTACCGCGTCCCGGGCGAGACGACGATCCCGGGCTTGCGCGAGCTCGAGAAGCGCGACCTCAAGCAGGCGAGCCGGCTCATGAGGGCCTACTCGGCCCGGTTCGACGTCGCGCCCATGCTCAGCAACAAGGACGTCGAGCACGCCATGTGGGACGGCCGCGGCAAGGAGGTCAACGGCAAGCGCGAGGGACAGGTCACGTGGAGCTACGTCGTCGAGGTGCGTCCCCTCTCTCTCCTCCCTGCGTGCGCGCCCAACCCTGACCCGCATCCGTCGCCCCCCCTCGCTCGCAGGACCCCGAGACGCACCGCATCACAGACGTCTTTAGCTTCTACCACCTGCCCTCCACGGCGATCCAGGCGAGCCCGCCCGCGCGCGTCGAGGCGGCGTACCTCTACTTTTACGCGACGACCGCCGCGCCGTCGTGCGCCGACCTCGGCGACGGGAGCGTCGCCGTCCCCGTGCGCAACTGGAAGGACGAGACCGAGGACGAGAGGAAGGTGCTCGGGGACCGGCTCAAGGCGCTCATGGGTGACGCGCTCACGCTCGTCTCGAGGGTGCGTCTCGCTGCTCTCTTTCTCTCTGGCCCGCCAGACTTGGGCCTCGGCGTCGCTCACGTCTCGCCCCCGTCCCGCAGGCCGGCTTCGACGTCCTCAACACGCTCACGATCCAGGACAACTCGCTCTTCCTCGAGGACCTCAAGGTGCGTCCCGCCCCCCTTCCTCTCTCCCTTCTGCCGGACCTCGCACTGACATCACATGGCCGTCCTCGCAGTTCGGCAAGGGAGAGTGCGTCACCATGTCCTGCCTGCCCTCGTCGCCCCCGCACGCCTCGCTGACCCCCCTTTCGTCCTTGCTGCAGCGGGTTCCTCCACTTCTACCTCTAGTGCGCCTCGCCTTCCTCTACCTCTCTCGGCCCCTATGTGCGCCCCGTTCCTGACCACGTGTTGCCCGCCTGCAGCAACTACGCTACCAAGCCTGTCCTTGGCGGAATCGACCCGAGCGACGGCGGGTCCGGCGTCGGCGTCATCATGCTCTGTGCGTCCCTCTTTCCCCTCTCGCGGTCGTCCTCTCGGACTCGATCTGATTGTCGGCCCTTCGCGCGCAGGATGAGTGCGGCGATACTCGGCCGCAGGCACGGCGGAACTTGTGGAGGTAGCGCAAAGGAGCTGGAGTGGGAGCGGAGCGCAACGCAGTTATTTTCTTTCTCGCTCTCGTCCGTGGGCGTTGAGCAACGTACAGAGCGGCTCGCACTCGCAAGAGAGAGAGACAGAGAGCGTAATGTCGTCGTCGCTGTTCGTCCGATCATTCTTGCCGAGCTGCCGCGTCTTCGTTTCGACAACCACCTCACCCTCGCCCAGCCGACGCGAGAGCGCCGCAGCAGCCTGCACAGAGCTACACGGCTACGACCAGCCTGCACCGACGCCGCACGACGCCATCCTCCCCCATCCGCACCCGCGCCTCCTCATCAGCGACGTTCCGTCGACGTCCTTCTCCCGACTCGACACCACCGCCTGAGCACGATCCCACACCACCATGGCGAGGTCCGTCCCGGACTCTCAGTCGCACCCTCTCCCGCGCCCTGCGCTCACCGGCTCTGCTCCCCCTCGCCCGCAGCCTCAAGCTGGCGTCGCTCCTCCTGCGCACGCTCTCGAAACCGATCGCGACAAAGCTCAAGCAGCAGGCCAAGGAGCACGACGGCTTCAAGAGCCGCACGGTCGCCATGGCCCAGTTCATGCACCGCGCAGAGTGCGTCCTCCTCTTCCTTCCTCCTGTCGTGGCGCACGGAACGAGGCGGTGCTGCCCATCTTCCTCCCTGCCGGCTCGACAGGATGAACGTGAGCAGCCTTTCTTTCTGCGGTACGAGCCTCTGGCGGTGGACCGCGAGCTGACTCGGACCACCGCCCGCAGCTCCGCGTCAAGCTCCTCGGCGAGTCGCCGCGGCATGTTCGCCCGCTGAGCGAGACCAAGGCCATCGAGCAGGGCGCCAATTTTCTCAGCGAGGGCGTGAGTCCATTCTCTCTTTCCTGAGTCGGGCCTGCGTGAGCTGGAGCCCCCGAGCTGACCCTGTGCCGGTCCTGCTCTGCAGTTCCTCTTCTCGGTCGCCGCCGCCATCAGTGCGTCCCGAGCCTCTCTCCCTCCCTCTCTCGCCACCGCCCCACGGACTGACCCGGACCTTCGACGCACACAGTCATCGGCGAGACGTGGCGAGGCAAGCGCGCCGAGAACAAGCGGCGCGACAAGGTGGCGGACGCGCTCGAGGCGCACGAGGCGCAGCTCGAGGCGCTCGAGCTGAGGCTCGTCGAGGAGCAGAAGGAGCGCGAGGAGGTCGTCAAGCGCGAGCGGGAACTGGGCAAGGTCGTCGAGGAGGTGCGTCCACTCTCTTCTTCCTCTTTCTGCGGCGCCGGACTCGCGAACTGACTTGCCTTCTCGCCGCGCCGCAGATCGTCCTCATTGGCCTGCACGGCGGCTTTGGCGAGTTGCCCGACGAGTGGAAGCGGCACCTGGCGGCGGGCGAGCTCGCGCGGCGGTTCGGCACGTCCGAGCGGGTCCTGCGAGAAGACGATGCCGACGACGATGACGAGGCGGGCGGCAGCACGGCGCTCTCGGCGCGGGACGAGGACGAGTGCCCTGCGGTCGACGCCGAGCGATTACCCAAGGCGCTCGAGAGGGCGTCGTCGCTGCTGAGCGCGTCGGCGGCGGCGGACGAGGAGGACCCGGCGGCGGGGCGAGGAGGCGAGCCGAGCGCGAGCACCTCTCTTGCATAGACTCTCGGGCCGTAGCTGCTAGACATGCGTGTGCGATTGGAAGACAGTAACAAGATTTGCGTCTAGAGAGAGAGAACGACCTCCCCTTTTCCCACTTTCGCGCGCTCCTCCTCCTCGCGCCGTCGACAGGGTTCCGCTCCGGCGACCTCGTAGCTTGAGCCCACCACGGAAGCCTCCTCGACGGCGGCTCGGCGACGCGCTCACTCCTGCTTGAGCTTGGTCGGCGGCGAGATGACCGTGTTGGTGATGACCTTCAAAACCTCGTCAATGATGATGACGGGGAACGAGATCAAGACGACGGCCTTCCACTCGGCGACGTTGAGGGGCATGACCTGGAACAGGGTCTGGAGGAAGGGGACGTAGAGGATGGCAAAGTGGAGGACCATGGAGAGGGCGATGGCGCCGCAAAGGTACAGGTTGCTCCACGGCGGGAGCGTCAACAGCGACTCGTTCTCGGCGAGCGAGTTGAGGGCCTGCGCAGAGAGTCGAGTGTCAGGCGAGGGCCGCACAGAGAAGAGAGGACGGACGAGGGCGAAGGACGCACGTTGAACATCTCGATGACGACGAGGATCGAGAGCGAGATGGTCGTGGCGCGCTTGGCCATCTCGTTGGTGAACATGCTGCAGCCGATCGACGGGAACGACTCGGCGCACGAGTGGAAGTGCGTCTGAGGGGGCGGGCGCGTGGGTCAGTGGCGGGGCTCGAGGTGGAGGACGGGGCTCGACCGCCAGCAACAGGGACGCACGAGCTGGTACCACGAGATTTGCGGGCCGCCCTCGTAGAACATGAACCACCAGGCGTCTGTAGAGGAAAGAGGGGAGGGTCAGTCAAGGTCTCGGGCCTCGAGAGGGCGGCGAGGTCGTCCTCGGCGCTCCCCAGGGTCGGTGGCGCGTCTCGAGAGATAGGGAGAGAGGACGCACAGCCAAAGACGGTCGCTGCTCCGACGTAGGTGCCGATGATCAAGTACCGGACGAAGAGCCACCCGCTGATGAGGGGCTCCTTGGACGACCGAGGCGGACGGCGCATGATCTGGTGGTCCGGCGGGTTGAAGCCGAGCGCCGTAGCCGGCAAGCCGTCCGTGATCAGGTTGGTCCACAGGAGCTGGATCGACAGGAGCGCCTCGGGCATGCCGAGGAGGACGGTGAGGAAGATGCTGGAGGAGGAAGAGGGGAAAGGGTCAGGATCTCGTGCGCATGAACGTCGTCGACGACGGGCGAGTTGACGTCGGCGGACTCACGAGACGACCTCGCCAATGTTGCTGTCGCAGGGAGAGAAGAGTCAGTCTTGGTCGCGCTGCGCTCGACACGGCCGCCGAGAAGGGGAAGGGACGCGAGGCAGGGCGAGAGGGCGAGGACGACGAGAAGGTCCGGCTCACCTGGAGATGAGGTAGCGGATGAACTGCTTCGTGTTCTCGTAGATGGCGCGGCCCTCCTCGATGGCCATCTCGATCGTCGCAAAGTTGTCGTCGGCGAGGACGAGGTCCGAGGACAGCTTGGCGATGTCGGTGCCGCTGCCCATGGCGATGCCGATGTCGGCGCGGCGGATCGCGCTCGCGTCGTTGACGCCGTCGCCCGACATGGCGCACACGAGGCCCTGCGACTGGAGGAGCTCGACAATCTTGAGCTTGTGGCCCGGCTCGGTGCGGCTGAACAGGCTCGCGTCGAGGACGGCCTTGACCTTGCCCTGCTCGTCGAGCGCGTCAAACTCGCGGCCGGTGAAGCTCTTGCCCGCGAGGTCCTCCTGCTTGCCAAAGACGCCAATGTCGCGCGCGATCGTCTCGGCCGTCGACTTGTTGTCGCCCGTGATGACGATGACGCGCACGCCGGCCGTCTTGCACTTGGCGATGGCGCCGCGCACCTCGGGCCGCGGCGGGTCGAGCATGCCGACGAGGCCGGCAAAGACCATGCGCTGCTCGAACCCGACGTACTTGGTCGGCGAGTCGACCTTGTAGTGCGCCGCGTCCGAGTCGACGTCGTCGACGTAGGCGAGCGCGAGCGCGCGCAGGCCTCGCGAGCCGTACGCGAGGATGGCGCGGTCGAGGTCGGCGCGCAGGGCGGCCGTCAACGGCTCACGGCCGGACGACGTCTGGATGAACTCGCACCGGTCGAGGACCGACTCGGGCGCGCCCTTGACGTACAGCGCCGCCGTCGTCGCCTCCTTCTCGCGCACGAGGACCGACATCGACTTGCGGTCGCGCGAAAACTCGAACGTGAGCAGGCGCGAGAAGCGCGCCTCGATCTCCGAGTTGACGGCGCCGACGCGGGCGGCGGGCGCGAGCGACGCGAGCTGGTTGGCGGCGTCGGTCAAGCCAATCTTCTCGGCGAGCGTGCGCAGGGCGCCCTCGGTCGGCTCGCCGACGCACGCGTACGAGCCGTTGTCGTCCGAGTATGCGATCTTGGCGTCGTTGCACAGCGAGGCGATCTGGGCGAGGCGCTTGAAAGCCGGGCGCGAGAACGTCTGCGCGTCGACGACCTTGCCGTTCGACAGGACGTTGCCGGTCGGCGCGTAGGTGGTGCCCTCGACCTGGAACTCCTCGACCGTGCCGTTCTCGACGATGGCGAACTGCGGGCGTGCGAGCGAGTCAGTCAAGACGTCCTGAGGAAGTGGGAAGGAGAAGGACCCCGATGCGAGGCCAATTCGCTTGCGAGGTCGAGGAAGGGAGAAAGGGGGGACGCACGTTCGAGACGCTCATCTGGTTCGTCGTCAGGGTGCCCGTCTTGTCCGAGCAGATGACGTTGGTGGCGCCGAGCGTCTCGACACTCGGGAGTGAGCGCACGATGGCGTTCTTGCGGGCCATGCGCGACGCGCCGAGCGACAGGCAGGTCGTGATGACGGCGGGCAGGCCCTCGGGGATGGCGGCGACGGCGAGCGAGACGGCAATCTTGAAGTAGAAGATCGAGCCCTTGAGCACCGAGCCGTGCGAGGGGTCGAAGAAGTTGCGCCAGTTGATAAGCCACACGAGGATGCAGATGACGGCGATGACTTTCGCGAGCTGGTCACTGAACTCGTCGACCTTGACCTTGAGCGGCGTCTTCTGGCCGATCTGGGACGTGATGGACGAGTGGATGTCGCCGATGGCCGTCTCGACGCCCGTCGCGACGACGAGCGCGAGGCACTTGCCCGAGACGACGGTCGTGCCCGAGAAGAGGAGGTTGGTCATGTCCTGCTTGACAGCGTGCTCGTCGGCGACGACGTCGGTCGACTTGCTGACGCTCTGGCTCTCGCCCGTGAGGAGCGCCTGGTCGACCGTGAAGCTCGCCGAGCTGATGCTGAGCACGCGCGCGTCGGCCGGCACCTTGTCGCCGACCGCGAGCGAGATGAGGTCGCCCGGGACGAGCTCGACGGCGTGCACCTTGGCGGTGCGGCCGTCGCGAATGACCTTGGCCTCGTCGGGCGAGTACTCCATGAGGGCCTGTCGCGGGGCGGCAGGGAGGAGGGTGAGCTGACGCGGATGTGTGAGAGGGGGAGGACGACGAGGACGCACCTCGATGGCTTTCTCGGCGCTCGTCTCTTGCGCGACGCCGACCCATGCGTTGGCGACGAGGATGGCGAGGATGACGACGGGCTCGACGTAGGCGGTCGCCTTGTCGTCGCCCTCCTCGAAGAACGCGAGGACGAGCGAGACGCCGGCGGACGCGAGGAGGATGAGGACGAGCTGATCCTTGAACTGCTCGAGGATGAGCTTCCACAGCGGGGCCGAGTCCTCCTGCGGCAGGACTGGAGGCGCGAGTTTTGATCGAGTTCCCGAAGGACGGAACGAGGCGAAGCGGACGAGGGAAGAGATGAGCGAGGTGAGCGCGCGCTCCTGTAAGGAGAGGGTGAACCGAGTCGGACGCACCGTTCTTGCCGAACTTGCGCTGGTTGTCGTCGACCTGCTTCGAGGTGAGGCCGCGCTCGGGTTCGACGTGGAACTCGCGCAGGAGCTCGTCGGCCGTCTTGGTGTGAGCGAGCTTTGTGGCCATGGTGGTGGAAGGCTCGAGGGTGTCGAGAGGTGGTCGACTGGGCCGTGCAAGCTGGACCTTGCTCTGCTTGGGTGGAGGAAGCGAGAGTGGACGGCGTGACGAAGCGCGAGCTGGAGGAGGCGGCGGAGGCGCCAGGCGGAAGCGAGGCAAGGCCGAGCCTCCCCTCGACCGGGACAAGCAGCAGCTTCTCGTCCCGACGCGACAGAGACGCGTCGACCCTCTCAAGCCCTCACCACCTCTCGGAGCGACCCGGCATGGGCGAGCTCGTGCCCGACACTCCTCGCGGCACCGCAGAGCCGCACGCCCACCCGCCCGGCGACGCACCGCCCGCGACCCAGTTCCTCGACTCGCACGGCCAGTCGTACCTCCTCGACAACCTCGCAGGCGACTCGAGCAGGCGCACGTCGTCTCAGCTCCCTGCGACGCTCCCTGACCGACCCGACCTGAGCGCCGGCAGGCCGCACATCGAGCGCAACGACGACGACGACGACGTCGACCAACTCGACGAGGACTCGGTGCCCGACTCGCAGCAGCAGCAGCAGCGGCTCCCGCCAGACGACGAGGCCAACACGCTTCAGGACTCGCTGCCCCTCGCGACGCCCGCCGGCGGCCCTCCTCCTCTTCCGCTCCTCCGCTCCCAGTCGGCCCTCGTCCTCGGACCTGACGACCCCTCGGGCTACTCGGACCACGAGCCCGGCGTCGGCGACCTCGGCGAGACGCAGGCCGCGCACAGCCTCGACGACGACGACAGCTGGGCGTCGCGCGGCGACAAGAGCCGCAGGCGGTCGGTTGGCGGGCGCGGGTCGGGCCGGGCGAGCGTGAGCGTGAGCGGGCGCGAGCTCGACGACGAGCTCGACGGCGAGGACGACGTCTCGATGGACCTGACGAGGGCCAATGGTCGAGTTCTCCCGAGCCACGAGGACAGCGGCGGGCACGAGGCGCCTCGCGCTTCCGACTCGCAGAAGGAGAACCCGTCGCCATCGCTCCCGTCGGCGCGCTCGCAGGGCTACCCGCCCTTCAGCCTGTCGGTCCAGAGCAACGTCGACGACGCGAGCGGCGCCCCGTCGTCGTCGCCCGCTGTCGCCCTGCACCTCCTCGCCTCCCGACGCCCGGCGACGAGGAAGGCCTCGCCTGGGACGGGCGGCCTCGACAAGCCGCAGGCGAGCGCCGACAAGGCGGGAGGCGCGCCGTCCTCGTCGAGTGGCCGTCGAGCGCTGTCGTCGAGCTCGAATGCGTGGGATCCGTCGACGAGCATGAGCGGGCCCGAGGTGCGCTTCACCTTCTCCCTTCTGTCTGCCCTCCCACATGGGACGCCCGACTGACACCTGCGACACCCAGACCTCGACGCCCGCCTTCGCCAACGTCCCTCCTGCTCCTCCCGTCACCGCAACCCGCACCCTCCCGACACTCACCCTCGCCGACCCCGACCCGCTCGACCCACCCCTCGCGCGCTCGAGCACTCTCCCCCTCGCTCCACCGCGCCGCGCTCCGACCGCCGCCGCCGTCGTCAACTCGGACCTGCTCGCCTCGTCGGCGGCCATGAAGGCCGTCGTGCCCGGGAAGAAGAAGCGCCGCGCCGAGGCGTGGGACGGCATCTCGCAGTCGGACGAGTCGGTGCGCGCGAGCGAGTCGCTCGCGACGTCGGCGCCCGACCACGACGTCGATGCCAACGCCGAGAGCGCGACGCTTCCGCCGACGCTCGTGCACGACGCGGGCGAGCCGGGCGCCGGCGCGAGCGGGACAGGGCGCGAGGCGCGGGAGGAAAAGGAGGGCGAGCCGGTCGAGGACGAGACGCCGCTCGACGCGACGATCCGTCACGACGAGGGCGCCGGCGACGAATCGGTGGGCAGCTCGTTGCCGGCGACGGCGGCGGCGACGGGACCGGTCGCCGAGGACGAGGCCGACGAGTCGTCGCTCGAGCCGCTTCCTCGCCGCAACCCCAACCTCCCGCCGCTCTTCTACGACGGCCCGACCGCGACCGCCTCGTCCTCGGGCTCGTCGCCCGGCTCGCGCAGCCCCGTCAAGGCCGACGCCGCCACGGCCTCGAAGGGCAAGAACCGCCTGTCCGACATCTCGGAGCTCAAGAGCTCGCTCGAGCCGCCGTCGCAGGCGATCGAGGTGCCCGCGACGCAGACGCAGTACGACGTGCTCCAGCCGGCGAGCGCCACGACGCAGGACGTCGAGGTCGACAGTGCGTCCCCGCTTTCCCTCGCTCTCGGACCCCGCGCCCGACCCTGGACACTGACACCTCCTCGAGCGCCCGCAGAGAGCTGGCACGCCTCGTTCCAGCACGACACGTCGACCGACAGCGCCGCGACGCACCGCCAGTCCGCGCCCGCACCCCTTACGCGCGCCCTCAAGCGCGTCGCTCCTCCCCCGACCCCTGTCGCCGACCACGCCGCGGCCTCGTCCTCCGCCTCCACTTCTCGCCCTCGCTCGCGCCTTCCCTCGCTGCACGACGACGGCGCCGACCTGTCGACCCTCCCGCAGGCGACGCAGCACCTCCCCGTCCCCGAGTCGTCCCCCGAGGTCCCGCTCCAGCAAGCCGCGTCCGCGCGCGCACGCTCGCCGGCCTCGCGCCGCACGCCGTACGCCGGCCCGAGCAGCAGGGGCGTCGTCGTGCCGGACAGCGACGGCCCGACGCAGGAGGAGCAGCAGTTCGTCGCCGAGTCGGTTCGCGCCGTCGCCGCCGCCAAGGGCAAGGCCAGCCGCGATGCGGGTCGGGCTGCGGCGCCAGCGCGAGCACACGCCGCCGCGATGGACGTCGACGAACCGATCCTCGAGCAGGACTTTGGCGGCGGGTTCGACGGCGGGGAGGAGGACGAGGAGATGCGCGACGAGGGCACGCTGCTCGAGGAGGCGCGCGAGGAGGAGGAGCAGCCTGCGCCCGTCTCGGCGACCAAGGGTAAGGGCAAGGCTAAGGCTAAGGCCAAGCCTAAGCCCAAGCCCGTCGAGCGCGCCGTCGTCGAGGCGCCCGAGCCGGTCAAGAAGGTCAAGAAGGTCGTCGCGCCGCCGCCGTTCAAGGGCAAGAGCAAGGACAAGGGCAAGGGCAAGGCCAGCTCTCGCGCCTCTACTTCCTCTCGTCGTCGTGCTCGCGACGACGACGACGACGACAACGACGAGGCGAGCGATGCGCAGCAAGAGTCGGACGACGCGCTTGACCTGTTCCACGAGACCAACTACTCGGCGCCGCCCGCGCTCAAGAACAGCAAGGCCCGTTCCGCACGCGCCTCGGCCCGCGCTCCTGTCGTCAAGAAGGACAAGGGCAAACGTCGGGCGAGCGCGACGCCGCCGCCGCCACTCGACGAGGACGAGGACGACGCTCCTTCGCCGCGCAAGAAGCGCAAGGTCGCCGCCACGCCCGTCGTTGAGATCCCGGTCTCGTCGCCGGTGCGCAAGCCGTCGTCGTCGAGGGCCACGTCGGCGACCAAGAAGCGCGTCGTCGCACCGTCGTCGGCCGTCGTCAAGAAGGGCGGTCGTCGCTCGAGCGCGAGCGCTGCGTCGACGAGGGCCGCCTCGCCCGAGCCGCCCGCCGCAGGTCCTTCTCGCTCTCGCCTCCGTTCCGCCAGCCGTAGCGAGCCCGCTCGCACGCCCTCGCCCGCCCTCACGACCGACTCGAAGCCGTCGATCAAGTCGCGCCTGCTCCCGTCTGCGCCCTTCACGCGTGTCCTCGCCTTTTGGCGCGACGGCGACACGGGCTACTACCCGGGCACGATCGTCGCGCTCGTCGGCGGCAAGTTTGACGTCCTGTTCGACGACGGCTCGCGCGGCAAGATCCTGCCCGACGAGATCCGCCGGTGCGAGCTCGTCGCGGACGACCGCTGCACGTCGTGGGACCACGAGCCCGACACCGAGACGCAGCGTGGCTCGTTCGACCGCGAGCTCGTCGTCACGGCCGTCGAGCGCGAGGCGCCGGCCGACGAGGATGACGAGGCGGCCGCCAAGCCGGGCCAGGGCCTGAGCGCCGACGACGTCCTCGTCGTGCGCGCCGGCACCCGGTCGCTGCGCATCCCCGTCTCGGCGATCCGCATCAGCCCGCGCAACGCGCTGCAGCTCGACGACCGGCGCCTGACGGACGACGAGCTCGCCCTGTTCGAGGGCAAGGAGCGCCCGCGCCGCACGACGCTGCAGCGGCTCGACCTGCTCAAGGCGCCCAAGGCGCCCGCCGTCGACGAGATGCGCAAGGTGACGGGCGCAGAGCGCGACCGCCTGTTTGGGCGCACTGCGTTCATCGTCACGACGAGCACGGCGGGCAGCATCGCCGTCGGCTCGGCGTCGTCCTCGTCATCTTCGGCGGCGGCGGCGGCGGCGGCGACGCGCAAGCAGCTCGCGGCGCCCGTGTTTGACCGCGGCGCGTTTATAAAACTTAAAACCTTAGAGGCTATTTAAGTTGCTGATTTATATTAATTTTATTGTTCAAACATGAGAGCTTAGTACGTGACTCGTCGCCAGAGCTCGAGTTCCGCAAGGCCGACTTTCGCCACGTCGAGGACATCTTCCTGTTGACGAACCGCGCGTGTCAGACGAGCAAGTACCTCGTGTCGCTCGCGCTCGGCGTCCCGTGCCTGTCGCTCGAGTTTGCCGTGCACTCGACGGCCGCCGTGCGTCCCCCTCTCTCTCTCTCGCATCCTCTTCCCTCTCGAGCGCAACACTGACTCGCTCGCCTCGAACACACAGGGAGTCCTCCTCGACTGGCGCCCGTACCTCCTCACGGCCGGGTACCTGCACGACCTCGGCACCTACGGCCTCGGGTCGCAGCTGCGCGCGCTCTCCAAGACCGAGTACGGCCTCGAGTCACTCGCGGCCGTGCACGCCAAAGGCGGCGTCTTCAAGGGCAAGAGCTTTGTCGTCGTCATGCGCAAGGGCGACCGGGCCAAAGCCGACGTGCGTCGCCTTGCTCTCCCTCTCCCTCTCCCTCGTCGATTCGCCCCGTCCCTGACCCACCCTTGTTCTCTCGCCCGCCCCGCCGCCGCAGACCCTGTCAGAGCGCTCCTACGCCGTCTTGTCCCTCCTCGCGTGCGCCTCGGCGCGCCTCGTCCACTTTGTCGCCACGGTCGACGACGCGCGCGCCGCCACGGGCTACGACTACGTCTTCCTCGAGGACGACTCGGCCGTCGTCGGCGCCGGCGGCAACGGCGGCGGCAAGGGAGGGTCGTCGTCAGCGTCGGCGGCGGCGGCGTCGTCGGCGTCAGCGCTCAGGCACCACAAGGGCCTCGTCAACATGGTGTGGCTCAAGCAGTGCCTCATGGCGGGCAGGCTGCTGCCGGCTGAGCGCATGCGGCAGGTCGACGAGTGACCATGCGCGGCGGGGCGCGAGACGGGCCTTGACGAGGAGCGTGCGAGGGTCGTCGGCGGCGTTGTACACTTTCCTGCCCTCGTTGTTGTTCGCTTTTGCAGTCCCTCTCTCTGTGCAACTCGCTCGCTTTCAGGATCTCTCACAGGTCGGTTTCGTACTCGCGCGGGCCGGACGAGAGACAGAGAAGGAGAGGGGAACGTGTTCCAGGGCGACGCGACTCGTCGTCGTCGTCGTTGCGCTCTCGTGCTCGACGGCAAAAGAGAGGCAAAGACAGAAGGAGAGAGTGTGCGGCGAAATTGACAGGCGGGCACTCGATGCGCTCCGTTCTGACGGGAGGTCGCCCGAGGGGCGGGCGCGAGACCAGCCTTCTAATTGATCGTCGCGGTTCCACAGAGGGAGGTACTCTAGCTTCTCGGAATCCCGACCTGCCCTGGGGTGGCGGCGAGGTCGGACTGTCTAAGGTATCGAGAGCGGGGGAGGGAGGGAGGGGGGACGAGGGAGGTTGGGAAGGTTAGTGAGGCGACGCTGCGCTCGACGGCGCGCTCCGTGCCGGGGCGGGGCCGTGTTGGCTGACTGGGCGATGCGGCGAGGCGGTCGGCGGAGCGCAGGCGGGCGCACGAGGGCGAGAAGCAGAGGCACAGCCGGGTACAGGTGCCGCGAGGCCGCGAGCGCGGGCGAGGCTGGGGCGCACGACGAGGCCGTCGTGTCGAGGCGACCGCAGGGGTGCCCGCTCTCGACAGGAGCGACGTCGAAGGCGGAGCCGGGGCAGGTCGAGTCGCGGCGGCCGAGTCGTCCGAGCTCGCCCGCGACCACACGGTCCAGCGCGAAGCACGCGCAAGAAAAGCTGCGTGGATGGGGAGGGACAAGGGAGGGAAAGGGTCAGCGAGCCTGCATGGCGGCGCACACGCGCTGAGAAGGAGAGAGAAGAGGGCGCACCTAAAACAGCTTGCCCGCCCGAGACTGGCGAAGGCGGACGACGATCCCTCGCGTCCACGAGGGGGAGCAGCAGGTGGGTGCGTGTCGTGGCAGGCGAGGTGCGGGGGAGCTGGTGGTGTGCGCAGTCTGTGGAGCTAACCCTGAGCGGGGCGAGGTGGTTGCGGCAGAGTTGCGAGTGAGAGAGGAAGGAGGAGAGCGACGAGCGAGCGCGAGGAGACCCACGCCTCGCATACAGCAGCACCTCTCGGTCCCACGCACAGGCTACTCGACTGCCTGCTGTGCAGTCCACTGCTTGGACGCACCTGCGCACCCACCCACCACCGCCCCAGCAGCGAGCAGCGCCGCGCGACCCGACTCGCCTCGCTTCGCTTCGCCGACCGACCGACCGCCCGCCCGACCACCTCGCAATCCAGCTCTGCAGGCCATCGAGACGAGCACAGTGCGTCCACCAGTCCTCCTGTAGTCGATAGGCGTGCGTGCCCTGGCGCCCGAGGCCCGCCGTGCTGACCGGACCTCTCCCTTTCCTTCATCGGTGCAGTCCGACTCGCCCTCCTCGCGCCCTACACCACCGCCTCGCGAGGCCCACGACACCTGCACAGCGTCGTCCTGCACCCTCTCGCACCCGACGAGCCCTGGCAACCCTCGCCCGAGCGTCCCCCCTCCCTCCTCGCGCACCTCGCTCGCGCCTCCTCCCGCTCGCCGCACCTGCGCCAGGCACGCACCACCACGCCCGCCGCAACTCCGCACGGCGGCCAACACCCGCCCTGCTCGACGCCGTCCGCTCGCCGCCACTGCCACCATGGCCAGCGACGCCAACCTCCAGCAGCAGCAACAGCACCACTCGTCGGCGTTCCCGCCAGAAACCCCGCCCGGCCTTGCCTCGTCGTCGTCGTCCGCGTCCTACCACGACCAGGTCGCCGCCGCTCAGCACCAGCACCAGCAGCATCAACAGCAGCAGCTCGCTCAGCAGCACCACCACCTCCAGCAGCAGCAGGCCTACATGCAGCAGCAGCAGCAGCAGCGGTACCCCGTCCACCCGCCTAGCACCCCCCTCAGCCACGCCTCGCCCCAGCCGACCACCTCGCCGAGTGTCAAGATCTCGCCCGACACGCTCGCGAGCCTCACCGGCGGCTCCAGCGGCGGCGTCGGCGGTGGCGGTCCAGGCGTCGCGCAGGCGAGCTCGCCCTTCTCGGGCGGCGGGTCCGTCATCTCGCCGACGGGCTCGTCCTTCTCGACCGCGGGCCACATGGGCGGCGGCGGCGGCGGTGGTGGTGGGCCCGGGCCGGGCGAGGCGGGCGAGGGCGCCGGCTTCTCGCGCACGGCCGCCATGGCGCTCGCGGGCGCCTTGGGCATGAGCAGCGCGCCGACGATGCAGCCGTCGCAGCAGGCCGGTGCCGCACCCGGTGGCGGCGCAGGCGGCGCAGGGCCCATGTCGCTCGCCGGCATGGACGTCGACCTCGGCTCGTTCGCGACGCCGCCACATTCTGGCCCGTCGTCGACCGGCGGATCGACGCCGTCGAACGGCTCGGGCCCGCCCTACTACGCGTTCCAGTCGCAGCAGCAGCAGCCGTCGGGCGCGTCGTCGGCGTCGTCGTCGGTCCCGTCGGCCCAGCTCACGCAGAACACCCTCCCGCCGCCGTCGCACCCGGCGCCGACCCTCGGCTCGGCACCGCGCCACCACCCGTACGCGCACCCGTCCCGGCCCGGCCTCACGCCGTCGCACAGCCAGACGTCCATCTCGGGCCTGCCGCACTACCTCTCGGCGAGCGCCGGGGCCTCGCCTGCGTCGTCTGCTGGCGGCCCGACGCCCTCGCCCGGGCCGCCGCCCTCGGCCACGCCTGAGCCTCCTGGCGGCGGCGGCGGACAAGGCGGCGGGACGTTCGCGCTCGGGCTCCCGGGCCTCTCGTCGGCGCAGGTCCCCTCGCGCGTTCACTCGGCGCCAGGCCACATCCTGTCGCTGTCGACCTCGGGCCTCGACGGCCACGGTCACGGGCACCTGCTCGGCCGCGCGGGCTCGCCCCACCTGAGCGCGGACCCGGACTCGATGGGCGCGCAGCAGCAGCACCGGTTCCTCAACGGCATCGACCAGCAGCCCCTGTCGGCCATCTCGATGGGCGGCGACGGCAGCGTGTCGGGCAACGACTTGCTCCTCTTGTCGACCAACTTGGCCCCGTCGTCGACGACGCCCGGGCTCGGACCCGGCCCGAGCAGCCTCGCGCCGCCGTTCGGTGCCACCGGGCCCGGTGGCGGCGGCGGCGGCGCGCTCACGATCGACACGCTCCAGGCGTCCAAGGTCATGTCGTCCCTGACGGCGCCCCAGTCGGCCCCGGCGACGACGACGCTCGAGGACGACCGGCTCCCGCCGGGCGCGTACAACGACAGCGTGCGCGCCGCCATCTCGCTCCTCCAGAAGCGGCTTCCGATCATGGGCGCCGCGCTGTCGACGAGCGAGGCCGAGTCGGGCCAGGACGAGGAGGAGATCTGGAAGGGCATCGAGGGCGCGTACGAGGAGCTCAAGCGCATCATGAGGGGCAGGAGGGACACGCGCCGGCACCACGGCATGGGATCCGCCAGCTCCAAGGTGCGTCCCCTCTTCCTCCCTTTCTCTCCCCTAACGTGCAGTCACTGACTCTCTGCGCTCGTCCTACAGCGCACCGTCTACACGATGGAGCTCGAGTCGCCCGTCACGCCCATCGACCGCGACCGCTCGAACTTCCTCGGCGCGCCGCCGCTCGTCCACTCGCACTCGACGCCCGACGTCGGCCTGGCCGCGCAGGCGACCGCCGCACGACAAGCCGCGACCGCCCAGATGCAGCAGCAGCAGCACGCCGCCCAGCTGCAGATGCAGCAGCAGGTCCAGGTCCAGGCCGAGGCGCACGCGCGCGCCCAGGCGCAGCTCCAGGCCGAGGCGGACCGCGCCCGGGCCGAAGCCGAGCAGCGCGCGCGCGCCGAGGAGGACGCGCGGCAGCAGATGGAGAACGAGGCGCACATGCGGGCCGAGGCCGAGGCCAAGGCGGTTGCCGAGCAGCAGCGCGCCGAGCAGGCCGTCCGCGAGGCCGAGCAGTACCAGCAGCAGGTCATGCAGGCCGAGCAGATGATGCAGGCTGAGCAGCTGCGCCTCGCGCGCGAGCGCCTCCACCAGCACATGCAGGAGGGCGCTGCCGGCGCGCCGCAGACGCTGCCCAACCCGCCCGTCGAGATGCAGCAGTCGCAGTCGCAGGGCCAGCCTCCGCCTCAGCAGCAGCAGCAGCAGCAGCAACACGTCGGCCTCGACCAGCAGCAGCAGCAGCAGCAGCCGGCGCAGCTCTCGTACGCCAACCCGAACCCGTTCGGCCAGCTGCAGCCACCGCCGGGCATGCCGATGGGCGCGCTCCCGACCTCGTCGATCTCGACCAACGGCCTGTCGCAGAGCCTGTACCCGTCGCACGCCGGCAGCCAGCACGGCACGCCGCAGCCGTCGTCGGCCTTCTCGCCTTACCCGGGCGGCTTCGACCCGGCGGCCGACATCACGATGCAGCAGCTCCAGCAGATGCAGGGCCTGCCCGGCTATCCGCTCGGCGGCGCGCAGCAGCAGCAGCAGCAACAGCAGCAGCAGCAGGCGCCGCTCGGCGACTCGGTCGACCCGGCCTCGCTCGGCGGCATCGCCCCGAGCACCGTCTCGCCGCCGAGCGCCGGCCCGTCCGCGTTCGCCTCACTTGCCACCAGCACCGGCCCGGGCCCCGTGCGCCAGTCGCGCTCGCGCGCCGCGTCCCAGTCGGGCTACACGTCGTCCGGGTCGAGGTCTCGCGCCGCGTCCGGCTCGGGCTACCAGGTCCTGCTCGAGAGCCGGTCGCGCGCCGCGAGCTCGGCGAGCTCGGTGTACCAGACGTTTGAGCGCGACGAGGAGGACGACGAGGGCGAGGACGGCGCCGACTTTGAGCACGAGATCGACGTCGGCGGCAACGGGCCCGCGAGTGCGCGCTCGAGCCAGATGGGCGCCGCGAGTGCGGGCGTCGACCAAGACACCAAGGCGAGGATGGACCCGGTCTTTGTCGACTTTCTCGCGAGCGTCTGCTCAAACCGTGCGTCGGCCGTTCCCCTCCTTCTCTGCCGCATGCGCCGCACGGACCGCCCTGGACCCAGACTGACTCTTCTCTCCCTCCTTCGTCACGCACGTCCACAGTCGACGCGACCGACTCGAAGGGTGAGCCGATCCACCAGACGCTCATGGCGAAAAAGATGGAGAAGCTCGACCAGAGCCACGACTTTCGCCCGTTCAAGTTCCGCATCCAGGCCTTCACCAACGCGTTCGCCGAGTCGCTCGCACGCTCGGGCGCGTTCGACTCGGAGGTGCCCGTCAAGAAGGTGCGCCAGTACCTGTGGGCGCAGCCGTACATCTCGCGCTTCAACGACGACGGCAAAAAGGCCAAGGTGCGTCCACCCAGCACTCTCTCTCTTCCCCTCCTCCCCTCCCACGCTCTGCCCCGACTGACCATATGCCTCGCACCCCTGCAGTCCAAGGGCAACCACATCTGGACCGTCGAGGCCAAGAAGATGCCCGACAAGAAGTGGCTCTTCCGCGAGTTCACGCGCTGCATCAAGGGCACGGCGCCGTCGGTCGCGTTCGTCGGCCTCACGTGGTCGTGGGCGCCGCGCGTGTGGGACCCGCAGTGCTCGAGCGCGGCCATCGACGCGTCGTTCATGTCGCCGAGCCTGCCCGAGTGGCTCGCGTGGGACGACAACGTCCTCCAGGGCGAGGTGCCCGAGTCTGCGCTCGGGCAGACGCTCGAGGTCGAGGCCGTCGCGACGTTCCAGATGGGCAACAAGGTGCAGCAGCTCAAGGCGTCGACCCACTTCCTCGTCGCGTCGCCGCACGACACCGAGGACCCGGCGCTCGCGCTCCAGGCCGCCCAGATCGCGAGCAAGAACAAGGAGGAGGAGCGCGAGCGCCTCAACGAGCCGTCCGAGGACCAGAAGCCGCTCCTCATGGGCTCGGCCGACAACCTGCAGCTCGCGAGCCCGCCCGACTCGGGCGCGCAGTTGTACCGCTCGCCAAGCCTCGGCGGCTCGGGCCTGTTTGAGCCGCAGCCTGGCGGGCAGCTCCTGTCGGCGCACCTTGGCGGTTCGGGCGCGGGCTCGTACTCGTCGAGCCTCGGTACGCCCGGGAGCGGCCTCGAGGCGAGCTTCGCGCAGCAGCTCGAGGCGCAGCACCACCAGCAGCTGCAGGACGAGCACCTCCTCGCTCAGCTCCAGCACCACTCGGGCGGCCAGCAGCAGCAGCAGCAGCAGCAGCTCCAGGGCGACATGCAGGTCGACGACGCGCAGGCGGCGCTCCACGCCCACTACGCAAACCTCGCCATGCAGCAGAGCCAGTCGTTCCAGGCCCTGTCGCCCGGTCAGATGTCGTTTGCGCCGCCGCCCGAGCTCGTGCAGACGGCCCTGCAGGACGCGGCCGGCATGGGGATCGACCCGGCGAGCTGTGCGTCCCTCCCTCTCTCTCTTCCTCCCCTCTTTTCGCCTCGGTCGCCGGATCGCTCACTCTCTTGCTCGCACTCGCAGTCACCTCGATCCACCCGAACGTCCTGTCGCAAGCCACGTCCGGCACGGGCACCCCGGCCGGCGTCTTCCACCTGCACGACATGGGCCAGCAGCCGCCGTTCACGCACGAGCCCTCGAACATGTAACCTCGCCGCCCTCTTTCCTCTCTCTCCCCCTCTCGCCTTTGTCTTCGTTCGTCGCCCCTTGTTGTGTTCGTCCTTGTTTCGACTTTCCGGGCTCGAGGGCCCTCCTGTCCTTCCTCCTCCTCCCTCCCCTCCTTCAAAAAAGGGCCGCACCCTCTCGCCCTCGCCCTCGTCCTCGCCCACGCAATTTGTCGTAGAGGCACTCTCGCACTCTCGTTCGTCGTGTACCTGTACCACCCCCGCCTCGTACGGACCTCTTCCCCTCCCTCGCTCTTCCTCCCTCCCTTGTCTCGAATAGAACCGACGCCGTCGTCGCGCCTTTTCGGCGTTGACGCGCGCACAAGATGCCTTCCCTTGGAACTCGATACAGCGTTCATGGACTCGGGTGGTCGCCTGTCGAAGAGTTGCCTCGCGCGTGAGAGGCCGGGACGTCGTCGTCGTCCCGAACGCTCGCCTCCTCTTCTTCTCGCGGCCTCTCCTCCTCGCCCTCTCGTCTTTCGCCTGCTGCCTCGCCGTCACTCCGAGATGCTCGTCGCGAACTTTGGCCTGACTGGGCCGACGAGTCCGCCGCGTCGGACCCGCTCCCCGTCGACCTCGCCTTCTCGCGAGCCATCGACCTCGCCCCGTCGTCGCGCTCCGGCCGGCAAACCTCTCCCCCCTGTCACGCGCCAGCCTCTATCGCCCCCCCCGACGTCGTCGCACGACCCATGCGAGCTCTTCCCGAGCGACGACGCGCTCGCCGCGACGGCCTCGTCCCCGACAACTCGCGACGCTCCCGGACCACCTTCGCACGACACATCGTCACGCTCGCCATCGTCGCCGCCGACCCGGCACCACCTGCGCTCGTCGTCGCTGCTCGAGGCGGCCCACATCGCGCCGCGGGACGCAACGTGGCAGTGCAAGGGCGACGAGGGAGGGCTGTGCTTCGCGAGGCGGGACCAGTCGGCGCGCAGCTGGGAGGACGAGCCGGGACCTGGATACGGTGCGCCCAGCGCTCTCTCCCTCTCTCTCCCTCTCTCTCTCTTTGCGACGACGGCAGACACGAGAGCTGTCAGCATTGCGGTCCGCAGGCGTCCCTTGCGACGGTCACGACGTGCGCGAGGTGTGCGGCGGCGTCGTGCTCGCGTCGCACGAGGCCGAGGACACGCTCGGCGGCGCGACGCACGAGGCGACGATCATGCGTCGGCACGGGTCGCAGCAGGAGGAGGACGCGGTCGTCGTGGCACGCTCGTGAGGAGGGCGACGAGGGCGGGGCCGGTGCGAGCGCGGCATTTCGCGGGGGCCGTTGCATGTAGGGCAGGCTCGAGACGAGGTGGTCCCTTCTCCAGCCCTTGTGTAGCTTGCAGCGCCGAGCATGAGATCCCAGCACGTTGTGCAGTCGTGCGTCGCGCCAAGCCTCGAGCCCCATCACGAGCCGCCTGGTCCGACTCGTCCTCGCCGAGAGACCCAGAGCCGAGAGCGAACCGGGAGAGCTAGCTGCGCGGTCCAGGTCGAGCGTCGACGCGAGAGCAGGAAGTGCGACGGCGGAGCGACGGCTGCGCTGACGAACCGAGAAGGGCGAAGAGCAGGCTCGACCGATGAGCGGCGTGTGTGCGCGCGCAGATGCGCTCAGAGGCCCTCAGCTCGCCGTCGTCGATCGTACAGGCGGGCTTGAAGGCCGGCGTGTTCGAGGCGGTGAGGTCCTTGGCGCGCAACGAGCGGGGCGAGGGCGAGGGCGACGGGCAGCGGGCAAGGGCGTACGGGGGCGGGCGGTGTGGCGGCTGGTTGCGCGCGCTCGACGAGCATGTGCTCACCCAGCGAAAGGGCGGCGAGGTGACGGTGAGCGGTCGAGAAGAGCGCGAGCCGGAGATGCGACCTTGTGCCGCCAGCTCACCCGTCGCCTCGCCATGACTCACACGGACGCCGTAGTGGCAGCTCCGGCAGCGCTCAAGCGGGTCCCACGACGCGCATGTGCCGCTCCTGCAGCGCGACGAGGGGTCGTCGGGTTCGTGTTGAGGCGACAGCTGGGTGAGTTCAACGCCGTCCACCTCCTCTCTCTCCCCCCTGGATGAGCTGACCAGGTCTGCAACTGCCCACACAGAGATCTCGCTCGTGTTCCTGGTCGCGACCCTCGGCGCAAACGCGCTCACTCGGAACGAGCCCCATCTCTCGACCGCCCTCACCCCGGACCCGTCGTTCCACCTGCGCTCAGTCCCGGCGCGCTTCTTCCACCTGTCGTTCCGCAAGCCCGGTACCGAGCTCTACTACAAGGGTCGCGAGTGCGTCGACGTGCCCCCTTGCCCTCCCTCGCACGCGCAGCTGACCCTCTCTCTCCCTCTCGCAGCGACGCCTTCTTTATCGGTTGGTGGGTCGTCGCCTTCTGCTTCACCCGCGAGGTCGTCATGCGGTGGATCTTTGAGCCGATAGCGCGGCGGAGCGGCATCAAGTCTCGGCGGGCGCTGGTCCGCTTCGCCGAGCAAGGGTGGTCGCTCACCTACTACGGTGCGTCCTCGCCTCTTTCCTCTCGTCCTGCGCGTCCGCCCGACCTGACCGACGACCTCCTCGCAACAGCATGCTCGTGGATGCTCGGCCTGGTGCGCCCGCCTCTCGCTCGACCTGTTCGACCCGCCTCGACCCTCGTCTTACCTCGCCTTGCCCGCCCGCAGTACATCAACCAAACGAGCCCGTACGCGAGCCTCAACACGCTGCACTTCTGGAAGGGCTACCCGCACGACGCGCTGCCGGCGCTCACCAAGTGGTACTGTGCGTCCACTCGCCGTCCCCTCCTGTCCCTCGTCGTGCGCTCTGACCTCGCGCTCTCCTCCTCGAGCAGACCTCGTCTCGACAGCCTGTGCGTCCTTCGCCTCTCTTCTCGACGGTCTCCCCTTTTGCCTGTGTGACCCGGAAACTGACGTTGCCGCCGCACCCTGCGCACAGTCTACCTGAACCAGATCATCGTCATCAACCTCGAGGCGCCGCGCAAGGACTACTATCAGATGTTCGCGCACCACATCATTACGGCCGTCTTGATGATGTTCAGCTACGTCCTGAACTGGACGCGGATCGGCAACACAATCCTGTGCACGATGGACCTCGTCGACATCCTCCTCCCGGTCCGTCCTCGCCCCTCGTCCTTCCTCTCGCCTCTCTTTTCTACTCCCTCGTCCTCCCTCTTCGTCGCCTCACTTACTCACGTCTGTGTCTCCTGCGTGCGCAGCTCGCCAAGCTGTTCAAGTACACGGGGCGGCACAAGGCGTCGGACGGGACGTTCGCGGCGTTCCTCGTGTGCTGGATCGTGACGCGGCACGTCATCTTTGGGCGCATCATCTGGAGCGTCGTGTCGGAGCCGCAGACGGTCCTCGAGTACGACTGGCGGTCCGAGGACGGCTACTACTTCAGCCACAACACGCAGCGGTACTTTGCTGTCCTGCTCCTCGCCCTCCAGCTCCTCATCTGCATGTGGCTCGCCATGAGTGCGTCCTCCTTTTCCTCTTCTCCTCACTCCTCGTCGACCGCCTCGACTGACTCGAGCCTCTCCTGCACGCGCACGCAGTTCTGCGGGTCCTGTACAACATGTTCGTCACGGGCAGCGCCGAGGACAACCGCAGCGACGACGAGGACGACGGCGAGGGCGACGACGAGCCGCCTCGACCGGCGGCGGTCAAGGCGAACGGCCACCACTCGAACGGCGGCGTCGAGAGTCGGAAATCTCGATAGACTCGGGGCCTCGCTTTGTCGTCCCTCTCGCTCTCTCTCTTGCATTTTGCAGCCTCGCAGTCGTTTGCATCGTCCCTAAGAGTGGCTCGTGTTCAGGTGCCGCGCGCGCGAGCAGAGAGGGCGAGAAAACGCGGGCCGCCGCACGAGAGGCGAGCCGGGGACCGAGGGACGACGACGATGGGTCGGTGTCGAGACCTATTCGGTGCTCTTTCCTTCCTCCTCCTCCTCCCCCTCTCCCTCTCGCCATTACGGCTCACGCTCGACTCTCCTCTACCCTCTCCCACCTCTCCCACCACTCGACAATGTCCACCGACGCTGTGTGAGTCCCCTCGCTCCTCTCTGCCGCCCCTCTTCCTCCGACCCAACGACGGCGTCACTCGGCGGCCGACCCACCTCGCCCGCCTCGGCACTCGAGCGCGCGCGCACGCCTCGCACGCATGCTGGTGGGGCTTGCGGTCCAGGGCGCGGTCAGAGCAGGGCGGCATGGGCGCTGGATCGAGCAGGATCTGGGCGCGAAGGTTGGGTGTCGCCGAACCGGGAGTCGGTGTGACGCAGCGAGTCCCCCTCTCGGCGGCGCGCCGCTGTGCCGGCGGGGCGTGCGGGCGACGGTGCCCGGCAGTGCTTTCACTGGACTGCATGGGCATGCGTGCGAGGCGGGCAGGCGGTGGCAGCGAGAGCGGGTCCCATCGATCGCATCTGCCCCTCGGCGTCCGAATTGCCGTCGCTGACTGGTTCCACCTCTTCGTCGCCATGCAGTGCCGACATCGGTCTCATTGGCCTCGCGGTCATGGTGCGTCGCGGCTGTGTCTCCCTCGCATCCTGTCGAGGTCGCCGCTGACCGTCTCGTCCTTTCCTCGGCGCGCAGGGCCAGAACCTCATCCTCAACATGGCCGACAAGGGTGCGTCCCTGCGTCTCTTTCTCGCCTATCGACTTGCACCTACTGACGAGCGTCGCTCTCTACAGGCTTCACCGTCTGCGCGTACAACCGCACCGTCTCGAAGGTCGACCACTTCCTCGAGAACGAGGCCAAGGGTCCGTCCGCTCTTTCGTCCCTCTCTGCCTCGTCCTGGGCCCGACACTGACCCTCGCCTCTCTTGCGTCCTGCAGGCAAGTCGATCGTCGGCGCCCACTCGGTCGAGGAGTTCTGCAAGCAGCTCAAGCGCCCCCGCAAGATCATCCTCCTCGTCAAGGCCGGCTCGGCCGTCGACGACTTCATCAAGCAGCTCGAGCCGTACCTCGAGGAGGGCGACATCATCATCGACGGCGGCAACTCGCACTTCCCCGACTCGAACCGCCGCACCAAGGAGCTCGAGGCCAAGGGCCTCCTCTTCGTCGGCTCGGGCGTCTCGGGCGGCGAGGAGGGCGCGCGCTACGGCCCGTCGCTCATGCCCGGCGGCTCCAAGGCCGCGTGGCCCCACATCAAGGAGATCTTCCAGAAGACGGCCGCCCAGACCGACGGCCAGCCGTGCTGCGACTGGGTCGGCGACGCCGGCGCGGGCCACTACGTCAAGATGGTCCACAACGGCATCGAGTACGGCGACATGCAGCTCATCACCGAGGCGTACGACATCCTCAAGCGCGGGTTCGGCATGGAGGAGAAGGAGATTGCCGCCGGTGCGTCCCCTCCCTCCCTCTCGCCCGCGGTCGTCGTTGTCGTCGTCGTCGTCGTCCAGACCTGACCTTTGCCCTCACGCAGTCTTCGAGACCTGGAACAAGGGCGTCCTCGACTCGTTCCTGATCGAGATCACGACGACCATCCTCAAGTACAACGACGACGACGGCGTCCCCCTCGTCACCAAGATCCTCGACGCCGCGTCGCAGAAGGGCACCGGCAAGTGGACCGCCACCAACGCGCTCGACCTCGGCATGCCCGTCACCCTCATCGGCGAGGCCGTCTTTGCCCGCTGCCTGTCGTCGATCAAGGATGAGCGCGTCCGCGCGTCCAAGGTCATCGGCGGCCCCCAGATCGAGCCGTTCACGGGCGACAAGAAGCAGTTCATCGACGACCTCGAGCAGGCCCTGTACGCGTCCAAGATCATCTCGTACGCCCAGGGCTTCATGCTCATGCGCGAGGCCGCCAAGGAGTACAACTGGACCCTCAACAACGCCGGCATCGCCCTCATGTGGCGCGGCGGCTGCATCATCCGCTCGGTCTTCCTCGGCGACATTACCAAGGCCTTCCAGGAGAAGCCCGACCTCGAGAACCTCCTGTTCGACGACTTCTTCAACAAGGCCAGTGCGTCGACTCGGTCCTCTTTTGCGTCCCTCGCACCTCTCGAGCCCGGACTGACCCCGTCCTCCTGCCTCTCTCTCTCCTTCCCGTCTTCCTCCACCTCCTCGCACCTCAGTCCACAAGGCGCAGCCCGGCTGGCGCCGCATCGTCGCGCAGGGCGCCCTGTGGGGAATCCCGACGCCGGCGTTCTCGACCGCGCTGTCGTTCTTCGACGGCTACCGCACCGAGCGCCTTCCTGCGTCGCTTCTGCAGGCGCAGAGGGACCTCTTTGGAGCCCATACTTTCCTTCTCCTCCCCGAGTACTGCGGCGACAAGTGTGCGTCCCCCCTCCCCCTGTCCTTGTCCTCCTTTCCTGTGGCCGGCAAGCTGACTCTTCCTTCCTCCTCCTCTCCTTCCTCCTCCGCGTTGGCTCGTGTGCACCGCTTCTGCAGATAAGGAGGGCGAGTACGTCCACGTCAACTGGACTGGCCGCGGCGGCAACGTCTCGTCCTCGAGCTACAACGTCTAAGGAGGTCCGCTCGAGGAGGAGGTGGAGGAGGGCAAGGTTGGGTCCCTGCCTCTCTCGCGTGCTGCGCTCCCCTGTGGAGCGTGCAGGTGCGCATGTGAATGTGTTCTCGGTCCCTCTCTGAAAATGCAGTGGTTCTCTCAGCATCCGTGGCTCGTGTTCGGTGAGAGAAGGCTGTGGCGGCTCGTCCGCTCAGATTGGTCCAGGTAGACTCTGTAGATCCTTGCAGCTCTATCTTACGAGAGGCTGAGCATCCGAGAATGCGACCAGGAAGAGGTGCCTCGAGGACACGCAAGTCGCAGCAGAGGACGCAAGAAGGTGCTCAAGTCCAGCTGGAGGACCTCTTGCCCTGCCTCCCTTTCCTTCAGTGCTGCTTGGTGCTTTGCTGGAGGGTACCTGACCCAAGCCACCCTTGGCCTCGTGCAATCAGGTGCGGACTGCAGTGACAGCCTCAGGCTACCGGAACCTCTCAACTTGGGAAGGGTGCAAAAGAGCAAGCTCTCTTCTCTTGTCTCCTGGCCCAGGCTCAGCCGAAACGTCCCCAGCAGACGGCAAGCGCAAGGCTGCCTTCCCGCTGCAGCCCAGGGCATCCAAAAAAGAGAGGGAATAGAAGAGCAGAAGAGCAGAGAACGGCCAAGGGTGATGCTGGAGCCACTCAGGCTCCTTCTGCGGTTGTTCAGGTGGTCAGAGTTGCTCTAGGTAAATCCAGAGCGTAGCACCTGCCACACCTTGACGCAGACCTATGGCAAATTTGCAGGGGTTCAGATCAACATCTCTCTTTGCAGGTAGGCCAGCTTCTCTCATCAGGTGGATGCGGTCTCCTATCCTGGTTCCCCCTCCTTCAGCTCCAGCTGTCCTCATTGGACTGGGATGCTGGAGAGGCTTTTGTGAGAGGGCAAATCGTAGTCCAGCCTAAGGGGCCGGAGTCTTCAGGCCGCCACGCCTTGTTCCTGTAAGTGACCTGCCCTGTAACTCTACAACCCTAAGCTTTGCCATCTGAGGCATCTTGCCCCAACTGGACTGGCCTGTCAGAGGAGGTTTTGTGACGGGCCAAATCGTAGTCCAGCCTAAGAGGCCGGGGTCATCAGGCCGCCACACCTTGTTCCTGTAAGTGACCTGCCCTGTAACTCTACAACCCTAAGCTTCACCATGTGAAGCATCTTGCCCCCACTGGACAGGTCTGTCACAGGAGGTTTTGTGACGGGCCAAATCATAGTCCAGCCTAAGGGGCTGGGGTCATCAGGCCGCCACCCCTTGTTCCTGTAAGTGACCTGCCCTGTAACTCTACAACCCTAAGCTTTGCCATCTAAGGCATCTTGCCCCAACTGGACAGGCCTGTCAGAGGAGGTTTTGTGACGGGCCAAATCGTAGTCCAGCCTAAGGGGCCGGGGTCATCAGGCCGCCACGCCTTGTTCCTGTAAGTGACCTGCCCGGTGACTCTACAACCCTAAGCTTTGCCATCTAAGGCATCTTGCCCCAACTGGACAGGCCTGTCAGAGGAGGTTTTGTGACGGGCCAAATCGTAGTCCAGCGTAAGGGGCCGGGGTCATCAGGCCGCCACGCCTTGTTCCTGTAAGTGACCTGCCCTGTATCTCTACAACCCTAAGCTTCACCATGTGAGGCCTCTTGCCCCAACTGGACAGGCCTGTCAGAGGAGGTTTTGTGACGGGCCAAATCGTAGTCCAGCGTAAGGGGCCAGGGTCATCAGGCCGCCACCCCTTGTTCCTGTAAGTGACCTGCCCTGTGACTCTACAACCCTAAGCTTTGCCATCTAAGGCATCTTGCCCCAACTGGACAGGCCTGTCAGAGGAGGTTTTGTGACGGGCCAAATCATAGTCCAGCCTAAGGGGCCGGGGTCATCAGGCCGCCACCCCTTGTTCCTGTAAGTGACCTGCCCTGTAACTCTACAACCCTAAGCTTCACCATGTGAAGCATCTTGCCCCAACTGGACAGGCCTGTCAGAGGAGGTTTTGTGACGGGCCAAATCGTAGTCCAGCCTAAGAGGCCGGGGTCATCAGGCCGCCACACCTTGTTCCTGTAAGTGACCTGCCCTGTAACTCTACAACCCTAAGCTTCACCATGTGAAGCATCTTGCCCCCACTGGACAGGCCTGTCAGAGGAGGTTTTGTGACGGGCCAAATTGTAGTCCAGCCTAAGGGGCCAGAGTCTTCAGGCCGCCACCCCTTGTTCCTGTAAGTGACCTGCCCTGTAACTCTACAACCCTAAGCTTCACCATGCGAAGCATCTTGCCCCAACTGGACAGGCCTGTCAGAGGAGGTTTTGTGACGGGCCAAATCGTAGTCCAGCCTCAGAGGCCGGGGTCATCAGGCCGCCACACCTTGTTCCTGTAAGTGACCTGCCCTGTAACTCTACAACCCTAAGCTTCACCATGCAAAGCATCTTGCCCCAACTGGACAGGCCTGTCAGAGGAGGTTTTGTGACAGGCCAAATCGTAGTCCAGCCTAAGGGGCCGGGGTCTTCAGGCCGCCACACCTTGTTCCTGGAAGTGACCTGCCCTGTAACTCTACAACCCTAAGCTTCACCATCTAAGGCATCTTGCCCCAACTGGACAGGCCTGTCAGAGGAGGTTTTGGGACAGGCCAAATCGTAGTCCAGCCTAAGAGGCCGGGGTCATCAGGCCGCCACGCCTTGTTCCTGTAAGTGACCTGCCCTGTAACT